CTGACCCTAGCCTTGCCCTATCTTTCAGAAGTATCGGAACCTCGTCACTAGAGTGTTGCCGCTCTTCGGTCGCGCGACCAGGGGTGAGTTAGGGTGAGTGCGCTATAGAGAGGGTGAGCCATCACCCAACATCATGCAACGCTGCGATTTCAATCCTGTGAAATCCTTATAATCCGCCAGCATGCTACAGCCATTAATGATTGGCTGTCCCCTTCCAACTTCAATGAACTACTTGGCATCTGCACACATAGCCACAAAAGGAGAGCCCCCCCCCCCCCCCCCCTGGTAAGTGACTCAGCATGAGCACAGTGAACTCTTCTCGCCCTTCATGGATGTTCCAAAATTTGGATTGTGTCAACTACAATAGCGTAGTGTGGTCTCTTGAGCACTATTCAGTTATAGACAATATGGTGTTCATAAATCAAAGCAGGAAAAGAATAGTTGGGAATATGAGACAAATAGGCAAAGAAAATTGGAAATGCATAAGTAACGTATGCATTGGCCTTACTAAACGGATATGCGTCAGCCAAGGACCCGAGATCGTCGAGACCCAGACCCAACCCGGCCGTCAACACCTTGAGACAGACACCAGTAACGATGGCTCTGCGACGGCGACCTTTGAAAAGGTCCTTAACTTGAGGATCCTCATTGACGCGGCGTTTGATTTCTTTCTTGGCACAGTGACGGTTGACGAGCCACACGCTCGACTGCCAGGCATTCACGCCGGCAAGGGCGTAGAAGGGCGGCATAAGTTGCGCGAGAGTGACATTAATCGTGAGTCCGGTGAAGGATGCGGCAAGAGCTAAGCGATTTGATCCCGTAGATCGTACGAATTTCGTGTGGGACATGGATTTGCCAGTCTCTGAAATCACGGTTGGTGCGAAGGTTCAACACCTCGCCCATCTTTCTGACAGCGGGCCCTGACGATGGCATGTCTCCGGCTGGTCAAAGGCTTGATTTACAGGTGTTGAGGATAAAGGGCAGCACTGGCTGTTCCACGGTCCTAGCTGTTCGCTGTTGTTGCGGAATGCCTGATATTTATGCCCATTCGAGGCCGACAATATTCGAGCACCTAAGTCTTCTCCAAGCTGAATGCATGACTGTTCTGCTTATTATTCCCGCAACTTCTACCAGCTAGGCAAACGCGGCTGTGCTGGTAATTCACCTCAAATCTGCTTACTTGTAGAGCAAACAAGCAAGGCTGTACCGAGATCTGCATCTGAACCACTAGGAATGGTCTGGGGTTTGCACCAGTCACATCTCGAATCTTCAGTCCATGTCAGCCTTCTCTTGGCAACTACAACAATTTCGAATACCCACATCTTGCCTGCATAGCACGCGCCAACGGGGCTGTGCTGTCCAGGACCTGGCTAGACAATTAATTTAATTTATTGTGCTTCGAGTTGGGGTTCTAGTTGTTGAGAATAGAGGGAATATTCACTAAATGGCCGTAGGCTATACTGTCAGCCAGAAAGATACTCAAAATCCCATTCGGACTGGACTTTTATGGCCGTTCGCTCACGCACAAAGAGACCCATCTTGCAACCACCCCGGATGTACATTCAGTGAAGGGGAATTGTTATTGGATCCACGCCCTTGTCCATCAACGCACAATCTCTATATGCTGGCCTATGATTGCATGGGTTAAGGGGGATTCTTCCCAGTAACCGCGATCATGCAAACCGCGCCGACGGAGATACTTTGAGCAAGGGTCTGGGTTAATCTGCGGGTGAGCCAGTAAGATATTTACCACCTCAGTGTGCCCATATTGAGCAGTCAATGACAAGGCAAGTTGACAGTGTTTGTCATGAGCATTCACTGAGACAGCTCCTGTATTGAGTAAAATGGCCACCATCTCTAAATGTCCATGCCGTGCTGCCTGTATCAGCGGTGCTTTTTCAATCCAATCTCTGGCATCTGGGTGAGCTCCGTGCGCGAGAAGAATCTTCATAATCCCAACATAGTCCACCTACGCGGCCAGGCATATAGGTGGTCCATTGGGGACACGTCTGTATTATGAAGGCCTCCGTAGCGGCTCGCTTTCCGGCTCTGAAGGAAGTCTTTTGCTACGGTAAAACAGCGAGGCTCAATATACTCCGGCGTGATTCTATCTATCCTAAATAGCATAACAAAAAGAAACATCTCTCCCCCCATGTAAAACAGGTAATACTCGCTTCATTCATAAGGATACAGTCACACTCACGAGCATAGCGAGTGAGTGTGGCAAAAACAGAAACTTAAGTCGGTGATACATTGGCAGGAAATCCGCACAAACTGCAGCCAGACTTCCACCCTCAAGTATAGACACGATTGCTCTCTCAGAGCTTGCAAATACATTTGCTTCTTTTAGCTACACATCACTGCATCTTGGCATAACATTATAGGATCCACAATACTGTGGCTAAGTAAACAGACCGCCTATTTCAGGAGGGGCACCAGAAATATATTTTTATGCAAAAGAAACACTCTTCTTTCATTTATTTTTCCACTTCTTATCTACTGAATTCTATCCTCATAATCTAGAAAAATGACACCAATCACAATCAACGTCACAGGCTCCTCCACCATTCATCAACCTCCAGAACAAGCCGTATTGTTCTTCCACGTTCAATCCGAGGGTTCATCGTCAGACACTATCTCCAAAGAAGTCACAGCCATCTCCAACCAGCTCCAACAAACATTCAAACAACTAAAATCAGACTCACTCGCCCCAGCCCCAGTAGCAGCATTCTCAACCAGTTCCCTCCGAAGCTGGTCCGAGCGACCCCGAGACCGAGACGGAAACCCTGGTGAACGAGTCCATTACGCCCAGCTGCGATCCGAAGCTACATTTCGCGAGTTTCAAAAACTAAGTGAAGTGGCTGGTCGGCTAGCAGCATATCCAAATGTCGCCATCTCCAACATTGATTGGCGACTAACGGACGAGACCAGACAAGAGCTCGGCTCCAAAACGAGAAAATTGGCGATGAAAGATGCCATTCAGAAAGCGTCTGACTATGCTGAGGTCATTGGGCGAGAGGTGAATCCGGTTGAGATTACGGATATGGAATCTCCAGGTTTGCACTCGCCGGGGTATATGGCGGCCATGGAGGCGTGTCCTATGGAGGATGAACGCGAGGAATTGGATCTTACGCCACAGGATGTTGAATTAACCAGTTCCATTCAAGTCAACTTTCGTGGGGAGTAATCAAATTAAGGAGCATTCACTTGGAGTGCTTCACTGCTATCTGCATAAATATTCAGATGGGTTTGCAGACGCTGCGGCTGTATGCCAGTAACCGGTCTGTGGAGCAGGGGATAAATGATTTCGAGTCTGCCGTGTCGGAGTCTGCGATCTGGTTCCCCTCTCTTCAATCACTTTCCCTTTCAAATTTTGCATTTCCGAAAAACCATGAGACCACGATGCACGTATTCAATTGGCGACATCTTCGCTCATTGACGAGGTATTTGAGTTGTGCCTCGGACGGGCTGGACGAGACGGAAATCCAAGGCGTTCATGCGACCACAGAATCTCTGCTGTCCTTCACAGGTTTAGAATCGATCTACCACGGCCATACCCGACTTATCCGGTGCAGCAGCCGGCCTACTATGGAGCCGCACCGTTGACAAAACCGCCGTCGCCCCCATATGTGCAGCGTCCGGTGGAGATGGAGACGCAGTGAGAGTAATTAATATATTAATCATATATACATTCACTATTACTGTACCGGAGATCTATGATCTTCAGAGTCTATCATGTAGATCCGTACCCACCGTCTCTATCGAATATCACGCCGATCACTCACGGCCAGATCAATATAGCTTGGAGAAGAAACTGTTCCCCTGCGACACTCGCCGAAAGTCATCGACGGCCGGACTCACCGGCTTCAGCTGAATATCCTCCATCTCCAGTGACTCGCGCCCCCCCTGATGATACACATTCGGCTGGCTCTCCTCCGCTTTGGCCTTCATATAATAATGCTCGTCTTCCTCTTCCATCCCTACAAACCACTTCTCTTTCAGCTGTCTTCCTTCCGGTCCTCCGCCGCACGCGCCCTGCAACCGTGCTGAAGAAGAACTGTTCATGGCGAGTGCGAAGAGATTTGGCGGCTCTGTGAAATCCGTCACTTGCTTGCCGCGGACTTCGAGCATCAGAAAGACGAAACAGATGGCGCTGGTGATAAAGGCAAAGACGAGGATGACGTAAAAGACACCCTGCCATTTCTCGGTGCCCCCCGAAGCATACCCCACGGCTTGGACGGAGGCAGAGAAGGATTGCCGCGTGGGCGGAGAGAGGATGTGCTCGGTATAGTTCCAGAAGTGGACGAGGGGGCTGTGCTGCGAGCTAAGGATGAGGGTGCTCCCGGCCATCACGGCGAGAGCTTCACTGATGGAAGGGAGGGTGCGGTTCAGCGCGAAAGTATGGCTGGTGTTGTCGAAGCCGGGAACGAATTGCATCAGGAGCCGGTCGTTGCTGGCTTGGCCGTCGGCGATTCCGGAACCTAGACTGAGGGCGTTGGCCCAGCCCGAAGCGACATTCTTCCAGTCGGGCTCCCACACGCCTTCGGTGACTTCCTTGTTCGTTCGGTTGTATTGGAGGTCGTTGGCGGCGTCTTCACAGTGGCTGTAGAGCGAGGCCCCGCTGGAGGCTGCTTCGTAGCGCGTCGAACAGACGCCCGTCTGCTTCGCCTTGAGCGAACACAGCACATACGGCGGGTCGGTGATGAAATCCGGCGATGCCCCGAGCAGGTAGATGGCGTCGGTGGGCCACAACCCCGTCGTGTTGGTGATGCTGTTGTACGGCTTCGGATACTTGCCAAACACCGGCGGTCGTTGACCATACTTCTCGCCAAAGCCGAACAGATCGTCGACGACGGTCTGGTTTAGCCACGACGGATACCGTGGGATATCCGGCGGGGGTGTAACACTCCAGTTGGTCGGGCTGAACGGGTACGAGGTATTGGGCCACTCGGTGTAGATCAACGGCGAGAGTTCCTCCTTGGTCATGCCCACGCAGAGCACATTCACGGCGGGCGAGGGGACCGATGCTTCGAGGCTGTATTTGCCTTGGCCGGATGCTTCATGGGGCTGTCGGATGCGGTTGATGGGGTCTTTGGCTGCGGAGAAAACCCCGCCGTGTGGCATGGCCATGGTGACATTGTTGACCAGTCGACCGTGTTGCGATGAGAGCGCTGTCATATCGGCAATGTCGATCCAGCTGCCGGTGACGGTGGTATTATCGTAGATGGACCCTGTTGATCTCGGGCGCGCAGCCTGGTCTGTCGACGTCCCATTGCCATTGTTAACCCGGTCACTCCATTCGGTAATCCACTGCTGGTAGTTGTGATAGGCGTGGCCGACATGCTCCATTTCCAGACAGGTGATGTTGCGATTGACCGGGTCCATCGCAACAGTGACCGGCGTGTCACAGTGCGAGGCCAGATACAACGTATTCGCAAAACTGGCGGCCACATTACCCTGCAGCGTGGTTGATTTCACCGGTCCCATCAGCAGCTTCGGCGAGACTAAAGCTTCGGCCGCGGTGGTATACAACATGGCCACCAGTGTCGCTGTCAAGGTAATCATCCCGAGAAACGACAACCCGGAATACTTGACATTCTCCCAGTGGGTAATCAGCGATCCCGGCTGCATGATCCACGTCCGCATACTCATATCCGACAGGCTAATTCCGCGCGAGCCCTGCATCAACGCGCGCCGACTGAGCACCTGGCCCAGAAAGGCCACACAGACAGTGACATACGACAGTTCAATCGTCTTGGCGAACAACGCACTCAGCAGATTCGCCGTCGACGGCGCCAACCCCCCATCGCCAATTCGGCTCTCCCACCTCGGCTTCAACAATCCAATGACGAGATAAATACCCGAAAAGACCGTCGCGTACAGCGCCAGAAGCAGAATAGTAACAGAGACCCACGACAGCCGGCGATGCAAGATGGGCGCCCGACTCGGACATTTCACGGGTCGAAACGCGCTATCTTTGGTACTCGCACTCGCACTCGGACTTGGTCCCGGACTCGGAAGACCCCACGGGGAGGGCGTCAACAGCCCCGGACTAGTCGCCGCATTGGAGCTCTCCTGCGACGTGCGCTTCCTCACCCTCGGCATCGTCTCGGCATGGCTGATCCCCAGTCCCGTCTCTCTGGGCTGGGGTTCCAGCACACCGGAGTCATCATGCACTGGGTGATACGCTGTATCTTCCGTCTGCTGGCTAAAACCGAGTGGATCCCACGACTGTTGAGGGGAGAGAGGGGCAGGATCCGAGAACGGATTCGATTCAGTCGGCCGTAAGAGCTGGCGTTGTGACTCGGAGGCCATGGGGACAGAACCGACTGGTTTGTGTGAAGGTTCAGGCGTAAAAAAAAAAAAAAAAGTTCCAAGGCGTCGTTATTATCCTTAATTCTAACCTTAAAGTGGCCATGTGGAGGCCTGAAATTTAGGGTTCTTGGCGGGTGGCCTGGCAAGGAGTTTATTGGTGGGACGTGTCAATCAGTGGGTTCGCCGCATTTCTATTCAGGGTGTATGGAGTAGGAGAAAGAAGGTGAAAATTTTTCAAAGTGGGGGGATTAGTGGTGCTGGGCATACTGTGTGGTGAAAGTGAGACCTCTGCAGCCTGTTAGAACTTGTGTAGCACGGAGCATGCAGTGCGGACTTATGCATAGTGACCCGTCCGGGCGGCTAGAAGTTGGCCGAGGGTGGCTCTAGGGAGGGATAGTTTATGGGGTTGTTTGACCAGGCCAATGGAGAGATCCTGGTATCGCTGTGGCGCGTTCTCAGTCCAATATGATTGAAATTGTTGCCAGAACTCCTCCTTCAAAGTTCGGCAGGCCCAGGCATATCTTGCAGGAGGGGTGGTCTGTGGGGTAGACTTAGCTCCTCTTTTTGCTTGCTCATCAGCATTTTCGTTCCCTGCAATGCCCGCATGTCCAGGGATCCAGCAGACATGCATCTGTCCGGGTTGGATTGCTGTGCATCGGGGAGACCGATTGGGCCAGGCACTTGCGGCTTCTTGAAAGGCCAGGATGGTGCTCTGACTGGAGCCCCTGGGGCAACCCTTTACCCTGCAGCTGTCGTACTACTTCCTGGTTGTCAAGGAGGACATATAGGTTCTGAGTAAAGGGTGCCTGGATGCTATTGAGGGCAGCCTTCAGCCCCTCAGTTGCTGCAGTTGCCTCTGCGTCAAAGACTTCATGCTGTGGGGAGAGAGAGATGGCCGTGCGCAGCTTCTTTCTTCCATATGGCCCAGTATCCAAACCAACCAGCGCCAGCCGCAGAGACTGGGTTATTCAAGCGGCTGCCGTCTGTGAAGAGGAACATGGAGAGTGAGGGGCATGAGTCTACCCAATGCTAAAAGTCTTCGCCAGCCCTGTCTCGGGTAGAGCAGATATTTCAGAAAGTACTGGGGTTCTCCGGCTGCCAAGGGGGATAGATCAGAGGGTCAGTCTGTTCTATGCCCTCCAGCCACGGCAGGTGATAGCGGGTTAGGCGTGTATTTAATAGGGAGGATTTTGTTCGAAGTGAGCGTCTGAGAACTGGGTGGTCGTTGTCCAGCCTGGAAGCGCGCAGTCTGGCAGCAGCGCGTTTTCTGATCAAGGATGATCTCCATAGGGGGGATAGCAGTTTCCCGATGGAGGACTGGGACAGGGGTGGCGCGGTATGCTGGAAGGGTGCCCCGGAGGGATTCTCTGAGCACCCGGTCAAGGCGAGATAGGGCAGAGTCGACTCGGTTTGATATATGTCTGGTTCCGGGGCCTGCGTCGGCCCGGCCACCAGGCCTCAGCAAAATCCAATATGAAAACGCTGGTTTGGATTCAGAAGTATCCTTGGCTGCGCAGAGCATTCAATGGAACAACGACCAGGTCTGTATGGAAAGTTCGAGAATCTACGCTCAAGTCACTGCGACTGATAGGTTCATTCAGTTTTAAAAAAATATATTTGTCGTTGTTAAACAAGAGAGCCCGCTGGATCAGGCAGATGATATTCAAGTGGATGCGGTTCTCAAGCACATCACGTCTGGCAAAGATTCTGGAAAGCTCTCCCTGGGTGGAACCGTGTTTACCAATGGTCAACACCAGCGTATTCTATACGGAGGATGAGGCAGTCACCAATGTCAGAAGCCCTGAAGGCTTCCCTGTTGTGTCCGCGGGAGCCGCAGAGACAGCGCGCAGCCTCGGCTTAGGCTTCCCTTTCTTATTCCATTCTCAATTAGTACCATATTCTCATTGTCTAGACTATTGGTCGAACGGGCCACCAAGATTATACAACGTGATTCTTGGTTTCTTTTCTTAAGATGGTAACATCAAGCGATCAGAACCATACCACCAGATGGATACGCTGGCTAGAGCCTGCCGAGAAAGATGGGAGTTTAGGAAGAAGTGGGATACGCCGGGCCCAAACCCGTGCCTGGAGCACGCATACCGGCAGTACCGGGATATCCCTGACGCTTCATCTCCACAAATCATATCCATCCTAGCAACGAGACCCTACATTTTCGGCACAGATCTGATAAGATCTGATAAACAGGGCAATTTCGTCGCGGGACAAGCCGTGGATATCAACCAGGGTCTCGGGGTTAATTTCCTGGCGTGGTTTTGATTTACCAAGGCCTATCTCCACCTCGCTTACAGAGTAGCCGACCTTACTCAAACTCGGCGATATGCTGCACACCCATGGTATTTGGGCATTGGGGAACTTTTTGTCTGTTAAGCGACGCAACAGGCTGAAACATGCTGATCCTCATCAATTTACCCAAGAGACCAACTTCTCCATCCAGTTAACTAATTTCCTCCCTTCGGCTAACCGACCAAATCCTAGTCAACCATTTATTCAATCTGAACCGGCTTTGACACTTTTTTACATACCCTACAGAATGTTTACTATATAAAGAGCGATACGGTGGAAGTTATACTTGATTCTGACAGAATTCCACGCATCGATCCGGTACAGGATTACTCAGGGGTACATGTTCTTTTTACTCATTCTGGCCCTGTTGGGTCCCACGATATGCCTGGCTGCCTGCCCCTACGCGCATCTGGCAGATACCAGAGACACCAATACAAATTTCACGCCGCGATTTGATGCAGTGCTCCCTCGCGCTGCGCTGGAAAAGAAAGGCATCATGCTGATGAACCGCATCAACCCATCCTCATCGCAACTATACATCACCAATGCGGATGGCTCAAACGAGCGACTCTTGCTGGGTGATGACTCCGTATTCGAATACCATGCATCCTTTTCTCCAGACGGCCAACATGTCGCCTTCACCACTGAACGTAACGGCGATGGCAACTCTGATGTCTACATGGTCCACGTCAATGGCAGCGGTCTGAGACCCATCGCAACCACACCCGCGGTCGAAGATGCGGTGGCTATTTCTCCCAATGGCAAATATGCCACCTACGCTTCCACGGCCGACGTCTACACGTCCAATATCTGGCTCACGGACCTTGAAACGGGCGCTACCCGCAATCTCACAAACCAGACTGGTGTAACGGGCGATCCGAGATCGCCGAACGGGTTCTTTGCGCCGAGCTGGTCGCCTGATGGGAAATGGATCGTTTTTTCCTCGGATCGAAACACCGGGTGGACTGGTCATGACAATGGGACTGGCTGGGAGCATACTCAAGAGCTATCTATCTACGCCATCACCCCCCAAGGAACAAGTTTCCGAGAGGTGTACAGTAAACCGAATATGACCTATGGATCTCCCAAGTTTTCCCCAGACGGGAAGCGCGTTGTGTTCTATGAGATGACTGTGCAACAAACATGGGACTCGCGGTCGTCGTACACGCTTAATACCACGACCAACCAGATTGTTTCAGTGGACTTTGCAACAGGCGCCGATCGTGTCACGCATACCAATTCGTCTGGGTGCAAGGTCTACCCGCAGTATACCTCACAGAATAGCATCGGGTACTTGATCAAGGGCGGATCCAATGAGGGTATTCACTATACGTCCACTTCGAAAAAGATCCTGGGTGGTATGCGATCGCCTGCGTGGTCTCCCGATGGTAAGCATGTAGTCTATGAGAAGACAGACTGGACAATCCGACCTTTGCAGAAGGAGCTGTGGACCTGGGACTCAGAGTGGGATTATCGCTTTATGGACGTGTTCCCCGGCCTCTCTAACCAGGGAGAACTGGTATTCACAACCAAGCAGACGGGTAGCCCGGGCAATTCGTCTGTGGCGGTGATGCAGCCCAGCGAAACCAACTTCACTCTTGCCTTCGATACGTTTGAAACAGACCAGATCGACGCAGAAACCGTTTCTTCGGGCGGTGGTGGATCTTTCCAGCCATCGTGGTCGAGTGATGGGGAATGGATCACTTTTGGGTCAGGATACTGGTTCCAGAGCCGCTCCACCAAGCCTGGTTGGATCTACCGGACCAGGCCTGACGGATCGAACTACGAGCAACTTACCTTCTCCAACTCTTCCAATGCGGGCTTCCCTAGCTACTCTCACGACGGCAAGAAAATCGTGTATCGAGAATTTCTGCCAGAATTCGGGCTACGTCTGCTGGATCTGGAAACCAACAAGACCACCACTCTGACGACGGAGCGTGATAACCTCCCCTTCTATTCGCCATCCGGTGAGTGGGTGCTATTCACGCGCAACATGACCGACCTGGCGAAAGGCGAGTTCTCGAACTACGAGGTGTGCATTATTCGACCGGACGGCACCAACCTGACCGTGCTTACTTCGTCGTTTGCCAACGATGCGCACGCCGTCTGGACTGCCGATGGGCGCATCATGTGGTCGAGTGGGATGTGGGGATTCCAGGCTGAGGCGGCGACCTACGACAATACCTTCCAGCCTTACGGCCAGATCATGATCATGGATGTTGATGGCTCGAATAAGACGGTTCTCACAAATAGCCTGTGGGAAGATTCGATGCCGCTCTATGTCCCTAATGCTTTTTTGGATGACTGAGACGGGGTATGTATGATAGAGATTGCGTAATACATTAGTGTGTTAAGAGGTTCTCCTTTCATTTATTAGTTGAAATAATTCTTTTTCACTATACAGAATCCTAATTCCTTCACACAAAACAAGCTGTTTATGCAAAAATAGCACACTCCTCACACCGTTTGCGAGCCCTTCCACTGTTCGCCATCTACACAGTAAGATAACAGAACACCCGGACTGCTTGCTTGCATTGTGTACACAAGATAAAGGTTTCATTCCAACGTCTCCCTCATCATGCCATCATCTAGAAGAACATTTGCCAGCAAAACCAGACACAGACATCACCAACGACAATCTCCAAGGCGTCAAAGTGAGATCAACAGCTGTATGAGCTTGTGCAAAAAGAACTTGATAAGGGTGCTATTGAGGGTTATGGGCGAGGGTATCTATATCACCATTTCCGGAACCAAAAGCATTGTGTTGCCAGGTAGTCTTGTTCTTTTCCATGGGTTGCTACGCCGAGCCAGCGGATAAGCCCAATGAAGAGAGATTGCAGCCCGAAGGGGAGAAAGAAAGGCATGAACCTACCCCAAGCCTGCCGATGATGTTGAGAGGCTACATCAACTGACAGGCATGAAAAGCCTGAACGACGTTCTATGCGCAATCACCAGCCCTCCAGCTCGGTACTTACGGGCCAATCTAGCGTATTTAGCAATTGCTACAGAGTTGCTGGTTGGTGACCATTACCAAGAGTATGAGATTGCGCATGCAGCGCGTTAGAAGACAAAGATTCTGATACCGAATTTCTATAGATGAGCTGATACAGCATTGTCTTTCTCTTCAGTCTGGCTCATGTTGATAAGCTGCCCTGAGCCCCAGAAAATTTGCAGCATTCCTGAATTGATTTGAACCTTTGATCTTCTGCAGTGATATGATTATGGTCGTTGAAAAGGCACAGAATGGTCTCTGCTCACTTCACTCAAATTGAAAATAAACACAGCCTACGCGAGCGAGGCATAAAAAAACAAAAACATACAACAGCCGGGATTCGCTGGTGGTCACCCACCCAACTACTAACCGGCCGGCGTGTGGCTTAAGTACGGCTGAGCGGACGGGAAGCCCTGTTCTCCACACCCTATGGTCGTATGTACTAGTCTTTAAATAAAGGAGAATATATGGTGCGAGTCTGAGTGCACAATACAGAGGGTGAGCCATCACCCAACATCGCGCAATCTCAATCCTTTGAAATCCTTCCAATCTAATGGAGGCTATTCTTTCTAATTGTTCTTTTCAATCCTCACCTCGCCTCATTTGTGGAACAGCGCTTTTTGCCCTCTATTTACAACCTCTCGCTGTTTCACCACCGGCCTTTTTTCCAACCCAGCATTTGATTCGACTACAAGGCTCTGTATAGTGTGTTGTTGAACAGAAAATGAGCTTCGGTTACAGCGTCGGAGATATTTTGGCAACCTTGAAGCTCGCTGATGATCTGAAGAAGCGCTTCTCCCAAGCCCCTAAAGAGTTCAGGACAATTTCAGAGTATGATCATTGACTATTCTAACACTTCCAGCAAGCATTGAGATCGGTAATGTAGACAACACTGATACCATGGAAATAAAATAGGGTCAAACGAGTATGGACTGTTCTTCATGACATTGATGACATCCTCGTTGATGGTTTGAATAAGCAACAAGGGCAGGACATCCAGAAAATCTCGCAAGGTTGCTGAGAAGTTCTCGAGAATTTGAAAGTGAAGCTGGACAGATCACAAGTTTTTGCTTACACAACCTCCAATTGGAAGGTTAAGGCTCGTCAAGCATGGAGCAGGGTCACATGGGATCAGGTGGAGATTGATAGGCTTCGTGAAAGGATTACATCCACTATATCACTGTTCAATTTGCTAATGGGCAAGATAAACCAGTGCGATTTCCTTTCTAGGTTGCAATTTTGAAAATTCTGGCTTTCTTACATATTTTTTGAGCAGAAACCTATCCTTGGAAATTTGAAATGACATTCGACTTTTGCTCGAAGAATCCTATGAAGACTCTGCAAGGGATTCCCTTTCATGGATTAGCACCATCGATGGCTCGAAGCGCCATGCTGAAACATTGAGTGCTCGATAAACAGGGACAGGAACTTGGTTCATCAACAAGAAGGAGTTCCAGACATGGTTCATTATGAGAAGCAGCTTTTATACTGTCCCGGTATCCCTGGAGCTGGGAAAACAGTGTTATGTTCCGTCGCCATCGAATGTTTAGAACAGTCATTTGCAAACAACAACGACATTGGCATCACATATATTTTCTTCGACTTCAGACAGCAGTTGAGTTTGTTTGAGATCTTAGCCGCACTTCTCAGGCAACTTTTACAAGGAAAATCAAAGAAATCAGTGACTTGGTCCCTGGGAAGGGTGCCCAAAGAGTCGATGAAGTTGGAGTGGATTCAAAATGAGGGGGAGACGGATGTACCTGGGAAGTACAAAACCTGTTGCTCAGGGCTTCAGGGAGTGACTGAACTGGATGACTTGGAGAACGCCTTGGCAGTATTTGTTCGGGAGATGTGGATGCAGAGACAAGGAAAGCAGACACCGCAGAACCAACGGTATCAATTGGAAGAAGACAGCTCATGGGTCCGGGACCTCGTGGTACAGGTTCATGGATCAGTGGCTTGTTGGCGAAGAGATGGCAAGGATCCCACAGAGTTGGACCGCCTGGTTAAGGAGGTGGTTAGATGTAGCCCCGACTGGCAGGGTGATACAGGTGTCTGGCGGAAGGATTGTGTATGGATACAGGAAGGAGATGGGGGACGAGGCGCAGGCCCAGGACAGTATGTGGGGGAGCTCTTGTTGATTTTACTAGGGGAGCCCAAAGCAACCAGGGCACTGCTAAAATTCCTAGCAAACACCAGCATAGCTCTACCTCAGGGATATCTACAACGGGCGGTAGAAAGAGTCCGGAAAGATGAGGAACGGAGACTGGAAGCATTGGAGGAGGCAAGTATAACATGAGAGAGCTAGCCTAGGCCACACTCACCCTGCTCTGAAAACACAAGGAGAGCACTGTGCTCGAAAGCCCTGCGCATACAGGCGGCCTGGGGCAAGGAAAAGGATTAGAAAGACTATAGAAGGGGGTGTTGCCTCAGGAACTTATAGGGACAAGAGACCGTAGAATAGCTGCTGGCCTCGAGTCCATGAATCATGGTCTGTCAAGCTCTAGGGCTCGGTACGGACAATAAACTTGATTAAATAATGATAATAATAGTTTGTCTTGGCATATACCTTTCAACTGTCCCCGTCCAATACACTAGTGAAATCAAACGCCCTGCGCTCAGCCTGCATCTTCGCGAATTCCGCGTCAAAGGGCAATTTCTTGCCGTCATAAGTTGTTGCAAGACTTTGAAAAATGAGGCGACGGGTATCAGCCGGTGCTCTGGTTCGAGTATCGATGCTTTCTTCATAGACGGGTCTGGAGCGTTCGGAGTCGGTCCAGACAAGTGCTCTGAGGAGGCCATCGAATGTCAAGTATGTGGGCAGGGAGTCATAGAATGGTGCTTGAGAAAGGTATAGAAGGCTGTTGTAAACCAGAGCGCCTGCTTGTGCCATGGATGGTGGTAGGACTCCGGCGGTCTGGAGGAAAGAGATGAAGGTGGACCGGGTGATGATTTCTGTGCCATTGTCGTTTGTGCAGAGAGAGTTGAAAGTCTTGCGAAGGTGTGGTAGTTCCTCGCCCCTTAGGATACCAAAATCCTTGATTCTTTGGCTAAGTATGTTGAGGATAGCGTCGGGGGCCAGGATACCCTTTTTGACTAACGCGGCGATAGCTGTGGACATTTGTTGGGGATCCATATCGCATCAAGACAATTCCAAAATCAATAACACTTTTGAAAATAAAGAAAATAGCGCACTGGAATTATGTTAAGAAACAAAAATTCGAATTCGGGAGTAGTTGATGTTTTGTTTAAACGATTGTCGTTCTGAAGGCTGTCAACACCGAGGCTGACAGTGGTCTTCCCTTCGGCCCCATGAAAAATATTCAGAAGAAGTACGGCTTCGACTATATCGCCCTTGCTATTGGGAAGGCGATGGAGAAGAAAATGACGACAACGATGACCGGTGGTAAAAACGATAAGGCTAAGAAGACTGTTCGCGACTTCGATGCCCATATGTATCACTTGAAGACGTATGAGGGATTAAAGACGAAATTCGAGACTCCCAGGTGGGTCTACCCAGCCAAGCAGAATGGAAATGACAAGGTCAAGATTGAGTTTGTGAAGACTACAACAGACAAGAAGATTACCTCTGCTAAGAAGGCACGCCGGCCGGTTAGTTGGTGGGTGGGTGATCAGCCTTACTCGTTATGAGCTCCTTAAACCCTTGCTCAGTGTGTAGCTGGACCACTAAGCGTCAAGAGCATTGCGACTACGAAAGGTACATAAACCTGCGAGCTTGTGGAATAGCTGGTCAATGGCGTTCATTATGAATAGATTTCTGAGTAGATTGGACAGTTTACAAGTAAGATTTTGGCAGTAGGGGATGACTGATTGCTCTGGATCAAAGGCGGTATTTCTAACGTCGCCAGCCGCTTACTCTCGCACGACCCAAAGTCGCTCATTAGTGAGCTGGGAGTGTTGCCAAATTAGAACACGCATCTATCTTGTTGATTCCTGATTATGAAAGACTCGTGCCCCAGGAATCAGATTTGTGGAACTATCTTCGCTGATGATATAGATTCAAACTTTGAAGCATGATTCTCCAACCCATTCGGATGTTCCGTGTTGGACTTGAGAGATAGATGTTAAAATAGGCGTGCAGTAATTCAACTCACTGGCCGTGGGACCATAAGCCCACAGATAATGTCGATTTTATGCAAGGCGAGCATGGCAAGAACAAGGAATCTCCACAGCTGAGCTGAAAGAGGCCCGGAATAGTTACTATCGAGCCATCCGGAGGGCGAAGCGCATCTGCTGGGAAACCTTCCTGGAAGGGGCAACAGACCAGCCAAGCCTTGGGGACACTGCAAGGTGCTGGCAGGCTCTGGGCTATACAAAGCCCAGGGCAGCTGCAATAACCCCAACACTGCGTGGACCCCAGGGACAACTCGCCAGCTCCATTGATGAAAAGGAGGCCCTGGTTCGGGAGACAGCCTTCCCCCAGACACCAGGGGTCAACCGAGAGGTTGAGATCCCGCAAGGGTCCTGGCATGGCCAGGTAGATGAAGGAATAGTTAGAACAGCACTATTCCACCAAGCAGTCCAGAAGGCTCCAGGAATTGATTGGCTGAACTTTCAGGCTCTCTGGCTCTTATGGGATTGGGACTGTTAGGGGTTGAACTTGAGTTGTCTTAACTAAAAGCTACCCTTTATCGTACAAGAAGGAATCGTTGAAGAAGAAACAAACGGAGCAGAAGCGAAGGCAGTCTTTTATGGACATCCGGGGATGACACTCTTTCCTTGGAAGTCAGGAGTCGTACGAAGGAGTCACCGCTAGTCCTTGTATGCAGAGGGTTCGTATGAAGGTCGTCAATAATTGATTCAGAACCCTTGCAGGTTGCGTTCCGTGCTGGCCTTGGCCGAACCTGTCATCTTTTGGGTTCGTACGAGAACCCCATAACACGTGAGGCCAAAGAATCATACCTCTGAATTGCCACATCACCTCTTATGGCCACCCTCAGCAAGATACAACATTCTGGCCAACAACCAGTGCCAAGGAACGCAAGGGAGCGACGCATGTGATGGGCCACCAGCCCAGACCATGATCCTTTAACATCACCATTAGAATGATGGGAGTGACGAACTGCAATTTCTCAGGACAAGCTGGAGATTATACACCCACATGTGACCCCACCTTGGTGGGCAGGTCTGAAACCCCATATAGCAGAAACTCAGGAAGCTGCTCTTGCAACTCATAATGCCATCTTACACAGCAGAGCTGATATCATTGTGTACACAGATGGCAGCTTGACAGAACAGGGAGTTGGAGCAGCAGTAGTTTCACCTAGAGTTGCATTCGGCGCGGTTTGGCGCGGATGGAGGGTGCCCTCCATCCACGCCGCGTGGATTTTGGATGCTCAGGCTTGGATCCGCATCCGCGCCAAAATCCGCGTGGATTGGCGCGGATTAAGCCGCAAAAGCCGCAAGATTCCGCGCTATGCCTATTTAGGCATACACTAAACTAACTGCAGTTAAAGTCGGATTGGATTGGATTCGGATTCTCCAAAGTCCAAGCCGCAATGTAATCCATGACAGACATACAACAGCATCAAGAATTGACTATTATCAATGCTCCATTACATTTGTATCATCTATATCAGTCTCATTCTGCTATCGACCATCTCCGAAGCAAAAATAGCCATATCTTTATGTACATTCTGAATTTGCACAAACATTAATATTGACTCCGTAATGTCTACCCATATATATATATATAATACCCGGCATTCCGTAGTATATGAGATGGATTAGTTTATTGGCCAACAACATCCATATCCAATTGAAATCTATAACAAAGGCATTTCATTGTATATTAATCATTAAATCCAACCATAGTTTGATTAAAAAATTGGCCAACTGCTAGTTATTTACTAAATTACAGTAACATATTGTAATTGGATCTTGTGGATAATCCAAGCCGCAAAATCCACTCCAAGCCACTCCATTCGGATTATCCGCGCCGCTGCGGATCCTGCGTGTATAATCCGCAGCCGCTTCGGATTCTGGCCCATTGGATCCGAATCCGCGCCATTGCGGATTCGGCGCGGATTGGCGCGGATTTTGCGGCTTCGCTGTGCCACTCTAAGCAGTAGTTTCACCTCTGGGGTGCCAAGCAGTTTGCATTGGCTCTCAAGCTACCCACACTGTATATGCAGCAGAATTACAGGGCATAAAGATGGCACTTACCCAAATATGCAACTCAAGTGGACTGGAATCACAATGTTCCTATCAGACCTGTACAGCAACCATCTTCACAGACAACCAGGCAGTGATACAGGCATGCTCAGCTCCAGGAAGGTCTTCTGGCCAATATATCCTGAGTGATATTGCATGCACTGCATCTCAACTACAGGAATGTGGCTGGGATATACAACTGTATTGGCTCCCAGGTCATGAAGGTGTCTATGGCAATGAGTGTGCTGATGCTCTTGCAAAAGAAGCTGCTAATTCCCCAGCTCCCAATGGTGTGGAAGAGCTCACTCTCATGGCCAGCATTTGAAGAATCCTCCACATAGAAGCAGCAAATGCATGGAAGACTGAATGGGCTGCTTCCCCCCATGGGAACTCCGTCTGTTGTTTATGGAAAGAACCCTCAAAAGCACCAATGCAGCTATACCAAGGCCTCCAGAGAGCTGCTACATCAGTCCTCATTCAAATGCAAACTGGGAAGATTGCACTGGCCAGTTACCTTGGTACCTTCAAGGCTGTGGAATCAACTGAATGCTCCTGTGGATGTGGCCTCCAAGACATACACCATGTTCTCCTCCACTGTACCAACCAGGCAGGACCCCAGATGCACCATCTTACACAGGGATCAAGGCAGGAGCTGGATTACCAGGCCTACCTAACACAGCCAGACCTGGTACCAAAAGCAGTGCACTTCATGCTTGAGACAGGCCTCCTAGGCCAGTTTCAAACTCTACCAACCACATACTGAGTCACAACAATAGACTTGGGGAAACCGGCAGCATAATGCAGCCAAGGTTACACGCTTGCAGAAGTAGGGAAGGAAATGAGATAGTATCCAACAAGACCATGGATCCTCATGGCCATGGGAACAGCGGCATGAAAACCAGCAGCACGGGATATACAACACGTGGAATGAGATATCAGGATATGTGTATAAAGGCGACGATGTACATAGCGACTACCATTACGGCGGCTTCCCCGGCTGCCCCGCAGGACCTTCCGCCACTCGGCCTATAGGGCTGACAGATGCGTGTATGAATAATAATAATAATAATAATAATAATAAAGTTCGGAGGAATCAGTATGCAATTCCTTTAATAGAGCATGTTGAACTTCGGGGCGATGAAAACATGCCTTTTGCATAATCTCTGCACATTTTCTCAAAAAGAAAAAGAAAATATAATAAGATTTAGCGAGTCTTTCCTCTCATAGTGCCGTCAATATCCTGTCATTATCGGAAAATAGCTAGCTATACATAAAGTACGCTAGCCGTTTTGGGACGCTACATGACTCACAACTGCCTTCGTGCAAATCCAATTTCTCCTTCCCTGATTTCGTTCTTACAAGCTTCTATCTTCCGGCTACTCGAACCTGAGAAATATCCTACAAAGTGAGAACATCGTCCCTTGTCCAGATATTAATCGTTTACTCACATTCGTCCAGACCAACTACAGTACATCCTCCCACGACGATCACGACGATCACGACGACCAACCCTTCCCCGAGGACGATCTTCCCCCGTCTTTTGTACAGACTCCCTGGGGGACGACACGCTACCTCTGGTATTGCCCGCCAAATCGAATTCAACCCGCAACATTGTCGTGAAAAAAAAAAAAAAAAAAAAAAAAATTTCACCATGGCTCAAAATTGGGCGTGGTTGCCCACTCCGCCAGATTCACCACGCAAACGCCGGCAGCAGTTGCGGGAATCCGAGGAAGTGTCCGGCATGATGCAGATAGAGGACTATATTTACCGCACAGACTCCTATCGATCTACTAGCATGCAACACCCGCCACCACTCCCGTATCGTACAGAACCTGCAGACCGTCGAACAACAGAGGAAGTCGAAGCTCTGGGCACCGATATTTTTGCCATTCTCGAGACCCACGGCTTTCCACGGGCGAGAATGACAGGGATGCCCGTTGTTCAGAGGCTTTTGAAACCAGGATACCCGTCATATAACCCCACTACGGTACTCCGCATTGTGTACAGAGACATAAGGCTGCCTAGACCTATGGGTCCGGCCAAGGATGAACTACTTGACCTTCTACGGCGGAGTGGGATTGCAAATGTCGAAGTCGAAATTCTGGATATCGAAAAGACTTTCCGCCCATCTCTTTTCGCCATCTCTGCCACTGCACCGGAAGTGAGAGAGTACGAGAGTTCTAAAGCCAAGATGATTGAGGTACTGGAGAACACACTTAGGGGAGCGTGGAAGACAATGTGCATGTACCAGTTCGGTCAAAACAAGAGGAAGTCATCTCCGACGGTAGTCATCACTGTCGACCCTCGGGCTAGGTGCAACTGGCACAAACTCATGCTAGAGTTGAGAGAAGTCCAGCCGATGGTCTCCCACCTGCCTGTGGAATTCCTCCCGGGTGGGCTGGGGGACCTCGCCGGTAACTCTCAGTTTGATAGTATGCAAGATTATGGAATCGCGCAAGTTGGGGAGTCAATAACTGTTGCTGGGGAACAGGGTGGGGGAACCTTGGGTCTTTTTGCCCATTTAACCTACGGAGAGACAACCTATTGGGGGTTCCTCACCAACTTCCACGTCGTGAGGCCTGCGAAATCCGCCGAAGCGGACGTGATAAACAGGGCGAACCGGCACGGATCTTCTTTGCATATCGATGACGGCACAAGGTGCCAAGTTGTGAGGTTCGCACCAAAGGATATTACGGAAACCGTTTTAGACGGACAACAGCGCGCCGAAGAGTTAAAGGCGGAACTTCGTGGCCTTCACCAACGAAAGTACTACCTGGAATTGAAAAATACTCCCATCCCACGCGACATTAATACCAGCACTACCGAGTACGAAAAGCTACTCGCACGCTACGAGAGAAGGCTTGGAGTGGCGGCTACAATGCCGACAGGTATCGGGCGCGTGCTGCTTTCAAGTGGTGCCACAATGTGGAACAACAGAGTAGGCGATTGGGCCTTTGTCCAGATGTTCGAAAACATCACTTATCAACCTTTTACTTTCCCTACAATCCCGTCCCCTCAAAAACCCTCGAGAGGACTAAACTATCAGGAGGGCATGCCACTAGCTGGCTTTGGTGAAATGAAAGCAAATGAATGGTACTTCAAAGTTGGAAAGTCGACTGGACTTACGAGTGGTGTTTGTAACGGTGTGCAGGTGTCATGCCGTTGGAATGCGGGGGATAGTGTGCGCCATGACATGTCGGGAAACCAACTTATCGTCGAGCCGAAAGTGACGGAAGAATTTGTTATTCTGAGCGAAGTGGGCGACCACGTCCAGACCGACTTTTGTAAACCAGGAGACTCTGGTTCCGTGCTAATAAACCGTTGGGGACGGGTCTGTGGTTTACTGTACGGCTCCACTTACACGTACGCCGGAATCGATCTGAATGTTTATGCTGGACTGGCAATGACTATGCCGGACGTGAAGGAAACGATCAAATTGAAGTCACGCAACAATGATGGCCAACACGCAGTTCTGGAGTTGTAGCTGTTGCTTGTCGGATCGCCCGGGCTCGGTTTGTCTTTTACAAGCACCCTAGCGGGTAGTGGTGAGATCGTGTGTCTGGCATACGTTAATAGGGATCACTATTTTGTTGCTCTCGAAATATTGTTTTTTCATATCGCCATTTCCTTTGTTCGACGCCCCCCTTTTACCCTACCTTGTCATCCCCCTCCCTTCCCCTTCCCTCTCACCCTTGCCTACCCTACCAAGATAATATGGGAATATGGTTAAAAACTTTCTTCTTGCAGGGCATGAAGCTCGTCCAGGGACGGTTCCAAATCATAACTTATTCATCATTTGTCGACGAACCCAGCAGCGCTGGTATGCTCCGAGGACACATTTGCACTGCTGGCACAAATAGTGAGTTAATCCACCTCCAAATTAATTCATGATCATCATACTCAACAATCCTGTATAGTGAGCGGAGTCCGGGCCGAAATATCAGGGGCTGAATCCTTCGGAGTCTCAAATTAATCCAACAACACTGTAGCCTCGCACATTTTATCAATCACTAAATTTCAAGATGGTTCTACAGAAAGGCCGTGGTTTACTACACAAAATAAAGGGATATTTCAAACACAAAAGAAACCCCTCTTCACCTTATTCTATCGCCAATTTATCCCCGGAACTGGTGCAAGTGATTGCCGCTTTTTTAGACGCTCCAGAATTTTGCTCCCTACGATTGACCTGCAGAAAGGTCTACAAGAGCACATCAAGTTATTTTGCGCGCACTTATCTTCGAACAGTGAAGATGGACCTTTCTTTGAATAAGTTGCAGACACTGGAAAGCGTGTCGTAGAATCCAAGTCTAGCACCACTGGTCCAAAAGTTGGTAATCCAAGTACCAGAATATGGTCTTAGTCCTCTTGGGCATGGGATTTTGTGGAGTCGACATCCTTCAGGTCATATTTCTATGCCACAACAAGGAATCCAACAGTGGCAAGATGTACACCAGCGCCTAGTCCACTGCAGGTCTTTCCAGTTAATTCGCAACAATCATTATGAGACTTATGAGCAGGGTAGCCTTCTGACTCCCAGTGATGCCATCACATTGATTCTCAACATCATCATTAACACAGGAATACCTGTGGTGGCATTCTCTGTGAATTATAGGCGAGGGGTAGGAGCAGACTACCTTGTCACTGAACGCATCAATGCAAACCTGCAGCAATCAGAGTTCATCACTGCATGGTCCAATCTCCAGGAGCTCGGTCTCAATTTTACAATGGAACGAACATTGATTGTTGACTGGGCTTTCCAGCTCATTCAACACGCAAAAAATCTACAAAAGCTTCAAATCGATTTTGATCATGGCGACGAAACAAATTCCTTTATCAACCGCCTATCGTATGCGGATTGTCTGTCTCACCTAAAAGAACTAACGCTCAAAGCTACATCAGTATCCAGTGAACACATCAGGCGTTTCCTCCGCTATCATCAAAACCTCCGCAAACTTTCCCTTCGTGCTATAGTCCTGGAGAATGTCTTCCCATTCTCAGATTCCTACAGCATGAATCCCCCACACTTGAAGAAATTGAAATTTTCCACCTAAGAGACGGACGCAAACTCGTTCATTTTCCAGGAGTGTCAGCAAATCCTATTATCGATGAGGCACAAGGCACAAAGTTGTTTGAAATTTTGAATACGCTAAATGCTCGCGAAGTAAACAAAAACATACAACAGCCGGGATTCGCTGGTGGTCACCCACCCAACTACTAACCGGCCGGCGTGTGGCTTAAGTACGGCTGAGCGGACGGGAAGCCCTGTTCTCCACACCCTATGGTCGTATGTACTAATTTTCTATAGGAAGGGATTTTATATACTCTGTAGCCAGAACTAAGATGCAGACAACAATCTGTCCTGAACTCCCGTGGCTGGTTGATCTTCGGTACTTATTACGAGAAAGACTTTATTGGTGGACCTGCTATGCATATGCTCAGCTACCAATAATATATTTCTTGATCTGCAGGCCGTGAATTAACCCCTCATCTCACTTCCCACAAATAAAAAGACTGAACACTCTTCGTTAATCTCAAAAAAAGAGAAAAGTCCCGGAAAATCTAAGCATTTCACTACCAAATTCCCCCAAGGTACTTACTTTTTCATACCTTATTGCATAGTCCCTCAATCTAACAATTAACCGACCCCTCAACAGAACCACAATGTCACAATCAATCATCATCCCAGCCGGCTTCAACCCCGATGGTAAATGCCTGCAACCCACAGACTGCTTCACCGGCAAGGTCTACTTTGACGCCCTCCACTCCGACCAACAAACCTCAATCGCCAACGTCACCTTTACCCCCTGCGCCCGCACACACTGGCACACGCACCCAGATGGTCAATTCATCAGAGTGGTTTCTGGGAATGGCTGGGTTTGTGACAAAGGGGGTGCTCCTCAGAGGTTGAGGACAGGGGATGTTGTTTGGGCTCCTGCGGGTACTACGCATTGGCATGGCGCGGATGATAACAGTACCATGACGCATTTTGTCGTTGGGCATGGGAAGACGGCTTGGCATGATGTTGTTTCAGATGAAGAGTATGGGAGAAAGGCCCTATAGATAGTGATATCACGTTGTATCATTCAGCACGTGATATAGCTTTATCTTAACCTCAATTACTCTCTTTACAACAACAACAACAACCACGATGACAATGGCAATGTTGGTAACTCCCACAGAAATCCTCAGCCCTTCGGTTCCCGGTCTACCAAGCAAAGACTTGGTCATAGCTCCCTGTAAGAAAAAAAAAAAAAAAAAAAAAAAAAAAAAAAGGCTCCGATTGCAATACACTCGTGTACACCTGCCGCGGAAAATGTCTTCTTCATTAAACTTAGATTTTCTAGCTTTTGATGGATGTGTCAGGAAATTCTTAGGGCTCTTTGACTCGTCAGATGTATGCTTTCAGCGAGCGTTATGTGGAGGTCTATCAGTCACAGATTCTTCTACGGAGATTGCTGCCCAGACTGGCCCGTATCTTGAACGCCTTTAGGGCAGTCTTTCGGGAGGAGGACGTGGATTCCGGACAAAACCAACTCCTCGGTCATATGATCTGGGCTCAAGGATGTACCATTTTCCCGCGCTGAACAGGATTCTTTGGACAAACTCCTACGAGAATTTGCTGGCGATCTTGAAATGTGGGCAAGAACCCAGCGCTGGTACATTTGTTTTTCTAGTGCTAGATCCCCTTTATGCCGTACTAACCAAAGGAAAGGACGCGAGATTGGGTCAGTATTGCCTCTAGAGACTGGTTTAGTGGTGCAGGAAAATGGAGTCAGGAATCTGCCAGTCTAAATACTGCACTCATGAGGTCAGCAAAAACAAAAACATACAACGGTGGTCACACAAGCAGGGGTGAGCTTGGGTGAGTGCACTATAGAGAGGGTGAGCAATCACCACTTGCAGGGGAATCCTTCGCTTAGTACTAAGTATAGCTGCAAGGTTGGCAATTCAGCCCCCATCTAAGACGATCACCACCACAGCCCAGCTGAAAACTTTGATAACCACAAAAGTTTCTGTATCAGACTAATCATTGGTGGCCTCATGAAGAGCAAGCAGCCTTGCGGTTGGCTAATAAAATGGTCATGTTTCATTCATTGTGAATCCCCAAATTTGAACCTTTGCATATCTGCCACGTACTTCCAGGCCACCGCAACTGTGTGGTTTGCGGTATGGTTAAAGACAGCAACACCAGTACTCCGTACGGAGTACTCTTAACCTTTTCAATTTTCCCCTCATTTCTTGACTGTTAACACTGTATCGAATGATGTCTAGGGCCTCTGGAGGCCACTGGTGTGTCCTCACAGCCGTCTGCACTCTGATGTGGGGAGTTTACTTCAGTAAATAGAACATCTGCTACTTGAAGTGTTCTGTACGGATCTAATACTGGGAAACTTCAAAATATAGTATACGACCTCCCGGCATCACTATCAACTCCGTTGCAAGTACATTTAGGTCTTTCTGATTCGAAATATGCCTACCTTGTATCCGCGCTGTATACCGCATACGCGGCTCCAAATTCGATCCTCCCCTTCTTCTCCGGACCCCTCGTGCAGCGCTTCGGCGAGAAATTCGCTCTTTTGCTGACACTCACGAGTGTGGTTTTCGGGCAGTTGATATTTGTACTCGCCGTGCAGATACGGTTCCAGTCGGGAATGATCCTAGGCCGGATCTTGCTCGGGCTTGGGGCTGAGGTTATGGGGGTATTGGGAACTGAGGTTACCACGCGGTGGTTCAGGTCCGTATATTTTACTACAGGTAATATCTGTTATTGCTAACGCATAGGCAGAGATAAGCGCCTCTCGCTGGCATTGGCGATGAACCTCGCATCGTGGAGACTAGGCAGTGTTACCAATTCGATTCTCGTTCCGCAGCTGGCCAAGGTCCATGGTGTTGTTGCTGCGGGGTGGATGGGCACTGTACTCGCGCTTGGGGTATCGATTCTGAGTGCGACTTACCTGGTGTCTATCAGGGACTCTGTGAGTACAGAAACAGACGACGAAGAAGAAGGAGACGTAGGAAGAAGAGAACGAGATTTCAGCATTCTCACCTTACTCTCCAAATGTCCCTGGATATTCTGGCAGCTAGGACTTATCTGTATGCTGGGATACGGCGGCATCAACACATTTACAAACTCAGCGCAGCGATTCCTCGCGTCTACGTTCTATGGAGGTGATCAGCGCGCTGCTGGTTCGGCGACAAGGTAATTTGCAGACATAATTGGTATCTTGTGCACTGTGCTCCAGAGCTAATGAGTGTACCTACAGTATTCCATATATTCTATCAAGCGCTCTCGTTCCTCCATTGGGCCTTTTGCTGGATCTACCATTATTCAATCACTATCCCGCTGCTCTAACCATTACTAGTTTGCTAACGTTCTTTGCGCATCTACTATTTCTAACCAGCACTGGCATTGGACCAGTTCCCCCACTGTGTTTACTGGGCATTGCATATGCGCTTTCCGGGGTTGCATTCTGGACCAGTCTCACACAATGTCTTATCTTTGTAGGCAAGACTTGGTCTGCTGTAAAAGGCAGAGGGATAGTGCAAGATGCGCCCGACAGAGGGTATGGGACGATCGACGCGAATCAAGACAGCAACAACTCTGAAAACGCTCAGGAAGTGATCACGTTCGGATTCGGGGTCATGACGAGTCTCATGAACTTGGCTTCCGGGGCTGTCCCAATTCTCCTCGCTGGTGCAGAGAATATCGCCGGATATGCTGGTTTGGAAATGGTCTTTCTTGCACTTGCGGGTTTTGGATGTCTGGCTTCGGCGCAGTTGGCGTGGATGTGGAATGATATTTAGATTTCAGTCTATAGAATTTATATACTTAAAGAGACGACAAGGTCAATTTTCAGCAGCAGACATGCTTTGCTGTGCATCTTGAACACAACGCTTCCAACTGACCCTCTTAATAAACGCCAGCTCTATCCAAACCACTACACACAACGCCAACAGCGTCCCAATCCAGAACCCCGAAACATTCCACTCAAGCCCAAATGCGATCCCAAACCCAACTGGGAGACCAAGGACACTAAAAGCACCTGTCTGCACCCATCCCGCTACATCCTGCCGTCCAATGGCGCACAGAACCCCGTTGCTAATGGTAGCGACGCACTCCACAACATGACAGACCGCACACATCGGCAAAACGCTCAGAACCATCTCAATCACATCATCTTCCTTTGCAAAGACACGCGCAATGTACCGTCCAAACACCAAGAGTATGGACATACCAAAGCATCCAACACCGACGGCAACATACAGTGAGACACGCGTGGCTAGCCTCGCTGCATTGGGGCTTCCGGCGCCGATCCAATTCCCGATGCGAATTCGGGATGACGTGGATATAGCGAATGGAATATGCCAAAAAATGTTTGAGACGGTGGAGAGAACGGTCTGCGTTGCGAGGATGGAGGGGCCTAGGTACGACGCGGCGTAGGTGTTAAGGCCGTAGGCGAGGGTCTCGACTTCGACGGTTAGGAGACTAGGGATTGAGAGGCGGATCATGGGTCCCCAGTTGCGGAAAGATTGCTTCGTGAACCCAGTCCAGCACTTGTCTAGAGAGAAGAAGTAGACATGGAGGAAGAAAGTGAGAGCTATGAGGTTGTCTGTCAGGGCCAGGGCTATGGGGGCGCCGATAAAGCCCATTCCACGGTTCTATAAATGTCAGATTTACAACACTTCTGTAATCCATGTGAGGAGAAGCGTTTACTTACCCAAACCAAAAACCAATTCAAAAAAGCACTAATCGGCGTACATATCAACAACACATACATCCCCGCCGAATAGCACCCCTGTGCCTGGATATACCTCCTCCCAGCCTCAAACGCCGCATATCCCGGCATCCCCCAAGCCGCGATATGCAAATATTTCCCCGCCAGCACAGCCGTATCCCGCTCCGGTATAATGTGCAACAAAATCCCTTCCGCGCACCACCACAGCGCCGCCAGTGGAATGGTCACCAGGGTCAGCAAAAGGGCCATTCGCTGTAGATGCACAGAGGTGAGATGCTTCATGTCGGACCCGTAGGACTGTGCGCATAGCGTATCCAGGCTCGTGGTTAGGCCATAGTATACAGCGTAGCCGGTGGCGTTTGCTGTGAAGCCGGCGAGACTGGCGGCGCCGAGTTCGACGGTTCCTAGGTTCCCGACGGTGATTATGGTGATGGTAGTGAGGGAGTATTCGAGGAGGAGGGAGAGGACTACCGGAGTGGCATTTTTGGCTATAGTTTTTGCTTCTGTCGATATTGTAGTTGTATTTGTGCCGTTTATCTGGAAGGTTGTTCGCTGGGAAGATTCAACGCGTGTACCTGTCTCGGCCTCTGCATCGTCGTCACTGTCTGATGGTCGCTCTAGCCTGGTATATTGGGTCTTTTCGCGCAGTGTCGACCCGAAAAAGTCGTGGAGTATCTCTCGGATAGCTTGCATTTTAAGCTTCGAAAGGCTAATGAAATGGTACTGAGTGCTCAAGATTTTTGACACTGCTTGAAAAGGGATACGGATTCATATGGCACGTCATATTCTTAGAGATGCCAACGCAAGGAGGAATGATCGGGAGTGCACATACCACATAGGTGAGCTGTAATCAATATACATAGTTCCAAAGGAGGTTAGTGCTAGATCGACGCCCCCTTCTGATGTTCGGGTCCCCAAATTTCCTATTTAGGTATAGCAAGAATGAAAATCATTGAAATTAAGTACCGGATTACGACTATGATGTACAAGGCTATTGGGGGAATTGTACGGTGTACAGTCTCTCTAATCATTATTATTTACTTCTTCCAATAGAACTTGAGCTACTTTCTTGTGTCCGTTTTCAGAGGCATGCATCAAAGGTGTCCATCCATCATCGTCCCGAGAATTAACATCAACACCACCACATGCCAGAAGCAGTCTCACAATACTTTCATAGCCCTCTTGAGATACATTATGCAGTCACGTCATGCTACTTCTTCTCTATCTTGTTCACGTCCTTCAACTTCGGGTGTTTCATCTCAACTTCACTACTTTCAGTTTCATCAAAATGGGGTAAGTCGCAATAAATAACCCTTATCGGAATATACTAACATCACTAGATACTCCCACTTCTGAGAGATCAAAAGAGACCTCGACAAATGGCAAGCCATCTGGCCCCAGTTCATCGAAAATGTCCAGTTAATCCTCGCATACTCAGGAGATGGACTGTCCGATGCCGACAGATATGACTGGTTTCGTGATTATGACAGCCGCGAGGGTCATCATTCTTACCGTTACCGTGATTGTGTTTCTTACAGTTATGACTCTGACGACTCTGACGACTCCGATGATAACGAGCCGCCTTCTTTCGTTGCCTATGTAGACGAAGGAATTAGTATCAACGGAATCGGAGACGACGCCCACGAACCGTTTACTTGGTATCCCGATAGGGATCATGGGGGTATAAAGACTGCGCACAAGCCGTATGATGATGTGGTTACATGTATCATGCTGATAGCGTATATGCTGATGCCAGATGCTTTTGAAATCCGGTGAGTTTATATTTTCTTTGGATTACTTTCCTCATTGAGACTGACTTTTATAGTTCTAATGGTGACCGGGGTGACTGGAAACCTGGGCTTGTCTGCCTGAACCAACATCGTAGACAGTTCTGGGCATATAAACCGTCATGACCAGAGGCAGGAACCAGACTCCTACCTTATCTGCCCCGTTCGAATCACGATAAAGAATGAGAGGGAAGGAAAAAATAAGATAAAAGATAATCAGATAAAGCGACCCTCTTTGCATGCGGAGGAAGAAAGAAAGAAAAAAAAAAAAAAAAAGCAAAAATAAACTCCCCGACTGGGAATCGAACCCAGGTCTCCCGCGCTTGCAGTTATTAGGCTGACAAGCGGAAATCATGACCACTAGACCATCGAGGACTTGACATTTGTTGGTTTCCATTTAAAATATATAAGGTTCCCTAGCCAGTGCAACCCTAAGCATAAGATACGAAGTGCATCACTACTGGTGACAGGGATGCATTAGTGTGTGATTATATGCTGGTACTGGCACTTTTAAATTTTAGTATGGGTTCGTAATAAAGGATAAATCGCTGTTTGCGGTGTGAGGGGCGCTCAGCCTTGTCTGTCCCTTGTATATATATCTCCGGGGTCTACTCCGGAGTTCATCACCGTACCGTACCTGCGTATATTGTCATTCCTACCAGAAGGCAAAGTGAGGAAAATGTCCAAGCCAGCCTTTGTCTTTGCCCCCGGCGCCTGGCACCCAGCCAACTCTTTCGACAATGTGACATCGATTCTCACAGAACAAGGCTACGAATGCCGCTCCATCGCCTTCCCCTCCGTCACCCGCGCAACCGAAATCAAAGATGCGTTGTTGACCGAAGATATCGCTACCATCCGAAGTGTGATCGAGCCGCTCGTCGATGCAGGTCGGAATGTTGTCCTCATAATGCACAGCTGGGCCGGTGTACCCTGTTGCTCGGGGTTGCAGGAGCTGACGAGGGCCGAGAGACAAGGGAAGGCTTAGATGGGGGAGTTGGCTATTTATTCTTCATCAATTCGTTTTTCGGCAATCTAGGAGAGAATTTGTTGGAGTTTTTCGCTGAGATGAATATCAATTGGTGGGTTGTGAATGTATGTCCCTAGTCCCGCTTCCCTTGTTTTTCGACTACATTATGTTAACGTGGGCACAGGAGGAAACAAAAACCCTATTCCCCGATGACCCAATCTATCGCTTCTACTTCGACCTCCCCGCGGCCGAAGCCCTGAAATGGGCTGCTGCCCTGCGGCCGCATGCGTTGCTCAGCATGGGGGTACCAGCTACGGGCGCCGCGTGGCTCGAAGTCCCGTCGACTTACTTGATTTGTACGAAGGATAATGCAATTACTCCAGAGTTCCAGCGGAAGATGGTAGAGCGTGCGCAAGCGGAGGGCGCGAATATGAGGACGGTGGAGATGAAGACAGGGCATAGTCCTTGGTTGGTTGATGCAGGGGTGTTTGTTGGGCATTTGTTGGATGCGGTTAGCACGGGTATGTGATGTAGTCTGACAGAGTTTATTATATTTTGTTAGTGATATCTATGCTACAATGTTCATCGTAAACCCACTCGAGGAAGTCACGTCGCCGTCCTCGACGACGAAGGTAGACGTCCCTGTGTAGAACGCTTGACCTTCTACTTGCACCACCACAGATTCAATGGGTTTCCCCTCTGGTCCATCTATCGTAGCCTTTTTGACAATCTCAGCGCTAAAAGCACCCGCCTTAAAATGGTTCGAGACAAGAGAGTTATATGCCCAACGTTGGCCAATGGGCCTTAATCCCTTTGCATGAGCAAGGGCCATCCGCGCTGTCACGCAAGATCCCGTGGGAGATCGATCGATTTGGTTCTCAGCAAAATAGCAAAGACCAGTCTCTGCGCTGACCACGTTGTCTGATTTGTAGCCCGTGTTGGGATCGACGATCATCACAGAGTACAAGAAGGATAAACGCTCGTCTTCGGGGTGCTGAATCGCAGACTTGATTCCAGGGTCGACTCAAGATAAGGCTTCAGCTTCTGCACGCATCGAGTCACAGCATCCAGATCCAATTTTTTCAAACCATTAGAGAATCCTAGCTCGCACGCATTAACAATAGCGTAGAATGCACCGCCGTAGCTGACATCCAAGCAAATAGAGTCCTTCTTATCAAGCTCCGGCCACCGAATTTCAGCCGGAATCGGTACCTTTAACAGAATCGCACTAGCAAAAGCCGGCGTGGACAAGAAAGTCACCGGCCGCGACGCTTCAGACTTTCTCCCATTTGGGGCAACAGGCACGGTCACTCTGACCAATCCACAAGGCGCATGGATATTGACACCAACCGTTTGTGTCTCTGGATCAACTTCCAGCTCTTCCCGCCGCGGGAAAACGGCAAGATCATGCGTATCAACCAAAAACCTCCCTAGTGCGATAGTAGCATGCCCGCACATTGTCGAGAACCCCTCATTATGAATAAACAGGACGCCGACATGAGCCTCTCCAGACCGAACGAGTTCAGTATCCGGCCGGATTATCGCGCCATACATGCCATCATGACCACGCGGTTCAAGCATCAATCGTCGACGGACATGGTCATGGTCGCGCATTGCTTGGTCGCGCTGTTCTAGTAGGGTCCCAGATAACGATGGAAAGCCCGAGTAGACGATCCGGGTTGGTTCGCCGGTGGTGTGCATGTCAATGCAGCGGATGGATTGTGTGCTGGTGGCATTTTCGAGTGATTGTGCTAAGTCCATGTCGATGGTGATACGAGCAAGTAGACTGTAAGGCTACGGCAGAAGTAGCAGTTTGGATGATTGATATCTGGCCGCGGGGTTGAGGGGTTGTCAGATGTGACCCACAAAGGGCGATGTACTACCTAGTACATAGGGCGTAGTGATTAACCTCAAATAACGATTCAGAGTCAGTGTCAGTAGTCGAATACCTACGAAGTAATGTGGAAAAGTGCTTTGATGGTGTCGTATTGCTGAGGAAAAAAAGACGAACGTAATTGTAATGACTATGACTACTAGTTACATCTGCCATTATAATATCTGGCAAAAAAAGAAAAAAGAAAGGTATGGCCCCAATCGCGACTCGAACGCGAGACCTCTTCGATATCAGATTTGTTGACCCGAACGAAGAATCATACCACTAGACCATCGGGGCTATTGATGATGTATGCTCAGTCCCATGTTATATATGCTAAACTCACTGCATATTGAACTTGATCAGAATTTTCAGGCATGTACGTATGCAAGGAGAACAATGTTTATCACGCAATTCTCAACAGTAGTGGTGATGAACACGTTGTGTGACGCTTTTCCTAGTTGGATTTTCTGCCACTTTCTCCTATCGTCGTTTTCTCCCAGCATCCTGTTAGCCTATCAATTCCTTGCAAATCTTGCATCGTTTGACTGCCCCCCAGTTCCTCCCATTATATGGGGTACTCACCGCCTGCCGAGAGAAGCAACATCCTGGTCACCGCCTTCGGTCGATCCTGCCGCTAATGAATAATGGCGGGTTTATCGAACTGGCCCATAGTGGCGGATGCTTTGGTGTCCCCTTTCGCCTCCATTATTGCATCTTGTGCACGTATCGTTGCGCATACTCGTTTGTTCTCCCTTTCTTGCTTATCCGGCATTTTCCATTTGCTCGATTTCATCCGGCGTTTGTCCGCTGCCAATTGAGGTGAACCCCGTGCATCAAGCGTCGTCTTCCCCCATTACTGTACTTGCATGCTTCCAAGGTCCTCTGTGCCTCCTCGCCTGTGGAACATCGGAGGTCGTCTGTATATCCCAGCCAGTCGCTCGCTCCTCCGTCCTAGCACTATCGCCGCAGCCGCGTCTTATTGCTCTGTTCTGCCACGTCCGCCGCTCTCGTATCGGAGCCGTCTTTTGTCCAGCCCGTCAGCCGGCCGTTTCTTTTCCCAGTCTTCTTGCAACCCATTCTCCACACGTTCCGTGACCATGGGGCCAATTGAACGTCTGACAGAACACCTGGACAAACCGGAGGTTGACAACAGATCATACCGGGTGATCCGTCTAGAAAATAAGCTCGAGGCTCTCTTGGTTCATGACCCGGATACAGACAAGGCCAGCGCGGCCTGTAACGTCAATGTGGGAAACTTTTCAGACTATGATGACATGGCGGGGCTCTCCCATGCCGTCGAGCACCTTCTATTTATGGGAACAGAGAAAGTAAGCAGCCCCACGCTTGTTGTCCCTTTCTAGAGCCGAGAACTAACCACTCCCTGTCATAAAGTTCCCTCAGGAGAATGCCTACAACCAATATCTCGCCGCCCATTCGGGATCATCCAACGCCTACACCGCAGCGACAGAGACAAACTACTTCTTTGAAGTGTCTGCTACATCGACTGACGACCATGCGCACAACCACGTCGCCACTAATGGATCGGTCAACGGGTCTACCAATGGCACTGATGTAAAGCAAAATGGGACTGGACAGTCCGAAGAAGCCTCCGCATCGCCCCTTTACGGAGCCCTTGACCGTTTCGCACAATTTTTTGTCGGTCCGTTGTTCCTGGAATCGACTCTCGACCGTGAGTTGAGAGCGGTGGACTCGGAGAACAAGAAGAACCTTCAGAGTGACCTATGGCGTTTGATGCAGCTGAACAAATCTCTGTCCAACCCCAAGCACCCATACAGCCATTTCTCCACTGGCAACCTGCAGACACTGAAGGAGGAGCCGGAGAAACGCGGACTTAATGTCCGCGATGAATTCATCAAACACTATGAGAGGCACTACTCAGCTAACCGCATGAAGCTTGTCGTTCTTGGACGGGAATCGTTAGACGATCTTGAGAAGTGGGTTGGCGACTTTTTCAGCGACGTAAAGAACAAGGACTTGCCGCAAAATCGATGGGACGATGTACAACCATGGTTGTCCGAACATCTGGGGATCCAAATATTCGCCAAGCCAGTCATGGATACCCGGTCGTTGGATTTCTATTTCCCATTCCTTGACGAAGAGTTTTTGCACGAGTCCCAACCAAGCCGCTATATCAGCCATTTGGTGGGTCACGAGGGCCCAGGTAGTATCTTGGCCCATATTAAGGCGAAGGGTTGGGCAAATGGCTTATCTGCCGGTGCCATGCCCATTTGCCCTGGATCTGCTTTCTTCACCATATCTGTTAAGTTGACCAAGGAAGGATTGAAACAACATCGTGAAGTGGCGAAGGTGATTTTCGAGTACCTTGCCATGGTCAAGGAACGCGAGCCGGAACAGTGGATATTTGACGAAATGAAGGATCTCACTGAAGTCGACTTCCGGTTCCGACAAAAGTCCCCGGCTAGTCGCTTCACAAGCCGCTTGAGCAGTGTCATGCAGAAGCCCCTGCCTAGGGAGTGGCTGCTGAGTGGCTCGAATTTAAGAACATTCGATGCCGAGCTTATCAAGAAGGCACTGTCAACCTTCCGGGCAGATAACTTCCGAGCCGTCATTGTGGCCCAAGAATACCCGGGTGACTGGGACCGTAAGGAGAAGTGGTACGGTACAGAGCACAGAGTTGAGAAGATCCCCGAGGACTTCATGTCAGAGATTCAGAAGGCGCTGGCCAGCACCCCAGAAACCAGAACGTCTGACTTGCACATGCCTCACAAGAACGAGTTTGTCCCGACCCGACTCTCCGTGGAGAAGAAGGAGGCTTCGGAGCCATCCAAGACGCCGAAGCTCATCCGCCACGATGACCGTGTTCGTCTTTGGTTTAAGAAGGACGACCGTTTCTGGGTCCCCAAAGCCATCCTGCAAATCACTCTCAGAAACCCGTTGGTCTGGGCGACGCCTGCAAACTATGTGAAATCGCGACTGTATTGTGAGCTTGTGAGAGATGCTTTGAATGAGTATTCTTACGACGCAGAGCTTGCCGGTTTGGACTACAACCTCTCTTCCAGCATGTTCGGCTTCGATATCTCGATTGGCGGATACAACGACAAGATGTCAGTGCTCCTGGAGAAGGTGTTGACAGGCATGCGTGACCTTGAGGTCAAACCGGAGCGGTTCCACGTCGTCAAAGAGCGTTTGTCCCGGGCCTACCGTAACGCAGAGTATCAACAGCCGTTCTACCAAGTCGGAGAATTCACCAGATACCTGACGGCAGAGAGGACCTGGATCAACGAGCAGTTTGCTGCAGAACTGGAATTCATCGAAGCCGAAGAGGTTTCGGCATTCTTCCAGGAAATCTTGCAACAAACTCACATCGAAGTTCTGGCTCACGGTAACCTCTACAAGGAGGATGCTCTCCGGATGACGGATTCAGTGGAGAGGGTGCTACAGAGCAGGCCTTTGCCTCCGTCTCAATGGAATGTGCGGCGCAACATGATTATTCCCCCGGGAAGCAACTACGTCTACGAGCGGACCCTTAAGGACCCTGCGAACGTCAACCACTGTATCGAATATTACTTGTTCGCCGGAAGCAGCATGGACCACGTTCTCCGGGCCAAGCTTCTGCTGTTTGCCCAGATGACTGACGAGCCCGCGTTCGACCAACTTCGAAGCAAGGAACAGCTGGGGTATGTTGTCTGGAGCGGCGCTCGTTACTCTGCCACTACCATTGGGTACCGGGTCATCATTCAGAGTGAGCGCACTGCGAAGTATCTGGAGTCTCGTATCGATTCCTTCTTGAGCGACTTCGGAAATAAGTTGGCGGACATGTCAGACCAAGAATTCGAGGGCCACAAGCGCAGCGTTATCAAGAAGAGACTCGAGACGCTCAAGAACCTGAGCTCCGAGACCAGTCGTTTCTGGACGCATATTGGCTCGGAATACTTTGATTTCGTGCAGAATGAGGTCGACGCTGCCACCGTCCGAACACTGACCAAGTCGGACGCCATCCAATTCTACGAGCAATACATTAATCCTCAGTCTATCACTCGGGCCAAGCTCGCTGTGCACCTGATTGCACAGAACGGCACTCACCCGGAAGCCACAAGTGTGCCGGAGCGGAAGTCCCAGCTGGTTCTGAACATTGTTGAGCAGCTGGAAACCGCCGGATTCGCAGTGGACCCGAAACGTTTGGAGTCTGCATTCGCCAAGGTCGATGTGTCGACCGGTGACAAGGCCCAGATCCTGTCCACCCTTAGCGCATTCTTGTTGAATGAGATGAGCCTCTCCGAGCAACAAACGAAGTCGGCACTCGAACAGGCCGAACGCTACCTGGGCTTCCAGTTGAAGCATCTGGGCTTCGAGTCGAGCGATGAACACAATGTCGAGGACTCTGTTGAGACCTCTGCTGGGGCCAATGGCATCAAGAAGCGCAAGGTCCAGGGTGTGACCTACATCACTGATGTGCCGGAGTACAAGGCTCGTCTGGCTGTCAGCGCTGGGCCTCATGCTGTCACTGATATCAGTGAATTTGAAGATTTTGATGCTAAGCTTTGATTTATCCTTATGTGACACGATGTGGATGGCATGCTAGAGAGCAATTTTATTTCATGGTGAGTTGCATTTTGTATCTCGGTGCATTGGTTCGGCTGAATTGGGGTGATGATAGGGAGTCGTTGGGGTTTTGGATAATGAATATGATGAGTAGAGTGAAATTAGATTCAGCCATAGATAATGTCTTTGCATTTAGTCTTTGAGACTGTGTGCCTTTCATTCGTGTGTCCTTCGTAGTCTCTATGTATGTATCTCGGCTCGGCCAAACGTTTCCGCGGGCTCGGAGCTCCAGGTGTTGATCGCAGCACCGACTTGCGACGAGCATCAACCCTGCGACCTACCAATCCTTTTATTTTCTTGTTATCGTGATAATAACAGAGTGACTGCTTGCAATTAAACCCGTGAAATAGCCCAGCCACCAAAATGGCAACCACTACAGCCACAGCCATGCAAAGCTCTCGCCCGTACGTCTATTTACTTCATGAGATAGCAGCAGTTACCAAGAATCATCATTCGATCTCAAGTAACTAACATACGCTCAATCATAGACCAACCCTCCCCAAAGACTTCTCCGCCCAGCAACCGCAGACCATCCGCCTCTACCCCCTTTCGAACTACACATTTGGCACCAAGGAAACGCAACCAGAAGAAGACCCGTCGGTACTGGCCCGTCTAAAGCGCCTCGAGGAACACTACGATCAATATGGTATGAGACGGACATGTGAGGGTGTTCTTGTGTGTCATGAGCATAATCATCCGCATGTGTTGATGTTGCAGATTGCGAATGCGTTTTTTAAGCTGTATGTGCCCCGGCACTTGAATACCCCATTTGAGAAGGGGAATGATAGACGAAGGAGTATACTGATATGTGTGATGTCGGTGTAGACCAGGGGACTACCTGCACTACGAAGACGACGAAGTCGACGGATTCAAGAAACGGCTAAACGAGCGTCTTGCACCGGTCGGATCGCAGTTCTCTGGCGAGGGCGTCAATGAGGATTGGGAGATTGGCGATACGCTTGCGCAGTGGTGGAGGCCGAACTTTGAGACATTTATGTATCCGTTCTTGCCGGGACATGTGACGAGGCCTAAGGAGTGCAAGAAGTTGTATTTCATTCAGTTGCCAAAGAAGAGTGCGCCTTCCCCCCTTCTTTTCCACTTCCCACTTATTCTGGGGTTATTTGGGTATGCGTGATTGTTGCTAATATGGAATCGTGGTTAGAGGTCCTCTCCGTCCCCAAGAACATGAAACTCCTCGCCGTGCCCCTGTTCGAGCTGTACGACAACACGGGCCGATACGGTCCCCAGCTCTCCGCCATCCCGCACTTACTCTCCCGGTACAACTTCGAATTCGTCGATGAGAATGATAACGTCGTTGCTGCTACCCCGGGGACACCGTTGCCCGAGGGTCAAATCCCGAAGACCAAGGTGCTTGCGTGGGATGGCCAGGATGAGGGAATGGCCGATTATACCGAGGGGAATGGTGGGGTAGACATTCAGAGTTAAGATAGCACATGAAGAGTCAGGTTATCCGGGTAGTAAGGATTTACTCCGGGGTCGGAGACGGATGTTTGTCCTCTGCAGGAACTAATATCGGGGTTTAGGTGCATCGCTTGATCGTCGGTTGGTGTTCTAGGAGCGCTTCTTTCTCTTTTATTTCGTTTTATGATCAGGTTTTTAATTCATGATTTTGACATGTACTCTGTATATCAACTGTCTACCAAGATTCCCGGATGTAAATGCTCTATCTAGCTATACCATAACGAAGACGAAAAAAATGCCGAAGCATGAAACCTACCCAATCCGATCACATGCAGCCCTGCAGAAGTAGCCCCGGAGTAGCCCCGGAGTAGCCCCGGAGAAACTAAATTAAGTACGAGGGGTCAATTCCTCTGCATCAGCACTAATATCCCCGGAGTAAATGCTATCTACCAAGACTATCATAACAAAAACGAACAGGAAAAATACCTCAATGCGACCACTCGCAGTAGCGCCGGAGCCGTATCCACATCACATTATATGCAGGTTCACCTTGGCGAAGCACATAAGCAAATTGCCCAAGCCCTCCCCATAAAAAACACCCAGACACTTACATATTTACCAACCAATCTGACAGACGATCTTCACATGTTCCTGTCTAACCTTCTTACTCGGGAACGGGATTGAATGTCTATCAATGATTTGTGCCTTTCGGGGGCGTACGTAAACGGCCAAGCCCGTGTTCTGTCGTATTATGTATATTGGCTTTCTGGCGCTGCCAGCTTGCGGCCGGGTTGGTGTGGGATTTCGAGTCCTGCTAGCGTTGTAAAGTTACTACAATCCCGTCTCACCCCACTCGGGGTGGCCAGCCTCGGCGGAGAATGAGGCTTTGAAGCATGAGTGAGTACGGAGGGGGGATGGATGGGGTATAAGTATAAGATTCCGCGGTGCATTCCTCCTCACTTGAGGGATTTGAATTCCTCTGTGTTTGTGCTTGTGCTTGGAGGACTAGCAGCAGCGGCAGCAGTTTTTGTCGATATAGACATAAAGAAAAGGGAATGAGGGTCTTCAATCGGCTATGGGCTGTTACGGCCCTCGCGGTATCGACAATCGCTGCTCCAACCCCGAATCAGGGGTTGGTGTCGAGAGGTATGTACTTACTTACATTCCTGAGATAATTCCACGCCATGTCATGTCGAGAGATGCATGGACATGGGCATGTGTTAATGATGCTGAACTGACCGTATACAGCCGTTTCATCCGACGTGTTGCAACAACTAGAACTCTTCTCACAGTATTCAGCAGCGTCCTACTGCATAGCCAACATCAATTCCACCGGCGATAAACTAACATGCGAAGCCGGAAACTGCGCCATCGTGCAAGAAGCCGAAACAACCACGCTCCATGAATTCGAAGCGTACGTCCTTTCTTTTCCCATATTCATACACGCACATGTAGAAAAGGCAAAGAAATGCTGATAAAGAGAGAACAGCGAAAACGACGTCGGTGGCTTCCTCGCCGCAGACACAACCAACAACCTCCTCGTCCTGTCCTTTCGCGGCTCCCGCACAATAGAAAATTGGGTCGATAACATACAAATTATCCGGAAGGACGTCCCCGATATCTGCGCTGATTGCGAGGTACATGGTGGGTGGTGGGGCGCGTGGCAGGAGGTTGCGGATGTGTTAACGAAGAAGGTTGATGATGCTGTGAGCCAGTATCCGGATTATAAGTTGGTGTTTACGGGACATAGTCTGGGTGGTGCGCTGGCGACGATTGCGGCAATGGTGTTGAGGGATGCTGGACATACTATTGATTTGGTATGTTCACCTCACCAGAGATGAGAGATGAGATGGAGCTGACAATGATGCAGTACACCTATGGCTGCCCGCGCGTCGGCAACGAAGCCCTAGCCGAGTATATAGAGGACCAAGGCACCTTGTACCGCGCCACGCACACCAACGACATCGTCCCCACCGTTCCATGGCTATACAACCAGTCATTCCCAGAATACTGGATTACGAGCGATAATGATGCGACGGTGACCGCGGCGGATATTGAAGTTGTTCAGGAGTCGGGGTCGAAGGATGGGGATGAAAACACGGAGGGGGTGGTGCTGGGAATTGCTGCTCATTTGCATTATTTTGGGGATATTGCTGGTTGTTACTAAGTGCTGGGAGGGAGGGGAGGGGTGGTATCCGACAGTATTTTCCGCTTGGATTTAGATAGGGTTACTTTATTGAGATGGCTGATGACGTCAACACATGGCCTTGAATATATTCAATGTAGAACTCTCTGAGGATTTAATAGATTAAGAAGAGGCAATTATTATCCACTCGTTCAATTCTACGCTTAGACATGCTTCAGTGCATTGCGTGCAAATCCGGCTTTGCTGGCCAATTGCCCGACGTATATCATGCTGACGAAAAGCAAACCTGCAGAATAAAGTGCACCGTGACATGGATCCCCGACGCTTAATCATGATTCGCTTCCGCAGCAATCGATAGAGCCATTCTTTCTTTCTGAAAGGACCGTTCCACTAACATCCTTCCACCGACACACCATGGCAACCGTAACTGAACACCGCGAGCGAGCGCACAACCTGATATTCGTCTCGAACCGCCTCCCCTTCACCATAAAAGAAGGCGATGGGATCATCCAGCAGGAATTGTCGAATGGGGATCTGGTGACCGCGTTGGCTGGACTGGTCAAGTCGTCGAATATACGATGGCTCGGGGCGCCGGGGATTAAAGTCCGGGATGGGGAGGAGAAGAAGAGGGTTTCTGATAAGTTGAAGGAGACGAATGCTATGGCTGTTTTCTTGGAGGATACGCTGGCGCATGAGTATTATAATTTATTTTCGAGTGCGTGTGCGGATTCTGGTATTTGGTGATCGTAATAGCTGACATCTGCAGATTCGATTATTTGGCCGGTTCTGCACTACCAGTTCGAAGTGGGCTTTAATGAGAAGGCTTGGGAGTCATATCAGCGCGTGAACGAGATATACGCTGATACCATCGCTGCAGAGGTTAGCGATGGGAATATTATCTGGATACATGATTACCATCTCATGCTTGTGCCGAAGATGCTGCGAGCGCGATTAGAACAGCAAGGGAAGGATTGCAAGATCGGGTTTACTTTGCACGCGCCGTTCCCTGCGCAGGAGTTTTGGAGGAATATGAAAGTGCAGGGGGAATTGGTGGCTGGGGTGCTGGCGGGTGATGTGGTTGGGTTTCATACGGATGAGTATAAGCGGAATTTTATTAAGAGTTGCGCTAGTGTTTTGTGAGTGGCCTTGACCTATGTGTGAGACTGTGACTGATAAGGGGAATAGAGGCGCGCGAACTGATGTTGCCAGCCATGTTGATTATGATGGACGCCAGACGTTCGTTGATACGTTTACGCTTGGGATTGATCCACAGAAGTTCAATGATTCTATGCAGGATGTCCGTGTGCTTGCGAGAATCGATGAATTGGAAGAGATATACGACGGTGTTAATGTCATTCTCGGAGTGGATAGACTGGACCATACGAAGAGGTTATTGCAGAAGTTGCAGGGCTACGATTACTTTTTCGATTCACATCCGGAACTAATAGGGAAGGTGACATTAATTCAGGTCCTGCTGCCCAGTGCCCGAGAAGACGGAGATGACTACGAGGAACTCGAGACAAAGATCAACGAACTTACCGTGGAGATTAACAAGAAATACGGTACGCCATCTTACTCTAACCTAGTGCATCCTATACTGACGCAGTCTAACAAAACAGCAACCCCAAACTGGTGCCCCCTCATCAACATGCACCACCAAATAACCTTCATCGACCTCACAGCCCTAATGTGCGTCTCCAACGTGTGCTTCATGGCCTCCCGCCGAGGCGGCATGAACCTCGTAGCATCGGAATACGTCGCCTGCCAGGAGAATAGACACGGGGTGCTGGTGCTGTCCGAACTCTCGGGAGCAGTGTCGTTTACGAATGCCGGGAGTATCACGTTTCATCCGTCGAAGATGAATGAGGTTTCGGAGGCGATTTATACGGCGATTATGATGGGGGAGGGGGAGAAGACGGAGAGGTATGATTATATGAGGTGTTATGTTACGACGCATACGAGGTATGTTCCTACTTGGAAAATGAAGAATGAGATGAGCTGACATGGTATATAGTGCGAGGTATGGACGGGAGTTTATTAATTCGCTGTCGCATCGTGCGCAGATTGATAGTTGATTTGGTTTTGTGTTGTATGTGGCTATTTGGAGCATGTATAGTGTGGTATCTATTTGGCTATATGAATATACAGCAATTAGATTGTATTCCATGCTTCATTGTATGTATTATTCCAACATCAAGTGCCATATAACTACCTGCACGGAGTACGGGGACACTATGTAGTTAGCGATCCACGGATCCACTTACAGGGTCTGGCCAGCTGTCAGTCCGGAGTACATAGTTATGTCTCATTGACATGTTACTTACAGCTTCTAATCATTGACTTTTCATGAACACAATACATAGTACAGAGTAGTAACTATAGAATGCTACTAAGCTAAGAACGATCGCCAAGGAAACTTCCGAGTCCGACACGCGCGTCGAACGACAAACCTCCGTCCCTCCAGCCTCGACTTTTCTCCGAACAAGACACGCAGACATGATTTCTGGTTATTCTCGATTTGCATAACAATTATTCTCCAGTGTATTCCCCAGAGATTCACTTCTACTCTAATCGCAGAACCAAGCCAGCATGCTCTTCTTCGGCGGCGGCCTCCAAAGTCCTCGCCGTCGCAATCGCGAAAAATCAATCCTCATAACTATCTTCATCATCTTCGCAATCTACTTCCTCTTCTACGCCAAATCCTCCAATCGCGATTTCGCCGCCTACGATGAAGAGGCCGTGTTGGAGGAAATCCGCCGCTCCAGGCCCGCCGGCTCGAGCTCGTCGCACAACTCGAAACCACTCATACGGAAGAATATGGTCGTCGCAAGTATGAAGAAGGATAATACGAGTTGGCTGTTTGAGAATTTCCCGGATTGGCATAAGAGTGTTTATGTGGTGGATGATGGGGATGCGGAGTTGACTGTGGGGGAGAATAAGGGGAGGGAGTCGATGGTTTATTTGACGTGCGTCCTCAACTATACAGCCATGTGAGTGCAATGCTAATATTTGGGCTAGGTATATCATCGACAACTACGACCGCCTCCCCGAATCCCTCCTCTTCGTCCACTCCCAGCAATACCAATGGCACAACGACGACCCCTACTACGACGGTGTCCGCATGCTCCGCAACTTCCAAGTCCCCTACCTCCAGAAACAAGGCTACGTGAATCTGCGCTGCGCGTGGGTTCTCGGATGTCCCGTCGAAATCCGTCCATACGCCGATACCCACCGCGAAGACGTGCACGCGGGTGAATACTTCAAGACGGGCTTCATGGAGTTGTTTCCGGGCGTGGAGGTTCCGAATGAAGTGGGTGTTTCGTGTTGTGCGCAGTTTGGGGTTACGAGGTGGAAGATTCATGAGAGGCCGAAGAGTGATTATGAGAGGTTTCGGAAGTGGTTGGTGGAGACGGATTTGAAGGATGAGTTGAGTGGGAGGATTATGGAGTATTCGTGGCATAGTACGCGGCCCTCCTCCTGTTTGCGTATGTTAAGCTTTAAGCAGGTGCTAACGATTGCAGTGATCTTTGGAAAAGAGCCCGTTTACTGCCCGACGGCTGAAGAATGCTACTGCAACGTCTTCGGGCTGTGCGAGCTTGACTGTCCGACTGTGGGATCTTGTGATGGTCGTTATGCTCTTCCACCGTTCTCGTCGTTGCCAAAGGGATGGCCGTATGTTGGATGGAAGGGTCAGGCGCAGGATCCTAACAACAAGGGACTTCCTGAGGCATGATGGTCTATCTTGGATAGCTATTATCTTCGTGATATGACTTCATGATCCACGACGCAGAACGCGAGAGCCGTTCCACTGTTCATACCCAGAGAGCGAACGACTCCTGAGATATGCCGCGCCTAACGACTGACTCGATTGGATGGACGACGAGGTCCCGGCGAGCTACTCTCGCAACGGCACTATTTGTACCAGCATCAGTTGGAGTCGCGCCACCCCCAACGCCTACGGGTACGGTTACTGAGAACCGAGAGAAGGATAATGTCTTCGACAGGCCTGCATACATACAGACTTTGATATGATATGATATCACTTATGGTTTTATGTTTACTGGACACTAATGTAGAAGAATTTATATGTCAATTATTGCATGCCCTTAATCCTAATACCAATACTAATTCTATAGACTCTTGTCTGTTTATCATTCTTTCGTAGTCATCGTAGCAATTCCGAATGCATGGTTGATATTCCAGGAAATCGAGTACATGGTGTCCCTATGCAGGCTGCAATCGGCCGAGGTCCGCATATCAACGTCAATTTCGACCTTCACCTTTACCATTCTCTACTCACACTCTACTATCAGAACAACCCAACTAATCACCAATTTAATAATCTCAGCGCCGGCGCTGAACCAATCTCTACTCTACTCTACCCTACGAAACACAGAGTTACAACCGCAATCCTCACCCAAACTCCGAACGTTACCTGTGTTGCGACACCACCACCACACCACCACCACAAAACTACAATCCACAAACACAATGCTAATAATCGGCCTAACCGGCTCCATCGCAACCGGCAAATCAACCGTCTCCTCCCTCCTCTCCTCACCCCCCTACTCCCTCCCCATAATCGACGCCGACACCCTCGCCCGCCGCGTCGTCGAGCCAGGGACCGCGGGGTACAAAGCCATAGTCGAGTATTTCGGGCCTACGACGCCAGACCTCCTACTCCATGATGACAATGCGAATGGGGAAAGTAAAGGAGGGCCGTTGAACAGACCCGCCCTAGGGAGACGAGTGTTCGGGGACAGCGCTGAACGCAAATGCGACCGCGGCGTTCTGAACGGGATTGTTCATCCGGCTGTACGGTGGGAGATATACAAGGCCCTCCTGACGAATTATTTATCCGGCAAATGGGCCGTTGTTCTCGACGTCCCGCTGCTCTTCGAGAGTGGCCTGGATCTCCTCTGCGGAACGGTCGTTGTCGTTGGTGTCTCCGATCCAGCGGTGCAAATGGCGCGGCTCCGCGCGCGCGACGCACATCTTTCCGCTGAAGACGCGGAGAACCGGGTCCGCAGCCAGGGCGATGTGAAGGGGAAAGTTGCTCGTGCGGAGTCCCGGGGCGTGGATAGTGCGCGCGGGGTGATTGTTTGGAATGATGAGGATAGGGGGGCGCTGGAGGGAGAGGTGAGGAGGGCTATGGAGGGGATTGGGGGGAGTAGTCCGCGGTGGTGGGCTTGGGTATTGTTGGTTGTGCCGCCGGTGGGGGTTGGGGTTGGGGTTTGGAATGTGGTGGTGAATTATTTGGGGATGAGGAGGTGGGAGGGGAGGGTTAGGGAGGAGAAGGCTAAGCTTTAGTGTGTGTAGATGTGGTTGTGTTGTGCATTCACTGTATCTATTACTTCTGTAGCGATGTTTACATGGTGTTTTTTTCGGGTTGACTTCTACCTCGTCCTACTCAAACCATCATGGCTTGTCCCTGCTGGGTTGGAGATATCACTATCCAAGGCCTGGAAACTGAAAGACCTCGTTTGGTTCGTAGTGTGTCGACTGCTGAGCCGCGTTCACCCTTGCCCAGGAGCGTCAGCCGGATGAACCTCGCCGCGAACGAGTACAAGCTCCAAAGCAGCTCTGGTAAGTGATCTGAGACCGGACAACCTAAAACCATGAGGGCTATGGCCATCCGGTACACTAACTCAGGTCAACTGACAGAGAAGACGCGCGGCACAGACTCAAAAGGAATACTGAGACAGCCGACGACCAAATTCCCATTCGAAGACAAGCAATACCTCCGACCACACATCACGAAGAGACCGCCGGATCGTTTGCGCGCTGAGATTGGAGTCGATTCCGAAGTCCCAGCTTCTGATGTCATCAAGGTCCACGCTTATAGACGACGAGGAATCCCTGTGAAGCAGGATCAAGATTTGAGTCTGGTGTTTGACAAAGCTCCGATCAAGAAAGGCGATGTGGTTGTTGGAAAGACGTTTGCGGAGTCGAGTTTGGCGCGTCGTGATAATCGTGATACCAGGGAGAATAAGAAGAATAATGCACCCAAGAGAGAAGCCAAGTCGCCAGAGTGGTGAGCGCGTTGGCGGGGTGAAACCGGACGAGGGAATAGCAGCGATTGATAATAACCATACGAGGCGATGGCTTATTTGTGCTTGCGCTTCTTTTGCGCACTGTTTCCAGACAACCCTCCACGACCTCCTCCTCCCGATATGCCAGCTGAAGATTTGGCCTCCTGCTTCATTTCAGCCCTGAGTTTACTCCTTTCCTCGAGCTGAGTTCCGTTCAATTCCTCTTCGCCAGGATTTCCATATGCCACACCCTGTTCCGTCAGCAATGTATTTCGAAATGCCTCAATGAGACTGAAAAGCATACCGTCTTCTTCTTGTGCTTAAAGTTCCCATAAGCCTGTCTACCCCCATAACTCTCTTCATCGTCATCATCGTCCAATGACCCAGCCGCGACAACAATCGGCCGCGCAGCTTGCTGTACACCCGGATAATCAAGAACCCATTCCGTATCTCCGGCTTCCGCAGCTTGTTTCGACAATGCTTCCCTGCGCTTTTCTTCCTCCGCGGCAATGGCAGCTGATATTGCTTCTAGGTCCGAGGATGGTTTTGCGGCAGGTTCTGGGGATGCTTCGGTGGAGAGTCTGGTGCGTTTGGATTCTGGGGTTCGGGTTCCTTCTGTTGAGGTTCGAGATTTATTAGCGGCTGCAGAGCGTTGCATGAACTGGTTGAGTTAGCTATGCGCAGCAATTAGAATGGAAGAGAATTCACATACCCCCATGGTCATCAGTCGCGACGACATGGTTTTTTCTGGCTTTGCGCCAGTTTTGGCGGCAGACATGGTGCAGCGTGGTAGAATTTCAAAGTAAATTCAGGTAAAAACAATGTAGAAAATAGTATCTATTGCTGCTGCAGTAAAAATGAGGAATCCGAGAAAATTGCGGCGATTACCGCTCCCACACCTTTGATTGGCCAACGTAAGCGCGACAGCTTCCCGCAAACCTCGCCCTTCCATTCTTATCGTCCCCGACTAAACCTCCCGACCCCTCCGCCCACGACCTCTACCAGACCGTCCAACCCCCCCCCAAAGGCACACAAAATGCTGCCCATCGCTCGCAGCCGGATCGCGGCTCTCTCCTCGACATGCCCCCGATTCCTTGCCCGGGCCAGCTATTCGACCACCGTCCCTCGTTTCGGCGAGAACTCCATGCAAGCCAATGACCCCAACCCGCCGACTCCCAAGCCCAACGTCTCCGGTACCAATGCTACCCCCGTCGACGCCATGGGATCGTGGGATTACTCGCTGCAGGAGGAACCCGAGGTGGGCGAGCGGAACCGGCAGCTGCAGGCTCCTAACCGGGCCAACACATGGGCTGCGAGCCAGCAGCCGAGAGAGAAGGCTATGACTGGTCCGCGGTTTGAGCAGACGATCATGGAGTTGCAGGTGGGCATTTCCCTTGCGTGCAGTTAGGCTGTAGAGAGTGACGTGATGTGCTAATGGCTATGATTGTAGCCCCAACCTATGGCCGCTATCGAACTCATCCACAAGCAACCCGTCCGCTGGACCAACACCAAAGTCGTCAGCTGTGACGGCGGTGGTGGTCCTCTCGGCCACCCCAAGATCTTCATCAACACCGACAAGCCCGAGATTGCCACCTGCGGCTACTGCGGTCTTCCTTTCGTACGTCCCCCATATTTGTTCAGTATGATATACCTGCGTGCTAACTTATGCAGGCCCACGAGCACCACCGTGCCTACCTCAAGTCGTTGCCCGCAACCAGTTATCCCCTCGAGCCTACCGGTGACGCCGCGGAAGTGAACGAGGAGCAGCGTGTGACTCCGGAGGGGCTGGAACAGCGGTAAAAGAGCATTTGATTTTGGCGTTGATGACTTTCTTTTCTTTAATTATTTGCCCGGATTGGGTTTATGTACAGAAGTGTATCAATGGTTTAGAGGATACTCTGGTAACTGAATTGCCGCGTAGTTATACATATACAGCACTCTGCACCATGGAGATGTGGTTCATTGATCTAGTACTGAACAAATATCGAGACAGAATGACATGAAGTATATACTTCCCCACACTACCGTCCACCAATGAAACCGCGTCCGTTTATAATAAGCATAAATACAATATCTGCATCACATCGTACACTCATCACAACCGTTCTTCAATCCTTGAAGAAAGTCACGCCTTCTCACCCTGAATCGTCGCAACAACCTTGCGCGAGTGCCGACTCGCCCGGAACTCCATATAATAAATCCCCTGCCAAGTACCAGTGTTCAAACGTCCGTTGGTAATCGGAATCGTCACCGAAGCACCGACCAGCGACGACTTGATATGAGCCTGTCATCCCCCATTAGCATTCCACCCACAACCACAGCCATATCCATATGGAAAAAAGGGTAAACGCACCGGCATATCATCCAGCCCCTCCGCATCATGCCTATAAAGATTCCCCTTGTGATCCTCGGGCGCAACGCGATCCAGCGCATCGCTCATATCAGCGCGCACGTCATCATCCCAGTTCTCGTTCAGGGAGAGCGCGCAGCTCGTGTGCTGCACGAAGAGGGTTAGGAGGCCGACTTTGTAGGAGCGGAGTTCGGGGAGTTCGGAGACGACGTGGTCGGTTATGAGGTAGGAACCGCGGGAGCGCGGGGGGAGGGTGAATTGTTTTTGGGTCCAGGACATTTTCTCGTTTTTTCGGGGGTTGAGGTTAGGTGTAGTTGGGGCTCTTGGGATGAGGTGAGGGTTTGGTGTGGTGGTGGAGAGCTTGTGGCCCGTTAGTTTTTTGTTGTGAGGATTGCGGGATCAAGTGGTTGTAGTAATGGTGTAGGTTCTCTGGTGGTTTTAGAGGGGGGTAAACGTACCTTCAGTAAATGTCTTGAGATGGAGAAGTTGAGATGCAGATTTTCTGCTTGTCGCATTCGCGGGGTGGAGAAGACCGGCGGCGACGTCATTCGGTGAACAGGTAGTAAACTACAAGTACACTACAACAGCAACTACTACAACTACTTGAATGTACACACAGCCGAGTATATGCTGGACAGTCGATTGATACAGGGGTATTGATATTGATATGCTTTCAATTGACAAGCTCATTCATAACTGTTAACAAGACGCTTCTGACAAGATCCGTGCAACTATACAGACACCCTCGTTCGAGTAGCACATCTCAACTACTCAGGCTTCACATTCCCATAATCATCCAACAACTCACTCGCCTCATCCATCCCCGCCCACTTGGGCTTCCCATCCGGAATCTCCACCATCCGTTTACTATAAAAGATGTGCGACCTGCCCGTTACTCCCGTTAGCCCATCATCCCAACCCATCCCCCAAAATCCAATCCGGGAAAGAAGACGCACGAAACCTCAAAACACCCCCTAACCCTATCAAAGTCCTCCTCATCCTTCCCAAACTCAATACTCTCCGGAAACAACAAACACACATTCCGACCCTCATCCATAATCGGTGTCCGGCAGTACGAACACGATACCTTTGCTGGGACTTCGTATTCGCGCGTGTAATGCGATGAACAGTAGAATTCCAGCCCGCGCACGCCCCGGTCAAATGTTATGCTGGATTTGGGGAATATGGCGGCCCATTGGAAGGGTGCGCCTGTCCCCCAGTACCCCCGTATTAGCACAACCCCGTCCATCCACTGGCTCGAAGCCAGTCTGATATGGTTGCTGGGGGAAATACCGTGCATCAACTGACACCCCCTACAATGACAGAACTTGGCTTTCAGCGGTCTCTCCATGTTCAACGAATAACTAATATGTCCGCAATGGCATTTGCCGCGCCATTTAATCTCACCAAAGTCCTCGGGGGATTGGATTAGGTATGGAGGACGGTATTTCCAGGCTTCTTCTTTGGGGAGGGGTTTGTGGGTTGCGTGGGTGCCGGGGGCGGCACCGCACGCATCTTTTGTGGCCATTCTGGGGGTGTGGGAATATGTTAGGAGACGGGGGGCTATGTGAAGATTGGTAGACGAGAGGCGGGAGAGCGCTGTACGGGGGAATTGCTTGAATAGCATGAGTGTGTGTCCGGGTGATTGTATAGATTTGTCTCTCACTTGTCCAGGTATGTAGATGTATGGCATGATGTCATGGCGATGTCAGGCTGGACATATGTAACAGCGAGAGAATCCAGGAACAGAGCATAATAGATAGGGTTGTATCTGACATTCCTTTGCCAGAGTTATGCCGTAGGTGATTTGACATGTTATGCTCAGTGGTAGATACGGAGTACTCCGTATAGAGCATAGATCTAGACTTGTTCCAATTGACAAATATTTGCTATCATTGAGCAAGTAACACAGATCATGATCAATGCAGATTCAAGACAAGGGTCTTTTAATGAAGGCATGCCAGCTCAAAGAAACCGAATCCGTCAGCCTTGCAGCCTTGTGTTGATGCAGGCGTCTTTCAAACTGGGCTACCGGGCGAGTCCGACCCCTGAATTGGGCAGACATGCAGGTACAGTCAGATACACTCATGCTCATTAGTTAACCAATCTGTAGTTGTCGATATCGATGTTCATATCCTTCCGGCAGTCTGGTCCCAAACAGACACCTCAGGCACGCAGCAATCCCACGGGAGCGGCCGAAGATGAAACCACCAATAAACACGTCTCAATTAGACAGAAACACGTTTTCTTTGTGTTCTTTTTTTAACCGTGATAGACTGCAGTGACGTCTTTTGTACCGAGTAAGCCAGCGCTAACCCTTAGTACTGCCCAGTGAGCCAGTGATGCAAATAGCCAAGACAGCCAACCGGTGCTTGAAACAGGCGCCCCTGAGCTTGGCATAACCAGGAACTGGAATTACTGACAGGCAGTGGACTATTAATGGACTGGTGGTGATGCATCACCACCGGCAATCCTGTCAGCCCGGCGGTTGGAAACAAATGCAGAACAAAGGCTGGAAGAGGAACCCCTGACAATGAGAGGTTTTGAGGCGGGTGTGTGCATTTGTTAAGAGCACTCTCCTAAAAAGGCAGCCGTTTAATATCTCATGTGCTCCCCGCTTTATCTCCTACATATTTATCTCCTCTTCTTTCCTTACATTCATCCTTTCCACACTCTACTTTTTCACTCCTTCGATGCCTACCTGACATACACTCCTTATAATCCACCATGGGCTTCTTCAGTCGTTTTCGAAAGCGCTCCAAGAGCCACTCGCGCAACGCCGCCAAATGCTACGACAACCTCCGCATCAACGCCAACACCTCCCCGGATGGTGTTCCTTCCGTCCCTCCCCTTGGCCGCGATTTCACCAAAGACCTCCCTCCATCGGTTCTGGCGCGGATTCTGTCCGCCGTCTGCCCACACACTCAGGATGACTCCTACGATACCTCCGAAGAATCCATGACCGAGGATGGCTGTATGCTCTGCGACATGCGCGACCTGGCCCATTGCGCCCAGGTATCTAGGCGATGGACCGTGGAGGCTCGGAAGCTGCTGTACGCTTGACAAATACATTCCCGATTTTGTGTCCTTTACTGATAATCTGCTGCTTTAGGTACTGTCACATCCGCATCGACCCCGTCCACTACTGCGAACTCGAAGAACAACTGGCCGAAAAACGAAAACGCCGCTCCTTTTTCGATCGCAACGGCGATCCCATCGACGCACCGCAAGTCCGGCTGCAGCTCCTTATGCGAACCGTGCGAGAGAACCGAGACTTGGGAGCCTGGGTGCTGTCGCTACGGATGCCATATATGACCCGGGAGGCAAATAAGGCTGGAATCGCCCGTACTGTTTCTGTGTTGCCTAATCTGCGCTATGTCGATCTCCCCAATGGCATCTTCCATGATGACCAATCCTGCCATGCTCTGAAACAGGAGTTGATGGCACGGTGTCCGGATCTTCGTCGGATGAGCTATCGGCATGGGGCCGAGGGGAGCTTTTCGCAGGTGTCTGGGACGCATCTTTGGGGCAATCTGGAGGTCTTGGAGTTGTCGGGGTTGTCGATCGAGATGAACGTTCTACGGTTCAGTTTGGGCTCGTTTCCGCGCTTACGGGAATTGACTCTGGAGGATGTCCCGTTGCTCGATGATTCCGCATTCATTGTCTCGGAGGCCCTCCCTCCTTTCCCACCGGTTCAACGGCTCACGCTTCGCGATACCCCGAATGTCACGGCAAGCGGGCTTGCCTCGTTCTTTTCATCGCCCTCGAATCGAAAGGCGTTGTTGAACCTGACCCTGTCAAACACAGGGGTCTCCCCGGCCACTCTGTACAGAATCCTAGATGCAGCACCACAACTGTGCGCACTGTCCGTCGTCCAAAGCGTGGCCCGATCATTCCCCATCGACAAAATCCGCCCACTAGCATCAACCTCCCTCCAAACACTCCACTACGAAATCAGCCCCGCCACCTCCGCCTCCTTCGGCATGCTCCCCGTCTCCGCATCCTATTACAGCTACCTGATCACTTCCCTCACCTCCAACTGCCTCCCGGCCCTGCAAGAACTCTACGTCCGCGACGCAACCTTTCCCGAAAACCTCATGCTCGCACCACCACCACGCCTCTTTGGCGGCGGCGAGAACGGTCCGCAGTCGCTCGCAGGTGTCCTCTCCCAGCCCCTCAACGTGTACAGCAAGGGTCTGGACGAATTGGAATGGAACTTCACGCCCTACGAGCCACCAGCCACGCGCGGTCGCCGGGACAGCACGACCCGGCCGGTGAGTTTCCACGACGCGCACCTGAGTAAGTCGTGGGGCGGGGGTTCTAGGAGAAGCGTGCTGGTTGGTAACGGCTTTGGCGGGTTCCTCGCCGTGCCGGCGGAGGATGGCCGGCCTAGGAGTAGTGGGGGATTTAAGAGGGATAGTCGGCAGGATTTGTGGAGGTAACCTTTTTGCCTGGAATTGGACGGCGTTGTTGGGATAACATTTCGTGTTGGATATTTCTTTCTTGCAAGCGGGTACTTCAATGCATGATACGGGATAATGAGCATATACCCTTCTTTTGTGATTATTTAGCTGGTATAGCAGTTGGTGTTTTTTTTTTTTTTTTTTTTTTTTTTTTTTTTTCCCAAAAAAAAAAAAAAAAAAAAAGAGGGGCCATAGAGAAAAAGATGCTCAGGTACGTCAGAAAAAAAGAAAATCTAAATGCCCCTATTTTCCTTTCAGCCTGCCTATTTTTTTTTTTTTTTTTTTTTTTTTTCTTCCAATCCAGTACATTCACAAGGCTGGCAGGCTTTCATTGAATAATCCTGTCTTGAATCTGCATGATCAGAGTAGGGATGTCAGTTGATAGTGAACTGACTGCATTTATTTCTTTTGGTATGTCCGGCATGTCTCTTGTGTGGCCTTCAACCTGTCCCAGACACCTGAATACTCTATAACCATCTCACAAAGACCAGAACCATCAACTCAACCCCGTCGGCGAGATCCTACACCCATGCCTGGTATTAGAACGAATGATTTTAGCGGTGACAGTGTCTATGCTTATGGATTTGCTGTAGGATATCTAGGAAGTAGGAGGTGTATACCTGTCATGCTTCTAGGAGATAGACCCAGGGCTACCTCAGCAAGGACATTCTTAAAGGTATCACCACCCGCGTCAATCCATTCATGATCATATATCTCATCCTCAATAAGAGGGCTATCCTTACCGTAAATCCCAGCCATCCACTGAAAAGCACCCCGCGTAGTATTCCTCGCCGCCTTGTGACTCAAAAGAAGATAGAAAGATGTCAAAGCTGTCCCTTGGTAATCGGATTCTGAACATATAGTGGCCACATCCGGATAAAACCCGTCATCCTGCAGAAACTAATTGCCAGCGAATTCCCACACCCACGCTCAGTACCGCAAAAAAAGTGGTCTCTGCAGTCTTGATGTATGCGAATCTCCTGCGGGAGGTTTTTTGCAGTGCGATCTCGCCGGGTGGCTTCCAGGGACTATTTCCTTGATCTAGACTGGTGCTCGATGTGAGGAATAAAAGTCGCCAGACTTCGGCGCGGGACATGAAACCAGACGAGCGCAGCCCTCGCTGCTGCCCAGTATTCTGGATAAATGACTGCTCGTGACCGAGCCAAGCAGCGGTACTCAAATTCATCATGGACAAGCCCGACTCCACATAGTAAACGACAAAGCCAAAAAGCTTCGTCAAGGCAGCACCAAGATAAAGAGGGGCTGGATTCGGTCGACGTGATATGCATCCCCTGACGATTGCTTCTTGGTATATATGCGCTTCGTTTAGTGGACCATTCTTTTATGTTGAAGTCCCAAAGCGGGGGCCAGACCCAGGCGTGGACAAGGTTGGATGGGATATCCGGTTCCCAGAAACCGCTGCGAATATGGAAAACATGTTGAAGCAGGATGTCGGTAACGCGTGGCGTTGTTGCGTGACCGGAATAACAGGGGACCATATTTTCTCGCTTCTGGCTAGGGCTCGGATGATTTCTTCACGGGTGGGGTTTACAGGGTCTTGCTGGTTCATCGTGTCGTGTTGTGTTGGTTTTGCCGTTGGGGTAGTGTGGGAGGAGGATAGTTGAAAAGTTTTGGGATCAGGAGCACCGGCATTAAATGCCACCTTAGACCTGTGCCGACTAGGAATCATGTAAGGGTCAGATATAGTTATATTTTCGGTGGGCTTTATTCTACCATTTTGGTCGGAAAATGGCGGTATAATCCTGTGATTTTACATCTAATTCCACGTATCCACGAAGACTAGTCTTAGTACATTTTACTCTCTTAATCGTAGAAAGATGGCATCAAAATGATATTCAGCATTCAAACAAATGTGCAGACACGTATTTCAATATAATTATGAATATTATAAACATTAATAACTCATCGGATATCCAATGGACTCATTACCACACAGTATTCCTTCCATATTAACACAAAAATATACACATTCCATCGCATTAAACCATCATAGCAGCAGCAAAAAGCGCACTAAGACCCATACCAGCACCGACAGCACCGCTCATCGTGTTCTTAGCAGCAGCTCCGGTGAACAAAGACGAAGGAGAGCTCATCGAGGCACTAGGGGTCATCGATCCAGAGGCCATGGGCATCCAGCCGGAGGGCATAGCCATGGAACCAGAGGCAGATGGCATCCATCCGGACATCGAGCCAGAGGCAGAGGCCATGGGCATCGACATCGACATCGACATCGACATGCTGCTGTCCATACCCATGTTACCGCTTTTCATCATGTCTGAGACCTATGAGACCTATACTGTCAGTGATCGTTTCTTGGATACCGCAGGGGGTTATGGTGGTACACACCTCAATAATAGCAGGACCAGCAACAATGTTATCATCGGTAGCCTGCTTGTCCCCATGAGTCAAGACAACATAGCTCTGACCCATAACACCCTTAGGAACAGTAACCATGAACTTTCCATCACCCTTATCCTGAACAGATGTCCACACAGGACCAGTAGCAGTGATAAACGCAGCATGCACATCCTTTGTGTTCATCTTTTCAAAGCCCTTGCCGGCCATCAACTGCACCATCGAGCCGGTCATGGCCTTGCCGCCCGCCATCGTGAGCGACGGGAAAGCCTTGACGGGCAGCATCATGTTGCTGCCGGGGCACGAGGCGATGAATGGCGAGGCGACGGTGTAGACCTCGTTGAAGTCGAGGGGGTTGTCGAAGGGCTGCGCGGCAGGGGCTTCGCCTTGGGCGGCGCGGAGGTAGGCGCTGTGGCGCGCTTCGACGGTGAGGATGCTGCCGGCTGCGGAGAGGTAGGTGGCGTTCATGATGTGGGCGGCTGCGCCGAGGTAGGCGCTGACACCGACGCCTGTAGTCATTAGTATTTTTTATTCAATCAATAACCTGAGGCAGTGACATACCCTCCAGCATGCTACCAACAGCGAGGAAACTCTTGACATCGGTCGCCGGGAAAGAGTATGTGCATCTCTCCACCGGCTTGGCACCAGCAGCAGACAAAGCCTTGGTCAAGAAGTCCTCGTGGGCTTTTTCATCCTCCGCAACCATCTTGATGTTGGCGAAGAAGGTAGGGTCCTTGAATCCAGCGGCCATAAAGTCCGACTGGGTGTAGTTCTTCAGACCCTGCTCGTAGAAGGAAGCCTCCAGGTGCTCGAGAGTCAAGGCGTACTGGAGGATGTCGGCTAGACTTGTTATTAGCATGGTTGATGAAGCAGTTGGGGTGGAAGAAGACGTACCGTCGGTGATATCACCACGCTTGGCAACAGGGCCAGCCTGGACGAGGCCGGCGGCGGCCAGGGAGATCAGAGCGTTGGAGAACTTCATGATGACTGAGATGGATCTTGGATTGCTTTCAGTTCTGCTCGAGGCAATGAATGCGCTGTGGTGTGGAAGGGTCGGATTCGAGGGAGAACAGGGCCGTATATATAGCATTGCCGAGACTTTTCATTTTAGCAGAAATTTCCCTTAACGTACACAATTCGCATCGAGAGCAACTCCGTAGCAAGTGCCGAGTATACTACTAGCAGTACTTTGTATAGATTGAATCCTGATACAGTAAACTCTCGACAGGCGATCTTCATCTACGGAGGATCAACCAGGGTACCATTGGCCCAATGCGGTATGCATCTCCACGGCAAATGCACAACCGAACACGAAAACGAGAACGAGGTTATATAAAGCGGGAACGAGACCGAGCGAAAACGACAACAATCAATTCATCTCTCTTCCTTGTTTTGTTGAATGCAATAGTCCGACTATTTGTCAAGTTTGCCACTTTCCTCTGCATTTTAGTACAAAATGCCTCCGCGGAGCACTCATAAAAAGTCCCGGAATGGCTGTGATCAGTGCAAGCGCAGACGTGTTAAGGTAGGTTAGTAGTACTATTATCGCTTCGTATTGATTTCCCTTCCAACATATATCGATCGATTGATTATACTGATTTGGCCAGTGTGATGAGCAAGGTCCATCATGTGCCAACTGCATAGCTCGCGAATTGGACTGTACCTACGCCAATGCTCCTCGGCGGCCAGTCCCTTCAAGCGGATATCAGGATGATTCCCGGGAGCCTTCTTTCGGCCTTGCGGATTTAGAATTAATGCACAAGTTCTCCACGGAGACTTATGAAAGTCTTTGCAATGATCCCTCGGACCATTATGCATGGAAGATTGTTGTCCCGCAAAAGGCTCTCTCCTATGACTTTTTGTTGAATAGTGTGTTGGCAGTCGCTGCGTTGCATCGGGCCACCACCACCGTCGACAAGGACGATGCACTAGCTGCTGCGCTGGGATACATCGACACGGCGCTGCGATATTATAACAAGGCCTTTGAGCCATTCCAACAGGCCCTGAATAATCTGACACCGCTGAATTGCGATGCGATATTCGCCCACTCCATCATCATAACCATCATCAGCATCGCTCTCCCGCAAAAACTCCAACTCACCACAATCGAGCGCAATGGCACTGACAAAGACACCACCCAAACAACTACCCCCAGTAGCATGATAGAAAATATCGTCGTGGTCTTCGAGCTCCTCCAAGGCGTAAAGAGAATCCTAAGCATCGCCCAACCCTGGCTAAAAGCCAAATTCTTCACCCGCCACCACGACTTCCTCAACGACTGCACCGACCCAGAAAAAGAATTACTAGATACCGACCAGAGCATCCCCGGTGCCAGATCCGCCTTTAAAAGACTTACCACTCTAAACGAAACCCTGGCCAGCTTCGACCCGGTTCAACACCGCATCAACAACGAGGCCATTTCGCTCCTCCTTCGATGTTTTTCGCGGTATGCCACGTCGGGAGAGCCTTCAGCTGTCTTGACGTGGATTTCGGCTGTGGGAAAGGACTTTGTGGAGTGCTTGCGATATAGGAAGCCTTTTCCGTTGCTGATACTGATGCATTGGGGGGTGTTGCTGGGGCAGTTGGATGGGCGGATGTGGTGGGCTAGGGATTCGGGGAGGACGTTGGTTATGGAGTTGTTGGTTATGTTGCCGCCGGGGACGTATCGGTGGGATGGAGCGCAGTTGTGGCCGAAAGAGAGGTTTGCTCTGTAAATGCGTCTTGAGTATATGTCCATTCGGATACTGTACAAGGCTGCCGGAGTTGTCGGTCATGATCATGATGTCATTCAAGCCCATACATCTATAATACAAGCATTTCATAGTGAATACATAGTTAAGGAGTAATTAGACTGGTTTCTAGCATAGGGTCTAGTTATCCTGCTGGTGTTCAAGCATACTGAATCCGGAAGCTCAACTTATGTATACATGACGTATAGCTGACACTATATAATGTCCAACCTCACCCCAAACGAAAGATAAAGAAAATGCCCACAATCGCCCTCTTCGGGGCAAGCGGCCAAATAGGCACCGCAATCCTCAAACGCCCTCCTCTCCGACCCCTCCCTCAGCACAATCCAAATCCTCTCCCCAGGCACATCCTCCAAAGTTCCCGAACACGAACACCGCAACCTTGGCACAAAAACAATCGACTTAGCACTGTGACGGGCTTGGAATAGCAGATAATGATGAACCGATGTTCCTATCTAAACTATTGTAGCCATCGACGAGAATATCGAAATATACTTACTGTAAAGTGAGACTCTCCAAGCTCTATTGCACATGTTGATGGTGATGCTTTTTTTTTTTTTTTTTAAGCAGCCATGATTGCCACAGAGACTTTGCAGCAGAGAACTTCCCATGTGACCTGTGACAGAGCAAATCCCATGTATATAAACCCCATCAGACACAAATCCCCACTCCTTGGGGGTGGGGAGAGCATGCATAGTCTTAGACTGGAAAATGCTCTATAAAATGGAAGACATCATCATCATCATTTGCAGCAGAGAAAAATCTAAAAAATGTTAAAGAAGTACTTAGAAAGTCTAATAAAGTACTTGTATGCTTCTGTCTTTAGTTCCTCATCAAATTTTTCAAGATCTTTCTGAATGCCATATATCTCATTGCACAAATGATCATCCAATTGAGAATGATGTAAAGATTTGAGTTCAGCTGATGCAAATTCACATAGCTTTACTCCTTGACAGCCTGTGTGACGGCTTGACACTGCGTCAACGGCTCAGTGCTGCGTCAATGGCTGACACCGACAAACGGCACCAACATGCTAGACGAGTGGTGATGTCAAACAAACGCCTATAGAACCTCCGTTTCCTATAGATAGATTTCCTCTTCTCTTTCCTCCCCAGATTTGATATTTTCGTCGATGGCTACAATGGTTTAGATAAGAACTCCGTTCAATATTATCTTCTATTCCGAGCCCGTGACAAAAATCATGTGACTGGGTTCAGGCCACCTGAAACGGATAAACCAATGTAGCGGTTAAAACTCCGTATCGGGGAAGTCGGGGGAGTCGATTATCCGGACTGCACGAGGCTGTAGGCGACGAATTTTAATTACACTAGGAGGATGACATTGATCTCTATAGTCACAAGGATGATGGAACGAGTGCTTAGCTATCTTAACCGAATGTGTGTGTGTCCGTATATGAGAGGTCTGTCGGCCTCGGTAATCGGACCAACTATTAATCCACCTTGACTTTCATCACCACCCAAAAAATATTTTGGGTGGCTTCTTCTTTTTGGTTGGCCTGAACTCTATTTTGGATACATGCCACCCTACCACTCCTGATCGACGCGGGAGCTTCAGCTTCAGCTGACTAAGATCCCGGGGTTGTTTTGCGCCATCCAGCTGGCAAAATGAAGGCCTTCACCTGCAACGGCGCAACAAATTCATTTGCATGCTCATGGTGGTTCTGCAAGAGGTTGGTATCCAGGGATCACACATGAACTGGCCCGGTGCTCGTCTTGACATCCCCTTCCATCTTGCGGGTCTCTCGCCATTCCTGTCTGGCTCAGCAGCCGGCCACCATCCGGTCCATTTGGACGATGAATTGGATGGCCAATACCGGTTGATTGTTGCTTGCTCATGAAATCTCCGAGTCAGTTTTCATGCTTATGCCGTTTATTGTGGGCTTCAAAAGTTGCGGGTTAACCCGGGTTATTGACTCCACCGGATAAACCGAAGCCCTGATACGAACTGGGACGATGTTCTGATTTGGTCTGTCCAGATTCCATTTTTTTGTTGGCCATGCAGAACATAACCGGACTGGCAGCGATAACCGCTCTGGTACTAAATACATACAACGCATTAAGCACTCACTGCTGGAATTTAATTGAAGCTAATATGTCAGTCGCCATAGTTCTAATTGCCCAGAGATATTTCGAGACAGATATATTCCCGGTAGATCACACTATCCACACCATCCATTTCAAAGATGCGATGAGAACTTCAAATACTGGCTTTGACCTCATCATGGGCATTGCCAGCCATCACAGAGAGCTCTTGCTTTACAGCCAACTCCTGAACATGGCGGTTCAACCAATATTGTTTACGCACCGCCGCAGCGATGTCCTGGCAGCCAGACACTTTACCCAGGCATTTCTCCGAGCCGCAATTACAGTGGAAGGACTGCACCATATCCCACTCAGTGCTGGGATAGAAGAAAGTCAATTCGTCTCCCACGGACAAGGGCCTGTCCTTCGCAACCCGGACCTCGAATCTCGACATATCGAACTCGAGACTCGGAGAACAGGAGTGGTTGCAATAGACCAGATCCGAGCACAACTCAATGTTCATACCTATCCCCGACTGGACAGATGTATAAGTCTTGTGGACGGTGGGAACCGCAGTGGTGATGTTGCTGAAGAGTGCCCCGGCTGGGAGCGCCACGAGCGAGCGAGCGGTGGATTGAAATGGTGCGCCCTTCACAACCTGGATAGAGATTGGGTGACTGGGCTGTTTCCAAGTAGGGGTAAACTCTGCCATGGCGAAGGAAGTGTAATGTATGCAGATCGTCTAGAAAGGTGTCAATATAAATATCTCTTCAATTGGGAAACAAAGGTTGCTAACCTTTGGTGAGAATAACAGACAGAGATCCAAATCAGCGAAGGGAAACGAGGCGAAAGACCCTCGCAGGCGGTCCGGACAGGTATACTTATTGCAGAAGTTATGCCTTGAGATCACTAAGGATTGGATTTTGACTAGCGTGATTTCTCGAAATAGACCGCGCGAAAAAGAAAAAAGCGTATGTATATTTAAGTTTGGAATCACACCCACTCTTACTAATTAGTTACTAGTTAACTACATGTATGTATTCCCCCTCCAGTCGAATCCACCGTTTCACAGTCTCTCCAGCTGCGGGCCAAGCTCACACTGGGTCGGAGGCACCGCGCGATGAAGGGTGTACCACTTCTTTTGTCTTCATATCTTGGCGGTTCTGAATCGAACCGAACCTGACGAGTGGTGACTCCTTACGAGGCCTAGTTTTTGATAAACTGACCACCTGTTGTGCAACTATACCAGGAACCTTCCCCCAATTGGTAGAACGAGTGCGTCGAGAAGACAGAGCGATCAGCATGCATCCCTAATAAGCATCAGTGACTGGGCTGAAGAGATTCTCAGTTGTAAACCAAATCGACGAACTACGATTGCACACACTGCAAGGTTCACATAGAAGGTGGACTTCTGTTATCAATCACTGGGATTGGCAGCAAACTGGATCGCTCAGCCGCAACTCCAGCGTCAAAACAACCATTAATAAACTCCTCATCTCAGCACGAGTTATCAAATACGGCCAATGGCATGCCTATGCCGGAATTGAACAACTCATACTTGCATAACCCTTTATAGACCTCAGTATATCCACTCGTTGCTATCGTTCCATCCTAGCCTTTTTAGAACAAACTCCCCCAAAGTGTATCACAATATGTTGCTCCACCAGCGTCAGCAAAAATTTATGTACGTAAGAAGCCACGCATTTATTGTCACAACGGAGATGATTCGTCACTATTTCTTTATCCCAGCCTTCTTTCGCTTGATTCATCTTGCTCCCATTGGACGCGCTATGACGAGTGGAGTACAGTTCTTGTGAAATGGTGTAGGGTTTGCTTAACACTCAGATCGACCTTCACAGCTCTGTTGTGGATCTGTACCCCACAGTTCAGCTCGGGCTTAGGAGTTTAGCTCTGTACTTCTTTCTACTCCCGTACAGTAAGAAGTAATTGCATTGTATGTATGGTGGTGGAACCGCAGTTTCCCCATCTGACCGGCCATCGCCATTGAGATTTGCCAGCTACTCTGGGGTAGGGAGGAGTGTGGTTTGATTTCAGCTGAATCGCCATGAGAATCCGCGTCGACAATGCCTATGGTCCCCTGCACACATGCAACTAGCATCAAGCCGGTCATCCCTCTTTATATCCCCACTTTTCCCTCTTCGAATAATCCCACTATCATCCTTCCGGAATCACGGTGCCAAAGGACCTGGATTTGGGACTCTATTCCGATTTTGAAGTTGTCTAGTAAGTTGCCATTTTTACTTCGCCGATTGAAATTATTTAGGCAATACGGCCCTTCACACCAACATCATGAACGGTGTTCATGGCCATGATGAGCCCCGGACGAATGGTCGTACCAACGGACATTTGGAATCAACCATGGATTACTGGCAAGAATACCTCCAAGGAATGAAACAATGTCGATTCCCGACACTATCGAATCACCCACCCACTGAAGTCGACTTCGAGACGATCGATTTGCGATTCAACGACGGTTCGGAATTGCTGGAATTCTGCGAGCGAGAGAACATCTCCCTCATCAATGTGATTCAGTTGGCCTGGGCCATTATTCTCAAATGCTACACCGGAGACGAGGAGGTCTGTTTTGGCTATACGACCGAGGAGAGGAATCTTTTGATCGCTCGGCTCGACCTCGCGGAGCAGCCCGTGGCCCGAGATCTTCTACAGGAGAATGAACGGACGCTGGCCCAGAGTGTAATCAACCAGCGCTGTCCGCTGGGGAAAGTGTATCAATCCCTGGGATTCCCTGGCACTGTCCCCTTCAACTCCTTAGTTACATCCTGCAAAGCTCCTGAAAAGGAAATATTGCTTCAACTCGAGGAGCATCAACAAACCCAGGTTAGCTCAATTCCGCCCAATGGCTTGATGCAGCCATCTCTAACCCTGTGCTCTAGTTCGACCTGATCTTGAATGTCATCGCGGGCAACCGCGAGGTGGATGTGTCGCTCATCTACCGAACCCCCATGCTACCTGGCAGCATGGGAAACAGTCTCGCCGGTAGTCTCACCACTGTCCTTCTGGATATCGCCAAGCACACGGACAAGCCAGTTTCCGCCCTCACCGTTGCGAGTCCCTCCGACTACCATCAGATGGTGCGATGGAATAGCCCACTCGCAGGGCCATCCGATACTTGCATTCATGATCTGATCCACAAGGTGTTCCGCCGACAGCCAGAGCGGCCAGCGGTTTATAGCTGGGATGGTCAGTTGACCTACCAAGAGCTCTGGGATTGCTCCTCCCAACTGTGCCAATACCTGCAGAGTCGGGGCATTGGATCTGAAATGCCGGTTCCCATCTGCATGGACAAGTCTCCTCTGACGATCGCGTCGATCTTGGCTGTGCTCCGGGCAGGGGGTACCTGCGTCCTGATCGACCCGAATACGGCGATTGAACGCCTTCGAGGTATCCTGGAAGAGAACCCACCGTTGCTGATCCTCCTCTCCCCATCCACGGCACACCTTGACTTCAAGGTCGGGGCCGAGAAGATTATAGTATCACCTGCAACGTTGCCGCAGCTGTCAGCCACTCAATATTTTCCTCCTTTTGTGAAACCGTCGGATGCTGCGTTCATCTACTACACCTCTGGTTCAACTGGTCGTCCCAAAGGTATCATTGCCCAACATAATGGCATCGGCACAGGTGTCCTGGAATACAGCCGGGTCACAAATATCACCCCGGACAGCAGAGTGTTGCAATTCGCATCGTATTCATGGTCAATGAGTATGGTGGAAACATTGATGACCCTGGTGCGCGGTGGTTGTGTTTGCCTTCCTTCTGAGCATACCAAAATAAATGACCTCAAGAAATTTATCCTGGATGCTCAGGTCACCATGTGTTCTTTTACCCCGTCTGTCCTTCGCCTATTCAAACCTACGGATTTTCCTGGCGTGCAAACTATCTCATTGATAGGTGAGCCCCTGACGCAGGACATTGTGGATGTCTGGGCCTCTCAAGTACACCTGATAAATGCCTACGGGCCAACGGAAGGTGGCCCCATTGCCTCAGGCCTGCTGGTGAAGCCCGAGAAATGGAAGACCGGTGATGTTGGAAAGGCCACCCCAGGCGCTGTATGGATTGTGAATCCTTCCAGTTCCAACCAACCCCTGCCCATTGGAGCTGTGGGAGAAGTGCTGATCCAGGGACCGACTGTGGCTCGCGGGTATCTGAAGAGACCCGAAGCGACTGAAGTGGTGTTCATCCCACGACCATCCTGGCTGCCAGCTGCGGAGCTCGAGGAGCAGCAGCATCGATTCTACCTCAGTGGCGATCTAGCCCGACATAATCTGGATGGGTCCCTCCGGTTTATTGGTCGTAAGGATCGCCAGGTCAAGATTAATGGACAAAGAATCGAACTTGAGGAAGTCGAGGTCCATGTAAGACGTACCTTATCAGCCACCCAAGACGTCGTTGTGGAGGCTATACAGCCCGCCGAAGAACCGACGAGCAAGATGCTGGTTGCTTTCGTAGCGCCCAAAGAGCCTGAAATGGAAGGTGCAGCCTTGGTCTCGTCGGATGATGACTTCGTTTCGAACGTAGTGACCCTTCGTTCTCGGCTCCAGGACACGATTCCCCGGTATATGATACCTCAATTCTTTCTACAGATTTCTCACATTTGCAAGAATAAATCTGGAAAGGTTGACCGAGGACGCATCACGCAGTTGGTGCACGGTCTCTCCCGACAGGGTCTGGAAGCGCTGGTCGGATCTAGTCGAGACAAGGCTCAGCCCACCACGGAGAATGAAAACCTGGTACAAGCCGTTTGGGCTGAGTGTCTGAAAGTCTCACCCAAAGAGATCGGACGACATCAGAACTTCTTTTCCTTGGGAGGTGAATCTCTTGTGGCGATGAAGGTGGTGTCCCGGATGCGTTCACTTGGCTTCAAGATCGCTTTTGCAGACTTGTTCAATCGCCCAACGCTGGTGGCCCTGGCCCAAGCCTTGCAGAAGGACAACAAAGCTGTTGATGAGTATCAATCATTTTCTCTTATCTCAGGTGAGGAGAAAGTTGAGACAGTGCATCAAGTCGTGCAGAATTGTGGTGTTTCGCACGGCGATATCGAGGACATCTACCCCTGCACCGCACTTCAGACCGGTCTGATCAGCTTGACTGCGAGGCAAAGTGGACTATATGTCGCACAGTATGCATACCGACTGTCTGAAGGATGTGAACTCAAACGCCTGGTCGAGGCATGGCGGGTAGTCGTGGACAAAAACCCTATCCTCCGTACGAGAATCATCCAATCAAGGTCAGGTCGAATGCTCCAAGTCGTATTAAAGCGTGAATCAGACTGTGTGACCGTCACCTCTGGTCGTGATGAAGATATTCCAGAGGTAAACCACCGTTCCTATGGGTTGGGGACACCACTGATGGACTGCACCATCCGTACTCGGGACGATGGTCGGTTCTTAATCCTCACTGGCCACCACAGTGTGTATGATGGGTGGTCCCTGAGTCAGTTGGTCGAACAGTTGGAATCTGCCTACGCAGGGCAGGTTCTTGAATCGCCAGCCTTTTCCGGCTTTTTGCAGTATTTACATGAGCTTGAATCCTCCGCCTCAGACAACTTCTGGCGCTCGGAGTTTGCCAACCTCAGCTGCAGCACGTTCCCCCCCAAGAACCTCAGCAAACAGACCGGTGTCCCGAGCTTCCAGATGGTGAAACACTCGACTGCGTTGCCCTCGGTAAGATCCGAATTCACCATGTCAACTGTCATCCGACTGGCGTGGGCCTTGGTGTTGGCAGACTATACCAGCTCCCCCGATGTTGTGTTTGGATCGACGGTGGCTGGTCGTAGTGCCCCAGTTGAAGGCATCGAACGGATGACTGGACCTACCATTGCCACCGTTCCATTGCGAGTGACCATTGACCCCGAGGCCTCGGTTCATCAGTCCCTCTCGCACTTGCAAGCTCGGTCCATTGCGATGATCCCACATGAGCAGACGGGACTGCAGGGCATCCGGGCGATTAGCCCTGAGGCCCATGTGGCCTGCCAATTCCGGAACACCCTGGTTGTTGAGCAAGAGCAGCATGATGCCTACCGGCCCAGTTTGCTCCATAGAGCGGCCGAGAAAACCAACACCATGTCGGAAGTCTTTGAATATCCTCTTTCCGTGGCATGCTACGCCCGGGATGGTGAAATCCTCGTCCAGGGTGTATTTAATACCCAGATGCTGGACCATGAGAGGGTCAGCACCTTACTTCAACATCTCGGCCATTTGGTTCAAGAGATCCTGCAGAACAGTACCAAAAAGCTGTCTGAGCTGGATTTAATTGGCCCCGATGCGATTAAACAGCTGCAGGTGTGGAACCGACGGATGCCCGAGCGAGTGGACAGAACAGTTCACGAATTGATTGCTGAAAACTTCCAGGCCCGGCCTGATGCACCGGCTGTTTGTGCCTGGGATGGGAATCTCACGTACGGGGAATTAGATGTCTTTTCGGCCCGCCTAGCAGATGTCTTGGTCCAGAGAGGGGTGAAGCCAGAAATGGTCATCCCCATCTACCTTCCCAAAAGTAAATGGACCCCGGTAGCTATGCTCGCAGTGATGCGATCTGGGGGCGCCTTTGTCCTGATGGATATCATGACGCCAGTAGAGCGCCTCAAGGTCATCAGCTCCCAGATTGACCCCCCTGTGGTTCTCACCCAGACCTCGCTGGGCTTGGTGGCGTCCACCATTGCTCCCTCTACCATCCATATCGACAGTGCAGAATGGCAGATGCCATCCCAGGATGAGAATGTGTGGAGGTCATCCGGCGTCGAGCCTAGCAATATCGTCTACGTTGTTTTCACGAGTGGTTCGACTGGCATCCCCAAAGGTGTTGTGATCGAGCATCGCTCCTTTGCCACCAGTGTCCTCTCCATGGCCAGGGCCCGCCAGATTAACACCACCACCAGAACCCTTCAGTTTTCATCATATACATTTGATGTCACCTTCATGGAACATCTTGCAACGTTCGTCGCTGGAGGCTGCCTCTGTATCCCCTCGTTGTCAACCCGGGATAATGATCTGGCCCAAACAGCCAGAGAGTTTCAAGTCAACCTTATGGCCATTACCCCTTCGGTGGCGGCTCTTTTGAGGCCTCAGGAAATTCCAACCCTTCGCGTTTTGGTCCTGGGAGGTGAGGCGATGACGCCTGAACTGCTTGCAACATGGGCCGATTCGGTCATGCTGATCAATGGCTATGGACCTGCTGAATGTTGCGTAGAATTCTGTTCCAATGACAAGATAACCAAGAAGTCCAATCCAAGGAACATCGGTTCCTCCCACACCGGGTTTGCGTGGGTGGTTAAGCCTGATAACCATGACAAACTGGCGCCAATACATACTGTCGGTGAGCTTGTGATCGAAAGCCCTACCATTGCTCGTGGTTATCTCCGGGATGAAGCCAAAACAGCCGCTTCGTTCATCTGGAACCCTCGCTGGATTGAGCATTTCCCATCTTCCTCCCGGGCCCGTAGATTCTACAAAACCGGTGATCTGGTCAAGTATGAGCCGGACGGTTCGCTTGTGTACGTGGGACGCAAGGATACTCAAGTGAAACTTCGAGGTCAACGAGTGGAACTGGGGGAGGTCGAGTACCACTTGAGGTCTTCTTTCCCCGAGGCACAGAGGGTGATGGCAGAGGTGATTACGCCCCAGGACGAGACTCGCCCACCGGCCCTGATGGCCTTTGTTGAGGTGCCTGGCATTTGCAATCCGGTGCAATCGCCGTCTATCTCGATCTTCGCTGCTCCCAGCCATGGATTCCGCTCACTGGTGCAAAGGGCAGAACCTCAGCTTCGCGAAAAGCTTACCACTGCCATGGTACCATCTATTTTTCTTCCTGTCCACAGCATTCCCTTGATGCCCTCTGGAAAAATTGATCGCAGGAACCTGCAAAACCACGCCTCCTTGCTCACAAGGAAAGAGATCATATCTTACACGGCCGCGGAAAAGCATCGACGCCCTCCAAGCACGGCAGCTGAGCAACTCATATGTTCTCTGTGCGCTCAGGTCCTCAAGGTGCCAGTAGAGGAGGTTGGAATGGACGACAGCTTCTTTGAACTCGGAGGAGATTCAATCTCTGCGATTCGTCTGGTGGGAGCTGCTCGCGAAGCCCATCACCAGTTGCAAGTAACCGATATCTTCGCCGAGCCAGTCCTGGGCAATCTGTACCACAGGCTTTCCAAACAACTTGGCTTCCAGAACATTGTCGCCCCATTTTCCATCTTGGAACAGTCAGAGACCGCTTCCCTTCGCTCGTTGGCTGTAACGCAGTGTTCGGTATCTCCCGACCAGATCGAAGACATCTATCCGGCGACGGCCTTGCAAGAGGGTCTGATGGCGCTCAGTGTCAAACAAAAGGGTGCATACATCACTCAGTTGCCTGTTCGTCTCCCGGATAATGTAGATATCACTCGGTTGCAAGGCGCCTGGCAAAGCACACTGGCAGCCAACGACATTCTCCGTACTCGCCTTGTGCAAGCTGAGACAGGAAGATTATACCAAGTCGTTTTAAATGTTGCAGTAGATCGGCTCGAGGCCACCTCGTTGGATGAGTATCTCGCAGGTGAAGGTCAGCTGGAGGTCCGTCTTGGCCAACCGTTGGGACATTTCGCTATCGTCAGAGACATCCAGCGCGGATCCATATATCTCGTGCTCACTCTGCACCATGCTTTGTATGATGGATGGTCAGTTCCTCTGCTATTCCAGGATCTGGAAGCTGCGTATGATGGACGGGCGCTCTCGCCGCGCCGATTCTCTCCCTTCATTGAATATCTCTCGCGATCTGAGTCGAAGGCGATCGCTGATTTTTGGATCGAAGAATTCCAAGGTCTTTCCTGTTCCCAGTTCCCCTCGCTGCCGTCCGATCACTACATCCCATCACCCACCGAGGAGGCTGAATACACGACCCCCCTGGCGCAATCCGCCTCGCAGTATACCCTATCAACAGTGCTCCGTCTCGCCTGGGCCACAGTAATTTCCACTTATACGGATTCGGACGACGTGGTTTTTGGAATTACTGTGGCAGGACGAAATGCTCCAGTTGCGAAAATTGAGGAAATGACTGGTCCTACAATTGCCACAATCCCTCTGAGATTCCAAATCAACCCGGAGCAGAAGACGCAGGAGGCATTGGAAACAATACAGATGAACGCAGCTCGTGTGATTCCTTTCCAACAGACCGGGCTGCACAATATCCGAACATTCAGTCCTGATACGGCCCTAGCCTGTCAATTCCAGAGTCTTCTCGTCGTACAGCCACCAAATAGCGAGAAGCCTGAGCTGTCCGACCTCATCTTAGAAGTCGTTGACAAGGATTCCACCGCGGCATTTGACTCATATGCCATCAATATTGTGTGCGAACCGACCGACGAGGCCGTCACCTTCCAGGCTCGCTTTGATGGCCAGGTCATTGACCCTGCCATCATGCAGATGATTCTGTTCCAGTTTGGCCATGTTACCAATAGCATCCTTCAACACTGCGAATACAGTGGTGACTTGAGAGGAATCAGTTCCTGGGGAATGAACAAACTCCAGCAATGGAATGCCAATCTGCCCGAGCCCTTCCGGGCTTGCGTACAGGATCCCATCTTATCGCATAGTCAGCGGTCCCCGGATTCCCTCGCGGTAGACGCCTGGGATGGCCAGCTGACCTTCCGAGAACTGGATGAACTGTCTCTTCGCCTTGCTACGCATCTCATCGCGAATGGTGTTTGTCGGGAGCAATTCGTGCCCATCCTGCTGGACAAGTCAATGTTTACCCCGGTGGCGATTCTCGGTGTGATGCGGGCCGGTGGTGCGTTCGCCCTCATGGATACATCTCAGCCAACGGCGCGCCTCCGGTATCTAAGCCATCAAATGGACGCAACGCTTATCGTGACCTCTGAGGCCTGCGCCAGAATGGCCAAGGAACTGGTTTCCTCTACCGTTGTTCTGTCGCCACAGGCTATCAATACATGGGAGACGTCCTTCCCGAAACTTTCGGTCTCTGAGCCTAACCAAGCGCTGTACTGTATCTTCACCAGTGGGTCAACGGGCGAACCTAAAGGCGTGATTATCTCCCACTCCTCTTTCGCCACCACCATGTTGGCCCTTGGGGAGAAGGCTCGACTGACTCCAGCAACCCGCTACTTCCAGTTTGCCTCCTATGCATTTGACGTGAGCGTGTCAGATCATCTGACCCCCTTAATGCATGGTGCATGTATCTGCATTCCTTCCAAGGAGCAAGTGAAGAATGCACTGGGGCCTACCATCAAGCAATTTCAACCGACAGCCTTTGACCTAACCCCATCCCTGGCTCGGATCATCGACCCGGATGATGCGTCTTCGGCCAAGCTAATCATGCTTGGTGGTGAAGGGATGGTGAAGGGTGACATTGACAAGTGGCATGGTCATGTCCAATTACTAAATGGGTATGGACCTGCCGAATGTTCAATTAATTGTGTTACGCGAGCCACAGTTTCCAGAGACACTAACCCCAATGATATTGGCTATGGAACTGGGGCTGTTTGCTGGGTGACAGATCCCACCGATCACCGTCGGCTGCTGCCAATCGGCGCCATTGGTGAACTAGTTATCGAGGGACCAGCCGTTGGCAAAAGATACTTGAAAGATCCCGAAAAGACGGCCGCTCAATTTGTCACTAACATTCCCTGGTTACAAGCCTTCCGTGGACAGGACGAAGTACGGGCTTACAAGACGGGCGATCTAGTCCAACAACAGGCAGATGGCTCCTTGAGATACATTGGTCGTAAAGACATGCAAGTCAAGGTTCGAGGTCAACGAATTGAACTGGGTGAAGTTGAGTACTACGTCCAGCGATCAATTGAAATGGATGGCCAGGACGCGACTGTCGCCGCTGAAGCTGTTCGTCTGTCCCACAACGGTATACAGTCGATGTTGGTTGCCTTCATCGCCACTGGCAATGACCAACCGACGGTAGATACTGCACCCTTCGCTCTCCTTCCATCTGTTAAGGAGTTCAGGACTCTTGCCCACAGGGTTGAGCAACGACTGAGAGACATGGTCCCGACATATATGATCCCATCTGTCTTCCTGCCCGTCAATCATATTCCCCTTTCAAGGTCAGGCAAGATCGACCGGAAATCGCTTCAAGCCTCGATCAAACTATTGAGCCGTAGCGAGCTGGCCTCTTACATTGCTACACGCGAACAGAAACGCATGCCGGAGACAGAAACACAGCGAAACTTGCAAGCCATCTGTGCAAAAGTTTTGAACATTCCCCCAGAGGAGATTGGGCTAGATGACACTTTCCTCTCCCTTGGCGGCGATTCGATCAGCGCCATGTCCTTCGTGGCCCGCTGCAGAGCCCAGAAGATCGTTTTGACCGTCCAGCAGGTCTTCGAGCGGGCTTCCATTAAGCAATTGGCCTCGTTGGCCCGGTCCAGTGGTGTTGATCTAGCTCAGGCCACCGAGACGGTCGATGCGCCGTTCGGATTGTCGCCCATCCAGCGGCTGTTTTTCGAAACTACCCATGAAGGTCTCAACCAATACAACCAGAGCTTCTTCCTCCGGTTCCGGCGAGAGGTGTCTGTCCAGCGAGTCAAGTCTGCAGTCCAGGCAGTCGTTCAACGCCACTCAATGCTGCGGGCCCGTTTCTCTCTTTGCAATGACCAATGGACCCAGAAGATCACGGCGGACGCTGAAGGCTCCTATCGAATTACGGCACGACAGATCCATGGGTTCGCCGACGTTGAGAAATGCGCCCTGGATAGTCAGCAGTGTCTCGATATCAAAGCCGGGCCTTTGATGGCAGTGGATTTGTTTGATGTCTCAAACCATGGTCTGTACATTTTCCTTGTCGCCCACCATCTCGTAGTTGATCTTGTTTCCTGGCGAATCATCCTATCCGACCTCGAAGAGTTCATCAATGGAAATTATTTTTCCACTGCACCCGCCCCTCTGTCATTCCAAACATGGTACAATCTCGAGGCTGAGTATGCCCGCCACAACCTGCTACCACACGAGGTGCTGCCTGACGTGTCGACCATTCAAGATACCAGTGTGGATTACAATACCTACTGGGGCCTGACTGGCCACTCGATCATCACGGCCGATATGAGCACGATGGAGTTTCTACTTGACAAGACTAGCAGTGAGATTCTTCTGGGTAGTGCGAACCACGCCTTCCAGACATACCCAGTCGAGCTCTTCCAGGCCGCGCTGGTCTTCTCATTTATGGAAGCATTTCCCGACCGAAACCCTCCTGTCATCCACAGTGAGGGCCACGGACGAGAGACATGGGACAGTTCCATTGACCTTTCTCAGACAGTGGGATGGTTTACGACAATATGGCCAACTCCAGTTACCGTGACCAGGGGACATTCTCTCGTCGAGGTGGTCCAGCGAACCAAGGATGCTCGTCGACAGATGCACAAGAATGGTTGGGCATACTTCACCTCGCAATACCTCCATCCGGAAGGCCCATCTGTCTTCCCCTCTACCTCCCCCGTTGAGGTCGTCTTCAATTACCATGGATCTTACCAGCAACTAGAGGACCACGCTGCCCTGCTTCAACCTGTCCCGCATCAGAAATATGACCACTTCGACATGGCCGCGGAGACACACCAAATTCAACTATTTGATGTCTCCATGAAAGTTCAGGATGGTGAGCTGGTGGTTAGATTCACGTACAACCGTCAGATGCCGCTTGACCGAGTTGCCCAATGGTCGTCTGCATTCAAGGCCAGTCTGCAGGAGGCTAGCCGAGTCTTACCCTCCCTTTCACCCCGACTGACTCCATCAGATGTCCCCCTGTTGTCGACTGGGTATCAAAATCTCCAACAGTTGATCGACAGCGTGAACGCGGCCCGCGGTCCTGGTACAGATGGCCAGATTGAAACTGCATATCCTTGCTTGGCCATCCAGCAGGGCATCCTTCTCAGTCAGGCTCGAGATCCGAATTCTTATGTCACCAGATCTACTTGGGATGTCCGACCTCGCGATCCCTCCGAACCCATGGATGTCAATCGCTTGCTCCATGGTTGGGACTGTGTGGTCGAGCGCAACCCAGCTCTGCGTACCATCTTTGTGGATGGCGCTGCTGCTGGATCGTGGCTGCAGATAGTCCTTCGCAAAGCCGCTGGCAAGGTATCTGTCTTTGACACGCCTGAAGCAAGTCGTCAGGCGGCCAGGCCCCCTATAAACAACGCCTATCCATGGGAGCTCACAGTGACCATAACGTCTCCCACAGCGACGATCTGTGAGTTAGTGCTCAACCACGCCCTTGCTGATGCGACATCCACCGAAGTCATCACCCAACAGCTCATTGGTGCGTATGATGATCAGCCTATGGGTGTTCCTAGTCTAGCTATGCGGGAATACGTTGCCTACGTCCAGAGCCTACCCCCCAAGGCTGGGATTGATTTCTGGAAGGAGTACTTGACCGGCGTTGAACCATGTCTTCTTCAGACTACTGAGGCATCAGGGCCAACCAAAGGAGTGCCCTATACAATCGACAGGGCCTTGGACCGACGGAGTCAATACCAAACCTTTTGCGACCAGCATGGCGTTACTCTGTTCAACCTGGCTCAGGTGGCGTGGGGCTTGGTTCTGCGATACTACACTGGATCAGACAGCGTGTGCTTTGGCTATCTGGCTTCCAGTCGCAGCACCCCAGTCGCTGATATGGAGTCGGCCGTGGGTCCATTCATCAACATGTTCCTCTCAAGGATGGAACTAACAGCAGAGAGCTCAATTGTGAGCAACCTTGAATCCAACCGGTCCGACTTTCTTAGGTGCCTGGAACATCAGCACACATCGTTAGCAGAGATCTATCATTCCCTCGGCCTGTCTGGAGGCACCTTGTTCAACACGGGCATTTCCTTCTTGCCGGAGCCGGAGAACTCACCGTCTACCTCCCGACTGGTCATGACCCCCATTGATGGGGAGGATCCGACAGAGGTAAGTTGCCCGTCACCCGATACTCTGAGCACAGGAAGTCTCAAACTGATCTCTTACGCAGTATGACGTGACGGTCAATATCTCTACATCTGGGGACCAGCTTACATATTCTTTGCACTACAATTCGGATTCCGTCGGTGCGAGCCAGGCTGAGAACCTCGTCAATACCTTTGAGAAGGCACTCGATGGCCTTGTCACCCCGGCATCCTCGACCATATCGGACATCAGCCTTTTGAGCGACGAGCATCTGGAGCGCCTGTATCAGTGGAATCATACCATCCCCCCAGCCGAATCCTACTTCGTCCATGAGGTCATAGAGCGAAACTTCCAATCATCTCCATCGGCCCCTGCCATCTGCGCATGGGATGGTGAGCTTTCTTATGCTGAACTCAACGAGCTATCATCCCACTTGGGAAACGTTCTGGTAGAAAATGGTGTTGGTCCCAACCAGATTGTCCCGGTCCATTTCGAAAAAACCAAGTGGACAACCGTCGCGATTGTGGCAATCCTGCGTGCCGGTGGAGCGTTCGTTCTGTTAGACGCTTCGCATCCTTTGGCCCATCTTCAAGCCATTTGTCAGGATGTTGGCGCTCGTCTTGTGGTGAGCTCTGCCACCCAGGCTGCTACCTCACGCCTGCTCGAAAACACCGTCATTGTCGGAGAAGAGGAATCCCTCAGTTGGCCGGCCAAGGCCATGCTCTCAAGAGCAGAAAAAGCCACTCCGTCTAATCTCGCCTACGTGATATTCACTTCTGGAACCACTGGCAAGCCCAAGGGGGTAATGGTCGAGCATGCGGCCTACTGTACCAGTGCCAAGGCAATGTCAACAGCGCTGTCACTCAATAGTAGTTCCCGTGTCTTTCAATTTGCATCTTATGCATTTGATGCCAGTATTGCAGAGACTCTTGCATGTTTGATGGCAGGAGCTTGTTTGTGTGTTCCATCCGACTCCCAAAGATCCGACAGTCTAAATGAAACCATTCAGCAATATCAGGTGACTTTCATGACGATTACCCCCTCGCTTAGCCGCCTCATCGAGCCCAGTCAGGTTCCATCCGTCAATACAGTCACATTGGTTGGTGAAGCTATGACTGCAACCGATGTGGCCACCTGGTCTAGCTATGCCTCTGTTTGCAACGGCTATGGTCCAGCTGAATGCGCCGTGAGTGCTTCCTTCAATCCCAGCGTGGCCAACACCGGGCCGTTGAATATCGGATTTCGAGGTGGATCAGTGGGCTGGGTGGTTGACCCAAACAACCATGACTGCTTGATGCCCATCGGCGCCGTGGGTGAACTGCTAATTGAAGGACCAATCCTCGCTCGCGGCTACCTGAATGATCCCATAAAAACGGCAGTGAGCTTTATTGAAGACCCTCAGTGGCTACGGCAGTTCCGAACTGGGGGCAAGGGGAGACTATACAAAACAGGTGATTTGGTTGTGTATGAGCCAGATGGCTCCATGCGCTTTATCGGGCGCAAAGATGGTCAGATCAAGCTGCGAGGCCAGCGTATTGAACTGGGTCATGTTGAGCATCACGTTCTTCAATGCTTTGATGATACCGAAGATGTAGCGATTTCCCTGGTCACCTTGACAGAAGGCAATAGACAGCCCTTTCTGGTCGCCTTCATCAAACAAACTGGCGGCAATACGATACCAAGCCACAGCGGGCTTTTCTATCCGCCGAGTCAGGCCTTTGCAACCCAAGTCTTAACCGCCCAGGAAAGGCTCCATAAATCACTACCAGCCCATATGCATCCCAGTGCATTTCTACCAGTCTCTCATATCCCACTCTCCCGATCCGGCAAGAGGGACCACCGACGACTATCCCACCACGCCTCCCAGCTGTCGCGTAAACAGCTCGAGTCTTACGCCACAGCTGGGGTTAAGAGCAAGCGATCTCCAGAAACTGAAATAGAGCGCCATGTGCAGCGTCTCTGGGCCGATGTCTTGAATCTCGACGTTCAAGATATCGGAACTAGTGACAGTTTTTTCCACCTTGGGGGAGATTCTATCACCGCCATGCGGTTCGTCGCCCAGTGTCGTGCTCAGCAGCTTTTCGTGACGATTCAGGACGTGATGCGATTCAAGTCCATCGTTGAACTGGCTCCACGCATTCGTGTGGGGACTGTGCCGCAACAATTCTCAAGAGAGGCTCAGGGCCGCCTTTTCATCTTGTCTCCCGTCCAACAGGTCTTTTTCGATCGTCTTCCCCACGGTCAAAACCACTTGAATCAGAGTTTCTTCGTTAGAATTGCTCGTCCGCTCCCTCCTGGCCGATTGGCCCAAGCGGTCGAAGCAGTGGTCAGAAAGCACTCGATGCTTCGTGCTCGATTCAGAAAGACCGGACAAGGATGGAGGCAGATGATCAGTTCGAACGTTACCCAGTCCTACCGCTACCGATCATGCCCACTGTCTCATGAGATGGATCTAGCTCAGTGTACAAGCAATAGCCAAAAAAGCATCAACATTACCGATGGACCAGTCCTCGCAGTGGACCATATAACAATTGGCGCTGGTGAATATCTCTTCCTCGTGGCCCATCACATGGTGGTGGACCTTGTGTCATGGCGCATCATCTTCGGTGACCTTGAAACCCTCTTAGCTGGTAGCACCGTCCCTTCCAATGATTATTTATCCTTCCAAACCTGGTGCCATTTGCAGGCTGACTACGTCAAATCCCATGTCCCACCGAACACCACGCTGCCCTCGCTTCCCGACCTGCATCGGCTGGATGAAGCGGTCCATGACTTCTGGGGCCTCAGCGGTAAATCGAACATGTTTGAAGATGTGTGCTCCAGAAGATTCAATTTGGATACCACCCTGACTGAAGCTTTATTGGGACCAGCTAATGGCAGCTTGCAAACCAAGCCGGTTGAGTTGTTCCATGTGGCCCTGTTGTATTCCTTTGTCCAAACCTTTCCGGAGCGAGTCCCGCCCATTATCTGGAATGAAGGACATGGCCGAGAAGCATGGGATACCTCACTTGATCTGTCACAGACTGTGGGCTGGTTCACCACCCTGTGGCCATCCGCTATTATGGTCAACCCCCAGCATAGCCTGATGGATGTGATTCGGCTGGTCAAAGATGCTCGGCGCCAAATTCGCAGCAATGGCTGGGCCTACTTTGCTTCGCGATACCTCCATCCCGATGGACCCAAGATGCTGCAAACCAAACAGCCCGTGGAGGTGACAATGAATTATCAGGGGCGGTATCAACAGCTCGAGCGGGCAGACGCCACCCTGCAAGGGGCATTAAGTCAATATCTCGCCGATGATGTCCCTTCTTCATTGCCTCGGGGAGAGGTGTTCGCAGTCGACATCTCTGTCTCTTTCAGTTCCATCCAGGTCGAACTCACCTACAATAAGCATGCTCTGCACCAGGATCGCATTCAGCAATGGATCACCAATTGCAACCACGCCCTGGTCAAACTGGCCGACCAGCTCCCCCAGGCCAGTCGTCTCTATACGTTAACCGATTTTCCACTCATGCAAATGAGTTATTCAGAGCTGGAAGAATTCACAACGGAAATTCTGCCCAGAGCCAACGTTTGTCTATCGGAAGTTGAAAGCGCCTATCCTTGTTCGCCCATTCAGCGCGGCATGATGTTCGGCCAAGTCAAGAACCCACTATACTATGCCGTCCTTCAAGCATGGGAGGTATCCAGCACGCATCCGTCCAAGCCAGTCGACCCTCTGCGCCTTCGTGATGCCTGGCTTCAGGTCGTTACCCGACATCCTGTATTGCGCACGGTCTTTGTCGAAAGCCCCTGCAGTGGTCGACTGTCCGACCAGGTGGTCCTCAAGTCCAGCCCCGGCACCATCACGGTCGTTGACCCTCAAGACTCCGACTGTACGTCAACGACACCTAGAGGCGATCGAATGCGATCCCCATGGAGCATTAAAATGACACCCTCCGCAACCGGGAAGGTCCTCTGTGAGTTTACCATCACCCACACACTCATGGACGGTGAATCCAGTGGACCACTTATGCGTGATCTCCTACTGGCCTACGACGGCCGTCCGTTCCAGTCGCCTGCCCTGGCTTACAGCGACTACATGGCTTATCTGCAATCGATCGACCACAAGTCAATCTCCACCTACTGGGGAGATTATCTTCATGGCATCGAGCCTTGTCTTTTCCCAGCCATCGCCCAACCAAGAGAGGAAAGGAGCCTCCATAGAATCGAAAAGACCCTTGGCATTGGTGCCCGAGAAGTCAGGAAGTTCTGTGAATCGCGCGACTTGACGCTCCTCACGCTATTCCAGGTAGCTTGGGCATTGGTTCTTCGATGTTACGTGAGTAGCGAGAATATTTGCTTCGGCTATCTCACTTCCGGGCGCGACATCCCTCTGCCTGGCATTGAAACCGCTGTTGGGCCATTCATCAACATGCTGGTATGCCGGTTGCAGGTGGAACGCTCCATGTCCATTGCCAGTCTTCTCAAAACCAACCAGGAGAAGTCCATGGACAATCTGGCCCATCAACACTGCTCCCTGGTGGACATTCAGCACGAACTGAACGTGCCTGGTCGTTCACTGTTCAATACCATGTTTTCCCTGCAAATCACATCCTCTACTTCATTTGGGGCAGAAGAGAAGCAGTCTGTATCGATCCAACATATTGAGTCCGAGGACCCAACCGAAGTATGTCTTTCACTATATCTATCGTTTGTAACACCCTTTTGCTGACAACAGACTGTAGTATGATGTCGCGCTCAATGTGGCCGTAGGATCAGAAGAAGTCGGGGTTGGAATCAGTTATTACGACTCGACTCTCTCCTCCTATCAAGCCAACGTGGTCTGCGACACTGTCATCCAAGCCGTAAAAAACATCATTGAGAATCCGGACCAGACAGTGGATGAAGCTGACTTGCTCAGTGAAGAGTGCATTACTCTCATTAAGCAGTGGAATTCCGAGACTCTTCATGCGGAAACCAGCTGTCTCCACGACCTCGTCCTCGAAAAATGCCAGAAGACCCCCAGCGCTGAAGCCGTGTGTGCTTGGGATGGCAGTCTCACATACGGGGAATTGAACGATCTCTCTGCCGCCCTCTCTGCTAAACTGGGGCAGCTGGGTGTTGGTCCTGAACGCTTCGTACCGCTGCTCATGGAAAAGTCTATGTGGGTTGCCGTTGGTATTCTCTCCATCCTGCGCGCTGGGGGAGCCTTTATTCTTTTGGATGAATCTCATCCCACCGAACGCCTACGCGACATTTCCGATCAGGCACAGGCCCAAGTGATCCTGGCATCCCCTGCTACACTCGCCAAGGCATCTGAATTAGCTCCACAGGTTGTGGTCCTTTCCGGCAGTGAAGTCGAGTCCTGGACGGCTGAGCCACCAAGCCTGATCTCTGCGCCAACTGCCCAACCACACCATGCTGCCTTTGTGGTATTCACGTCCGGTTCCACTGGCAAGCCCAAAGGTATCGTGATGGACCACTCGGCCAGTGCAGCCTGCTTTCTCAGCTTCGGTCCCAGGAGCAGGCGCGATTCTTCCTCGCGCCACTTGCAGTTCTCCTCTCATGCGTTTGATATCAGTGTGGCCGACTACCTGATTACCTTCCTTACGGGCGGTTGTGTCTGCGTTCCCTCCGAGGCACAGAGGGCCAACATCCCTGAGGCCGTGGCCCAGGGGCGTGTCAACCATATGACAACTACTCCGACGGTCGCCCAACTATTGCATCCATCTCAGGTCCCTACTGTCCTAGTCATGGACCTGATCGGCGAAGCGATGACCCTGGAGAATATTTTTACCTGGGCTCAGTCCGTCAATCTCATCAATAGCTACGGTCCCGCGGAATGCACAATCGCGACGATGCGCGAAGGGGTTGTGGACGATCCATTAAACATCGGCATCCCTAATAACTGTCTCTGTTGGGTGGTCGCTCGTGATAACCATCACAAGTTGGCCCCAGTTGGCGCTGTCGGCGAACTCTTGCTCCAGGGCCCTACCCTGTCACGCGGATACCTGCGCAATGAGAGGGCAACCCGTGAGGCCTTTATCGAATCTCCGAGCTGGTTGCATCGCATGCGGTCAGATGCCTGCGATTTGGGCCAAATGTACAAGACCGGGGATCTGGTGCAATACTTGCCTGATGGCTCCCTCAAGTACTTTGGACGCAAGGGCAGCCAGGTGAAGCTCCATGGCCAACGTATCGAGCTAGCCGAGGTCGAGCATCATGTCCACCCCCATTTCCCCGATGCCCACAATGTCGTGGCCGATGTGCTGGTGTCGCCCTCTACGAAACATCCCGTGCTCATTGCTTTTATTGCCCAAAGCGCCCCGGTCGATGGTGAGACCTCGACCATCTCATTCCTGCAGCGCAGCCAGGAATTCCTGCAAGCCGCTCAAAACACCAAATCCAAACTCATGGAAATCGTGCCTCGATTCATGGTTCCGGGCTTCTTTATTCCCCTTGAATCTATCCCACTCTCCAAGGCCGGTAAGACGCATCGACGCCTGCTTCGCGAAGCAGCATCGCGATTGTCGTGGAATGAGATGTATTCTCAACTGCCCGATTCGGCCGCCAAGCCCCTTCCTACGACCAGGATGGAGAGAAAGCTCCTTGATGTTTGCTCACACACTCTTGGAGTTGACTCGGCAAGTATCGGGATGGAGGACGATTTCTTCCAATTAGGGGGTGACTCTCTGAACGCCATGAAGCTGGTCTCTCGCCTGCGTGCTGAAGACCTCTCACTGACGGTGGCCACTGTCTTCCATGCTCCAGTCTTGAGGAACCTAGCTGAATTTATCAAATCTAGCACGGATACTGACCAAAAGACCAACTTAGAGAGTCAGTCATCTGTCTGGCTGGACAAGAATAGCATCCTTCAGGACATCCAGTGGCCGCAAAGAGCCTTCCAGCCCCAGGAGATCGCAGTCATCCTTCCAACAAACAGCCGCACAGCTGTGTCCACCACTCAGGCATTCAAATACGTCTTCATGGAGATTGTCGCGCCGCTGAATGAGAATCACCTTCGTTCAGCCTGCCAGACTCTGGTCGAGAAACACGCCATCCTTCGAACCCTATTTGTCGAGTACAAAGAGGAAATCCTGCAGATCATTCTTCATAAATGGCCAGCTCTAATCGCGGACTCTCATACTGATAGCCGAAATATCATGGACGCGGCCCAAGAGTGGTCCCGTCAAGACTCCTTGAACCAACAGCTCCTTGGTCTCCCGCCCACTGCGTTTGCCCTGATACGCAACACTCCCGAACGCTTTGCTGTAGTAATTCGCGTCTCTCATGCCCAATACGATGGATTGTCCATCGGGAAGTTTTCGGGGGATCTGCTGGATCTTTATCAGTCCAGGCCCATCTCGGTCCCAGCCGACTTTGCCACATACCTCCAGCATGTCCATGACCAGCAGACCCCGAGCGCATTTAGCTTCTGGAGGGTTCTCCTCGAAAACTCCATGATGACCCCAGTGATGGCGTCACCAGCGCCATCTGACCAGCTGGCATCGGTTGAGTGCTCTCAGGAAGTCCCCCTCGCTCGTCCTCCGGCCGGCATCACCATGGCCACCGTGATCAAGGCCGCTTGGGCCAGGGTGCAATCAAGCTTCTTCCATCGGGACGACATCGTGTTCGGGCAATTCGTAAGTGGCCGTAACACGGTGGATGCTGAGCTTGAGCAGGTCGTTGGAAACTGCACAAATGTGATACCCGTCCGAGTCAAGATCCCCCGTGACCGCCGCATTCGGGATCTTCTCCACGCTATCCAGGCCCAGCACGGGCAAACCATGGCATTTGATACTACACCATTTAAGGCGATCGTTGCCAAAAGCACGTCTTGGTCGGACGGGTTGGACTTTGGCTCTGTGGTCCACCACAAGTCTCAGGAATTGGCCGACAAAATGCTGTTCCTGGAACACAGCTGGGTGTCTCGAATTGGCATGTGGGCCCCTGACGAAAACCCTCCCAACCACCTGTTCCTCCAGACCACGGAGAGAGAATCCAATCTTCTATTCGAGCTGGTGACCAGGAGTGACCTTGCCACTGAAGCTCACCTTGAAATGCTCTTGTCAGAAACCTGCCGACTGGTGGTAGCCTACCTTGACAATCCTGACATGACGGTGGATGAGATCAAATCGAAATTGCCTTGATCAGGAGGTCGTACTACTGGAGGATGAAGAAGTTGCTACACTCCGCAAGGCCATCAAATCGGTCCAGATAGGTTCTCAGAATGAAAGACCGTTAATCTGTTTTCTCTGCATTGGAAACCCTGCTTTGGCCATGACAGAGTGAACTCGGAAGTACAAGACACCTGGATGTGACGGCTCAACGCCGCATCAACGCTGATATAGAAAAACCACGGCAACATGCCAAACAGGACCAACCAGGCAATGAAGACAAACAGAGCATTAGCAAGGCCACGCAAACACCTATAAGACCCCTTCTTCCTCTAGATAGATTTCCTTTTCTTCTCCAGATTTGATATTCTCATTGATGGCTACACTAGTTTAGATAGGAATATCGTTTCATTAGTATCTACTATCCTGAGCCTGTGACATAATATTGAATCTCATTCTTCCTTTTTCACATGCCTACTTTATTAGTTTGATCCTCCAACCATGGAGCCAGAGTAGTGTGTCCCCCACACCAATTGAACCGTAATCTATCACCGAAAGGTGCATATCACCGAGAGGCGTGCCTCGGTATTCCATACAAAATGGCAGTTTTTGGACGGTTCTCAAGGGCGAAGGGAGATGTGCATAACGATTTGTTTCCGGGGGTGAAGGTGAGGACTTTTGAGAGGTATTTTTAGGAGTTGTTTAGTTGAGATCTCTCTCCCAACGAGGTTCTGTTTTTCTATTGGAACAACACATATAGTATCTGTGCAATCAAGGGTTCATCTTTTTTATCTATCAATCCATCCCGAGTCCTATGTACTACTCAGTACGATTTTCGAGTGCCACACGCACGCTAGCGCCTATCTGCGACATTGTTATGTCCGGATTCGTCAAGACGAGTGACAGGCAGTGGGTGAGTGCGATACGAATATTGCCCGCGGTCTCTGGAGGGATCCTTTGACTCCAGTATCCGAAATATGCACTGATTGCGTCGTCAAACTCAACGATACAGAGTTTTATATACAAGTACACCCCGCTCGGTCAGCAGGTGGCACACACCATAAAAAAACACAAAAAAAAAAAAAAAAAAGAAAGGGAAAGAACATACCAGCGCGTCACCGCTATATTCATAGTATTTCCAACTAAACGATTTCTGGTTGGATGATGATCTCTCTTCGGATTCTGCGCAATGGTGACGCCGATGGTTCACGATGGTGTTGGTCAGAGTCTGTTCGAGACCGAGTTCTCGAAACGTGTTAATGGCGGCAAACAGATGCGTTAGGGCCCGAGAATAGTCCTCTTGGACGTTCTTCAGTATCTCTTTGAAAGAGGTGGTTCCTGCTGCGCGCACCCGAGCCCAGAGTATTTCTAGATAGTTCCCGATTGCGCCCCCCGCTTGGACACCAGGGGCATAGCGGGTCGAGACCAAGTAGAGAAAAGCCACATCCTGGGAACCGACCAGAAATTGAAGAACGACCGCCCACAGCGCTTTGAATAGAGACGACTGGGTGCATTCTTGGGATCGACTGAACTGCTTGATGATCTCGAGTGGCAACAGTGGCACATCGACTTTTCTGGAATCACCCAGGTCGGTTATTGGGGAATCAGTTGGGATGAGGGATTGGGGTGCGTCCTTTAGATATTCAGTCCAGTAACTCTTTTTCACGGGCCCCGAGCCTTCGAGTGCTGTCGCTACGTAGTCACGGTACTTGGGGGCGAGTCGGCTAGGGGCTGATCCGCATGATACAAGGCATCCAACTCGGCCTCAAGCACGTCCCGAGCCCCTTTGTCTCCAATGTCATGGTGGAGCTCTATCATGCCGAAAACTCTGCCTGACTCGGTCGAGGCTAGCGTCAGCCGGTGCAGGATGTACTGGTCAAGCGGAAGGTCATTTGACAGATACTTTCGGAACACAGGTAAGACTTCGGAGTCAGCACACTGGATTGTTTTGGCAATGGGTACCACCCGCTCCATGACGACTTGGATATACCGCTGGGCAGAAGACACAAGAATTGTTCGCAGGGTGGTGTGACGGGCCACAAGCCGTACCCATGCCCTTTCGACGCGGGAGACATCAATTGGCCCAGACCCATCAAGTGGTTGTAGTTAAAAGATTGTGTGCACATGGCTAATTCCGGTCTTGCAATCATAGTCGCTCGCTGCCCATTGCTGAGAACCGCTACAAGGGTAAATATCCTCGACATCACTGAGAGAAGTGATGCCGAATTTATACATACTAGTAGAGAAGCAGCATGAACCCAATCCCCACCAAACAACACCAATATTGTCTTTAAAATACAAACGCACGCCCTGATCTCTGGAAGGCCCTGAAGGAAGGCACCAACCACCCCCTCAACACTGCATGGCCCCTCTTCCTGGACCAAGATACTTGCTTTCAACAATACTTCGCTAAGCTGTCCAAGTACAATGCCCTATCCGAGTTCCAATTCGCCATAGTCAAGTTGGACGAGACCGGCCAAAGAGAACTGGGCCTGATCGCCTGCGCTCGCTCAGTTCCCTTCTACTGGCCTGAGCTGGACCAGGTCGGTGGACGGGCTGGCCTGAAAGCTCAACCTGAAGTTCTACAATCGCTACCCCGGGGTGGATACGATGCCATTTTGACTCGGGCTACCCATCAACATCTCGCGCGAAAGGGCCTTGCGCTTTCCTCTCTTCCTTCTTCTCCCGCGACAATTGCCTCGGATACCGAGTCGGACTCGGAATCGGACATCAACAATGTTCAACAACACACTCAGACTCACACTTGGACCGACCACCTCCCAAACCCACCAAACGTCTTCTCCGCCATCTCCATCACAGTCCACCCAAGCTACCGCTCCCGCGACCTAAATCTAGCCGAAACTATGATCCAAACTATGAAGCGCACCGCGCAGCAAAAACACCTTGATGCCCTCGTCGTTCCCCTCCGTCCCACCCGCAAGCCCGAAATCCCTTTCGTTGATATGGGCGACTACATCACTTGGCTCCAGCCCACGACCACAGCATAGCATCTGGAAGCCGCTCTCTCCTTTGATCCCTGGCTGCGCAAGCACACGCTTCTTGGGGCGCAGGTAATCAAAGTCGCCCGGGAGAGTATGCGGGTGGAGGGGAGCATGGCGGAGTGGGAATACTGGACGGGGTGTGACCTGCTCCAGGAATTCGCGGCTTCTTCTAAGGGATATGCTAAGCGGGAAGTCGAGTATGGTCGGTTGTACCTGTAGCTGGCTTTTCCGAGGGGCTTGGTGCCGCTGCGGTATTATGTTCAGAGTGTAGAAGGGCTTATGTAGAGCCGAATGTGTGGCTGTATCATGATCTTGGGTAGAATTATCCGGTATATTTCTCGTATCGTATCTTATCAGATTGATTATAGGCAGACCACTTCCTTCATTAATCTCGTTCAATTCTCACTCGTCGTTGTTCTCGGGGCAAGGGTATGCTGCCGCTGCCACTTGAGTGGATAGAGCTAGTAGGATGACTAGCCAGGTGTAGAACCGGGGCCAATAAATTTTCGAGGATGGGGAAAGAAATGACGACAAGACAATAACATTATGGATTGAAGGCTTTTCATAAGTTTTTTGAAGGTCCCTGAAGACATTTCAGCTTTGCGGCTGAAGTGGGATATGCACTATGTAGTAGGATTAGTAGATACCAATAACTTGTTGATAGGTATGATAGTGTCTGTTTGGCTATATTTCGATCACCGAAAAGTCTTCACAGCGATCTGGTATGCTCGTCCTGAGATGCAACTGAAGAAATCGCATGGATGTAGTTAGGGCATATCTTATCAGATCGATGTCACGTTGCAGTGACGTATGCTCCAACCTTCACTTTCGTCTCTCAGCTCATACAACTCAATACAACTCAATTAAACCTAATTGACTCTGCGCTATAATGGACGAACCTCGACAAGTCGAATACTCCGTGGAGAAACCGCTAAATCGCGAACCACCGACCGAAAACCTGGTGGATAGGTATTCTCTCTCTCATCCAAACCAGGCACTAGGAACCACCGATAGTCTAACTCAACTCAGCTTTTACACTCCCCAAGACATCAGCTATGACCGCAACCACGGCCCAATACCACATCTTCCCGCCGGCGAAGATCACCTCGTCCGCATCGACGGCCAAGTCCGCACCCCGGTTACCTTATCCGTGAAAGAGCTCACAACCGAATTCCCGCAACATCAGATCATATGTGCGCTAGAATGCGCGGGGAACAGACGACACACGATGCGCACTCTTCTGCGGGAAGTCGAGGGAATCGATTGGGGCGATGGCGCGGTGATGAATTGTAAATGGAAGGGACCGAAGTTGAGGGATGTGTTGCGGAGTGCGGGTGGAATCAGCGGGAAAGTCGAGGATCTACATGCTGCATTTTCATGCTACCAGGTTAGAACGCAGAATGATACTTGGTTTGGGGGCAGTGTGCCGTTGGAAAGGGTTATGAAAGATGAGGATGGGGGAGATGTGATTCTTGCACTTGAGATGAACGATATGCCCCTAACGCCCAAACACGGTTATCCCCTCCGCGCGGTCCTCCCTGGTATCGCAGGCGCAAGATGGGTCAAATGGCTTGACCAGATCACAATCCAAGATCATGAATCTACCAACTTCTATCAGAAACACGATTACAAGGTTCTTCCCGAAGAGGCTGTCGATAAGGAGTCCGCGGAACCGCACTGGGACCATACCCCGCCTATGTATGATACGCCCATTAATTCAGTGATCGGTGTTCCGACGGACGAGGAAACTGTTACTTTACGCGATGGAAAAGTTGAGGTGAAGGGGTATGCAGTGCCAAATGCGGCGGATGGGCCGGTCACGCGCGTGCAGGTCTCGACGGATTGTGGGAAGAGCTGGGTGGATGCGGAAATTGGGAAGAGTGAGGGACAGAGAAATAAGTGGTGCTGGGTGTTGTGGAGGGCGGAGGTGAGTATAGAGCCTGGGACAGGGAAAGAGATTTGGAGTCGGGCGTTTGATGCTGGGGGGAATGTGCAGAAAGAGCATTCGCAGTGGAATCTGAGGGGAGTTGGATATAGTGGATACGGAAGAGCCATGGATCTTACTATCGCCTAAAATAGCATCCAATAACGGTCTATTTACTTCATGATACATGACTACTAAGGCAACACTATGTACTTTTCCAAATGCTTGGGAATGGCAGAGCGGAGGTTCTTGCTCTCGAGCCATGTCTGGGAGAACAACCGTTCAGCATAACGGTAAGCTCCATCACACAGAACAGTTACGACATTGTGTCCCTTTCCAAGCTTCTCAGCAACCTCCTTGGCAGCAACAACGTTCAACGCAGAGCTAGCACCAAGGTAGAGACCCTCCTCGTCTAAGCAACGGTAGACCATCTCAATCGACTTCTCGTCGCTGATGTTCAGCGATCCGTCGATCAAGTCGACATCAGGTTTGAGGTTCTCCGTAATACGGCCCTGACCAATACCCTCAGTGATACTGCCACCAGCCCGGTCCATAAGGTTACCACCGCTCTGGACGTAGCTGTGCAGCACACTACCGGGAGGATCAGCGAGGAAGGCTTTTACCCGTCCCTCACTGACATCCTTCAGGTAGCGCGTGGTTCCAGCGAAAGTACCACCCGTTCCAGTCGCACAGGTAAACGCATCGATCTTTCCACCGGTCTGCGCCCAGATCTCAGGACCCGTAGTCTCAATATGCGCCTGTCGGTTGGCGACGTTGTCGAATTGGTTCGTCCACACAGCATTGTCGAGTGACTCAGCATGTCTCCGCGCCTGGTGGTTGTAGTTCTGCGGGTTGTCGAACGCCACCGCGGGGACCGGGTAGACCTCCGCGCCCAGAAGACGCAGCAGATCAATCTTGCCCTGCGACTGGGTGTTGGGCATGTAGATAACGAGCTTGTAGCCCTTGGAACGGCAGACGTGGGCAAGGCCAATTCCCGTGTTACCGGCCGTGCCCTCGACGACGGTACCGCCGGGCTTCAGGAGTCCCTTTTCCTCCGCATCCTTGACAACGAAGAGAGCGGCACGGTCTTTCACGCTGCCACCGGGGTTCTGGAATTCGGCTTTACCAAGGACGTTGCAGCCGGTTTGTTCGGAGATGCGCTTCAATCGGATGAGGGGGGTGTTTCCAATTGCTGTTGTAGGACGAATATATTAGCATTGCTCCGTGCTTCCCGGTAAATGAGGGGATCGCATACCTTCCGTCAAGCCATTGACAGAGCCCTGGGCTTGCGACACTCGCACAGCATAGGCGGTAGACCCCTCTGCAGCACGGAGGGCCGTGGTACCAAACCGGCGAATACTCTGGCGAAACATTTTGTCCAGTCCTGCAATCGAGCGACACAGTAGAGACCCCGGCGAGAACAAGAGGCCGAAAGGCAATTCCCGGAGCCCCGGTTTTCGGCGTTAGTCAGGCGTCACGTGAAAAGTGGCGTGACGTGCATTGCTACATGTTTGAGAGTAGTATCAAATGGGGTTGAACATCATGAATTGAAAAGCAATACATATTTATTTTCAAGTAATGATCACCGTAGATACACTTAATGCATAGAAGAGCATGTCTGTACCGCAACACGTGCAGCCCTAGCCCTTATCGGGATATTGCCTGTCTGGGCTGTTTGTTTATCCCGCCGCCCGTGACTTGTCGATTATCGGCGGCTTCTTTGAGGACAACCTCGACCACGGCTTCATCTTGCGACGCCGCAATCCTTCCACGACTCGATACATTTGGGATTTCTGAACGATAATATACGAATTGTTATTGCGATGAATCGTCGATACTAGTGTGGTCGATATCCCATTCATCCAACAGCTGTTACGACAAGAGAAGACTACCCCTCAGCGACACCACCATGCCCGCTCGCGTCTCCGCCCGTTCGACGTCCTCGGCTACACGCAAGACCTCTGTCCAGACTTCTGGACGAGCCGGCTCTGCGCCTCCAGTTTTCGTGATCCCAGAAGAGCCCGCATTGCCCGAAACATCCCCCAACTTGCGACGGGATGTGTGTTCAATTTTCGCCGACGCCCAACGCTCGACGACCGGACACCGCAAGCTAGTCGTTCGCCTTCGGAAATTGCAGGAGATCTCCTGCGGGATATTGAAAAAGAAGTCTAAGGATAATCAAGAGCAAGAGGAACTTTCGCTGCCGAATGAAGAAACCTATCCCGAGAAGGAATTCAATGTGGAGGTTGGCCGATGTGTACTGCGAATCCTCCCCATTAAGAAGACAGAGCCTGTCGGTGATCGCATTCTGCGCTTTGTCGGCACATTCTTGACGCATGCGTCGGAAAAAGATACTGAACTATTCGCTTCAGAAGAAGACGATGATGTTTCTACTGAGACTCCAACTGCGCGTCTAGCGACTAGTCTTGTTGCGGTGGTGTCGCCGCTTTTGGTGGCCAAGGACAAGATTGTGCGCTTCCGCGCTACGCAGTTAATCACGCTCATTGTCAACTCGCTCGACAGCATCGACGACGACTTATTTTACACCATCCGCCAAGGCCTGTTGAAGCGTATCAGGGATAAGGAGCCTTCTGTGAGAGTGCAGGCAGTGATGGGTCTCGGCCGTCTGGCAGGGAACGACGAGGACGATGATAACGACGATAACAGTGCTCTCTTGGAGAAGCTCATCGACATTATGCAGAATGATACGAGTGGCGATGTACGAAAGACCCTGCTCACCAACCTGCCTCTTTCTCCGGGAACCCTTCCCTACCTACTTGAACGAGCCCGCGATCTCGACGCTGCGACACGACGCGCATTGTACTCTCGCCTTCTTCCGACATTGGGCGACTTCCGTCACCTTTCCCTGTCTATGAGAGAAAAGATGCTGCGGTGGGGTCTCCGGGATCGAGACGAGAGTGTTCGGAAGGCTACTGGCAAACTGTTCCACGACCGATGGATTGAGGACTGCGCTGGCACAAACAAGGAGAACAACGAAGCGGAAGGAGGGTCTGGTGCCCCACAACGCTCTCCACCAAATATTGCTGCGCTTCTGGAGCTGCTCGAGAGAATTGATGTGGTCAATTCTGGCATGGAGTCTGGCATTGCCCACGAAGCCATGCGTAGCTTCTGGGAGGGGCGTCCGGACTACCGGGAGGCAGTCGTGTTCGATGAGCCGTACTGGGAGTCACTGAATGGAGAGTCATCGTTCCTCCTGCGCTCGTTCAACGACTTCTGCCGGGTCGAGCATGATGGGAAATACGACAGCCTTGCTGATGACAAGATGCCTGAGGTCATTGCTCTGGCACACTATCTTCAGAAGTACCTGAATGAGCTTCTGGAGCGGAAGAAGACCGCCAAGGAGAGTGGTGAGGCGAACGACGACGACAGCGTGGAGCAGGAATTTGTCGTGGAGCAACTGCTGCACATTGCCATCACCATGGACTACAGTGATGAAGTGGGACGACGGAAGATGTTCTCTTTGCTCCGAGAATCCCTGGCCATTCCCGAGCTCCCGGAAGAAACCACCAAGCTTGCCGTCGAGACCCTGAGATGTGTCTGCGGACCTGACCTGTCAGCAGAGGCTGAATTCTGCAGTGTGGTCCTGGAAGCCATCGCTGAAGTCCACGACACTATCATCACCGAAGACAGCTTTGTCTCTGCCAGGTCTGAAATTAGCGACGACGCCTCTAGCCGTGCTCGGTCTGAGACGCCCGCGTCTGAGACATCTTTTAACAAGGATGAGGCTAAGGCTAAGATTCTCAAGGAGATCGTTGTCAACATGAAGTGCTTGCATATTGCTCTTTGCATGTTGCAGAATGTTGAGGGTAATCTGCAACAGAATATGAACTTGGTGACTATGTTGAACAACCTGGTTGTGCCTGCAGTTCGGAGTCACGAGGCTCCTATTCGAGAGCGTGGTCTGGAGTGCTTGGGTCTTTGCTGTTTACTTGACAAGGTAGGCTTCCATTCATTTCTTGGTACTTGAGGTGATGCTAACTGTTCAGACCCTGGCCGAGGAAAACATGACTCTCTTCATCCATTGCTACAGCAAAGGTCACGATGCTTTGCAGGTGACAGCCATTCAGATCCTTTGCGATATGCTTACGACGCACCCTACGTTGCTTGCGCCCGTCACTCAGCCAGACGGCGAGACCGTGTCCCCGCCGCCATTCCAGAAACCCCTGTTGAAGGTGTTTGCTCGGGCGCTTAGGGCCAACTCCCCGAACGATGTGCAGACGGGCGCTGCCACTGCTTTGTCGAAGCTACTTCTAACGAGCGCTTTCTCGCCCTCTGGACCCAACGTGCCGCCAGCCATTCAGGAAATGAACCAAGCGGCCGTGGAAACGCTCTTGTTGAACCTTGTCGTTTCCTTCTTCCACCCACGGACTCGGGAGAACCCCGCGCTACGACAGTCATTGGCCTACTTCTTCCCTGTCTACTGTCATTCGCGCGTCACGAACACGCAGCACATGCAGCGGATTACAGTCCCTGCTGTGCGTACTGTCTTGAACGCAGCTGAGGAGCATTACTCTCTCGAAGCCGAAGAAGACAGTGATGGCGAGATCGACGAGACAATCAGCCAACGCGAACTGAAGACATTAATGACCGGTGTCCTAGGCATGCTCGCAGAATGGACCGACGAACGACGAGTCGTAGGTCTGGGCGGAGAAAACGTCCTCATCGGCGGTACAGCCAGCTCGAGCGCCTGCGGCTTCGTCCACCTAGCCGTGATCAAGGATATCCTGGAACGCGTCCTGGGCATCAGCGCAGGCACAAACCGCTGCTCCAAGGACGAGCGCAAACTCCTCTTCTCCCTCATGAGCAAACTCTACATCGCACCCCCGCCACCACCGCCATCCCGCTCCGGCTCGCGCCCCCCCGAAGGCGACGATCAATTCCGCACAAGCACCCGCAGCAACGGCGAAATCACACAGGAGAACATCCAACTCGCACAGGAAGTCAAAGAACTCCTCGACCAGGCCATCGAGGAAGGTGCTGCCGGTGATGCAACCGGTCGCAACGCTTTGGTCAAGGCTAAGAACTCGATACTCAAACTGCTCGCGACGGCACAGGGCATCCGGGTCCCGAGTAGGATGGCACGTGAGGGCACTGAAGAAGGTGATAGTGATATGATGAGCATAAAGTCTGGGGCTAGCAGTGTGAGGTCTGGGAGTGTGCGACCGTCCATTGAGCCGGGTTTGGCGAGACGGAAGTTTTCTCTGGAGCCTAGTATTATCGAGGAAGAGGAGGAAGAGGAGGGGGATAGTCGGGGGACGATTGTCAAGTCGGAGGTTCAGGATGAGTGATTTTCTGTGTTCTGATTTGAGTGGCGTTGTTTGCTTGATAGTAATGGATTGATGATGGATATGTTTATTTGGGTTGGAGTTATGTGTTTGTTTTGTTCTGGTATATATGGTTATTGAATATATCTGGTCTACGGTATACTGCGCTATATATCCTTCACTGTCCGTATTCTGTATATTCTCCGCTGTCAGTGGAGAATATCCTTTGGATAGCACGGATTGATCCAGGGAACTGACGAGGAACATTTTTCTTTTTTTTCTTTTCCTCATGTTCCCCTTGAATTGCATGCCAATTCAATACATGCAAATGAATACTATTATAATCGATCTGTCGAGTCAGTTAGACTTGTTTATACATATATCGCTGCATGACGCCACAGGTGTCAGATGGCGCCTAGAATAGCACGAGTACATGTACATGTACTATGTAAGATACATGACTGGAATAATTAGAGGGATAACACCCCTGTAGGGAATAAAGTAATGCGATCAATTGTATGTAGATGTATTGTACTGTGCTCAGTACTCCGTATGCTCCGTGGTCCTCCGGGTATACTTGTACCTCTTGAGCAGGTTAACATACTATGTATACCAAAGGCTATTCTATTCATTCTCTTCCATATAGAAAAGAAAAAGACTCAATCGATCCCAGTATAGAATAATAGTCCACTGTATATATATATTATTGTTTGTTTAAGACTCTTGATTACTACTCGGTCCACCTCAATTCCTCCTCCCGAACGAACGATTTTTCCTCGTTTCTTTTTCCTTCTTTTCTCCCCTCTTTTTCTCTTACCTTTTCTCTCTCTCTCTTCCTTACGCTGGGTTTGCTTCTTTTATTGGTTTATTTGTTGCTTCTGTTTCTCTCGTTGGGTTTACTTAGTTCCTCCACTCAACCCACTCAATCCACGACACTCTTTTTTTCTTCTTTTTTCTCCGTCGTGGATTTGTGTCGCCTCAGTCAACCCACAGCCAGCCAGACAGACAGAAGAACAGCAGAGAACGACAGATAGACAAGTGTCTTCTTCCTCTCCTCGTCTCTTCTCCTGTATCTTTCTCTCTCTCTCTCTCTCTCTCTCTCTCTCTCCCTCGCCTATTTCATCGAAAATGTCCGTCTCGTCTCCCACTCCCAAGCTGGACCGCTACATTGTCATCCACGTCGCGACCACCTGCGACGAGCATGGTGTCTACGTCACAAAGGACTCTGCAGAGGTGATTGAATTGGGGTGGATGCTGTTGGACACCAAGACCTGCGATGAGGTATGTCTTCCAATTGAGATGCAATTGATCAGTGATCGGAATGTTGAAGGCTGGAATATGCTAACCCCTGACTAACAGCTGCACCGCGAATCCGTCCTCGTCAAGCCCGTCAACACGCCCATTACTCCCCTCTGCAGTAAGTCTTCTTCTATGCCATGTATACCTCTTCCACGGTCATCTGCGGGTTCAATGGCTGACGGCCTCCTGACAGCGAGCTTGACCACTCTGACTTGGGAGCATGTCCGCTCGGCAGGTACTTTCCGCGATGCCATCAACCGTTTCGACGCTTTTGCCCAGGAACACCTCATCAGCAAGAACCTCGAGTTTGCTTTCGTCACCCTCGACTCTTGGGATCTCCGTGTCCAGTTGCCCCGCGAGGCCCGCGATAAGGCTGTCGTCCTGCCTCCCTACCTCCAGCACTCGCGCACCTTTGACCTCCGTACCGAGTACCAGAGATGGCAGACCCATCACCCCGAGTCGTTGCCTTTTGGCCCCAGCTCGCTCGCCAACATCTGCGCCGCCCTCGAGGTTGAACCCGTCCAGTCCTCCGCTCCGATCAAACACAACCTGCCTTTCCACCTGCAGGCTCTGGCCCCCGCTTCCCCCCGCCGCGCCATGGAGGAGTCCATCACCCTCGCCCGTGTCCTCCGCGGTCTGATCCGCAAGTCTCAACCCCCGCATGAGCACCCCGAGATCCTTACCCGTCCTATGGATGCCCGGGCCGATGTCCGTGCTTTCCTGGCTGAGCGCAGCAAGGTCTTGCACCTCAGCGGTCTGCCCCACGATACTACTCAGTCGGAGTTGGAGAGCTGGTTCACTCAGTTTGGTGGTCGTCCCATTGCCTTCTGGACTCTGCGGACGCCTGATCAGCACAAGCCCACCGGTACCGGATTTGCCGTCTTTTCGTCTCATGAGGAGGTGATGCGTCTCTTTCCGTTTGCTCCGCTGTCACTGCTAACACATTATAGGCCGCTGAAAGCCTCTGCATGAATGGTCGTGCTCTCAACGAAAAGGCCATCGAGGTCTCCCCCTCCTCCAGCCGTGTTCTGGACCGTGCCGCCGAGATCCTGACACCCTTCCCTCCGTCGAAGAACCGTCCTCGTCCCGGTGACTGGACCTGCCCGTCTTGTGGTTTCTCCAACTTCCAGCGTCGTACCGCCTGTTTCCGCTGCTCGTTCCCCGCAATGGCCGCTGCTCCCGACCCGGTTGGATACGGTGCCTACGGCTACGGCCCTCCATCGATGATGCCTCCCCACATGCACGGTGGTGGCGGTAGCGGTGGTGGTGGTAGCGGTGGTGGTGGTCACGGAATGGGTCACGGCGGCCGTATGGGCGGCAACGGTGGTGTCGTTCCCTTCCGTGCTGGTGACTGGAAGTGTGGCTCTGAGGGCTGTGGCTACCACAACTTCGCCAAGAACATCAACTGTCTGCGTTGCGGTGCCCCGCGTTCGGGTGCTGCCGTGGTCGCTGACTCGGCCTTCCCGTCTCCGATGGATCCTCCTTCTGGCTTCGGTATGGGTCCTAACTCGATGACCAGCACTCCGGCCCCTGCGCCTTTCGCTTCTGCGGCGGGTGCATTTGGTGGCTTTAACCAGCAGTTCGGTGCCCCCCCCAGCAACTACGCCTTGCCCTCCGGTCTGGGCAGCGGCCCTGGCGCCGCCTACCCTCCCATGGGCCAGATGAGCGCTGGTTACGGCTCTGCCAACTCTCACTCCACCGCTTCGTTCGCCAACCCCGCCGCTCAAGCTGCTTTCACGAGCGCTGACCACAGTGCTCCCATCAGCGCCTCCAACGGTGCTTTCTACGGCAATGATGGCAGTGACCCGTTCGCCTTCCTCTCCACCGGTCTCGGTGGTCTGACCGTCGCGGACGATGCCCACACTCGCCGGAACGGTGCGGGTGCTAACAAGTCTCCTGCTTAAACGTTTGATACCGGGATGATGCGGTAATGAGAACCATATCTATTCTTCCTTTCTTGTCTTTCGGTCATGTTGGTTTATGTCAATACGGATGGATTGGAATTGTTGTCGATATATGTTGATGGTTGATACTACGCTATTTGTATAAGGAAATTTTGCCGTTCTGGTGCATTTCGGTTGGGAGGAGCAGGCTGGTAGCGTGTCGTCGTTTCTGGGTCTTTTATTTTATGTTTGATTTCAAATTTGGGCATGTTTTACTATTTCCAGCGAACTGTTTTGAGGGCCTAAGGGTAGACCCTCCTGGGAACAGCAACAAAAGGCAAGGGCAAAGGGGGTGTGGGCTGGCAAAGGCGCTTTCGACATCAATTCTTTGATTGGGTTTTTATGTCTTTCATCGCCCTGTCTTGTTTGAATTCGGAGGGTAGGGTTTGTTCGGTGATGGAGTTTCTTTTCTTTTCTTTTCTTTTTTTTTCCTTTTTTTTTTTTTTTTTATTTCTCTATTTATTTCTGACATTTCTGCGCATGGAAGACCGGATGAGGAAGTTTAGCATGTCTCGACTTGCATTTAGATATATTTTTTTTTTTTTTCCTTCATGTTTTTGTCTTGTTGAATTTGTCTACAAAAGAACCGAAATCATCGGAGGTCATGGCAGGTGTTGGGCCAGGTTGGTTTGTTTTCAAAACAGCGCAGTATTTCTCTGCTGAGGCGATGTGGATTTCGGGTGTGAACATAAGATTGTATTCAATGTCCATATGTCTTTATCGAGTATCTGAGTATTGTGTATATCTCTGAAGTAGATTGTCTTGTATTCTCCGCTGTAGACGAGGGTGGTGTTCAAAGCCATGCTTTACAGTACTTAGCATTTCCTTTATCTATTCAGAATGATAGAGAAATTACAGTCTCTTCATTCTACGAACATCAATAACAATTCATACAAGGCTGGTGAATATACTGACCTGACAAGACCGTATAGCCGCGCGGCTAGCGCTTGGGAGCTCTCAGCCGCGGGACACCTGGATCCGTCATCGCCAGCAGGCCGGAGATCCTCACCACCACGATTCCCTCATTCCCTCATCCTTTTATCAAATTCTCAGTAACCGAATTCTTATCCTCGTTTTCTTGTTGTCTCCCGTTTCTGAATTCTAGCCCACAATGTCCGGATATGATCGAGCTCTTTCAGGTACGTCAGATGTTGGTACTACTAGCTAGCTAGCTAGTATCTTACCATGAGCTTAGAAGCTAACAATGAGCAGTATTCAGGTATGAGGCTATGACAGGACTAGAGTGAATGCAATCTAACAAAACCAGCCCCGACGGGCACGTCTTCCAGGTTGAATACGCCATGGAAGCCGTCAAGAGAGGTACCGCCCATCCCAACCCATCCATCCATCGACGCCCCATACTAAATGACCAGGAACCTGCGCCGTCGGCGTAAAAGGCAAAGACGTCGTCGTCATCGGCTGCGAAAAACGCTCCGCCCTCAAACTCCAAGACACCCGCATCACGCCCTCCAAAATCGCCGTCCTCGACCACCACGTCACCCTGGCCTTCGCCGGCCTCAACGCCGACGCCCGTATCCTCATCGACAAAGCCCGCCTCGAAGCCCAGTCGCACCGTCTGACCGTCGAGGACCCCGTTAGTGTGGAGTATATTACGAAGCATATTGCGAGTGTGCAGCAGCGGTATACGCAGAGTGGGGGTGTTAGGCCTTTTGGGATTAGTACATTGCTTGCTGGGTTTGATCCGAACGATGAAGTGCCGAGGTTGTATTTGACGGAGCCGTCGGGGATCTATTCTGCTTGGTGCGTTTCCTTGTCTGAATTTAGGGTGAAGTGGGGAACTGGGCTAATAACGAACAGGAAAGCAAACGCCATCGGCCGCTCGAGCAAGACCGTCCGCGAATTCCTCGAACGCAACCACGTCGAAGACATGGACCGCGAGCAAACCATCGCCCTTACCATCAAGTCGCTGCTGGAAGTCGTGCAGACGGGCGCCAAGAACATCGAGGTGGCTATCATGTCCGCCGGCAAGACAATCGAGATGCTCCCCGATGACCAGATCGAGACGTACGTTAAGAACATAGAGACGGAGAAGCAGGAGGAGGCGGCGAAGAAGAAGACAGGTCGGACGGGTACTACTACGGCTGCTATTCTGACGCGGCCTGGTGGTGGGGAGACGGGGGAGTCGAGTCGGTCTGCTGAGTAGATGTTGTTGAATGGATGAGATACGGGATATCTATGATGCACTTGTTTTTAATTAGATGTTCTCAGAGCGTCAATGAAATGGTCTATGCTTGATACTGCCAGTTCAACAGTCACAATCTAAATATGATACAGCTATATCACAGTACTAAATATCTCCAAAAATGTCAAAGAAGGATATAATCGTCTCATCGTAACCACATCGACACACATACACACCCATCTAACCCATCCGATCCGACAAATCCTTGAAATTAAAGATCGATTTCTCCTCCGGCAAATGCACGCGGTCATCCTTCAGCATCCTACACTGCATTAGCCTCATTCCCTCCTGAACAGGAGAATGGAAAGGGAAATACCTGTTATCCATCCGCGCATCATCCCCCTCAACCTGCAACGCGGGCTTAGGCGTCTTAGCCTCAAGCACGAAATGATTATCGCAGTGGGGACAGTATTCATCGCTTTCCTCGAACTCGGCGGCGTCTTTGCGGAAGCATTTTTTGCATTTTTTGCAGGCAAATGTCTGTCCTCGTTAGCCTTACCCTTCCTGTAGACTTGTAGACCTTTTGTTGGGCGCGGGGAGGTGACCGGGGATAACGGGGGGAGGGTACCATCTCAGGAGACTTGGCGAGAGCATGCGGTTCCTGTTCCTGGTGGCATTCTGCGCAGTCGAACCATTTGCGGCCTGTCGTTTTTTCAAAGATGAAAGGATTAGTTGGCGCTTAGGTGTGGTTGTAGAGGGGGTAGGTGGGTGGGAGGGGCGTACAGCATGGAGAGCGAATGGCGACTTGGGCATTGAGGATGTGTTTGCTGTGATTGTTAGTATACTCTGCATTATGGAATGATAGGAGGGCTCTTGAGGAAGAGAGAAGACGTACCACATGGTGTTGAACTGCGACTGGTGCAGATGTGTTTGGTGAGTGAGTGGGAGGTTTTTTTTTGTTCGGACCGGGGTGGTATAGAAGTAGAGAGAGCGCTAAGGGTGCCAATAGAGTAGACAGAATAAGTGGAAGACAGACAGTCGAGTATTGACTATGCCTGTAGGAACAGGAAAATGGATAGATAATTATAGGCACCGAACTGTATAAAATGGCTGCTTACATTATGCCGCTGCCTCGCGCCACGAATAGTAACCTGTTCTTTCATTCTTCTACCAACTACCATACTACTACTACTACTTTTTCTACTACTACTGACTACTGCTCTCCTTTTCTGTCCTATCTCCTTAATATACCTTCAGAGCATAGAGCCCTTCTCCTTCTCCTGACCGCCTCCGCTTGCTCCGCTGTTATTATTACATTGTTATCCTCTACTCCTCTACAACAGCAACCACTACTCCTACTACCACTACCACTACTCAAACACAGCTTATGCCCTCTGAGCCGTCTCACCGGACTTGTGGTGGCCATGGAGGGAAACAAGGATAAAGACAACACCGACAATGCTCCCCTTGTACGTCGCATGCATCAATCACCTGTCATGTACCCTGTCTGTCATGTCACTAACTTTATCTAACAACAGAGACCCGTCTCCTCGCTCCTCTCGCATTTCGAAAACCTCTCCCATACTAGATCTTCTTCCGCCGTTACTCCCAATACCCGCGACTTGTCTCTCCTAAAGAGCCCCGAACCGCGCGATGACGATCCCCGTTCCCATTTCTCTCGTGCCTCCGTGGACTTGTCCCGTCCGCGCTCACCTTGGACGCCGCAGCCGCAGCCGCAGCAGCAGGCAGATGCGCAGCAGATACCTGATCAATTGTATAGGCATAGGACAGGTGGTTTTGCGAATAGGGAGGCGTCGCGTGCCAACGGTTCTCCCGGTAGACGGCATGGCCGTCCTATGTCGTTGAGTTTCCGGTCTTCGCCGCAGTTGGCTCCGACGTTGACGGTGGACTCGCCACGGTCTCCGCCGCGGGGGCTCGTTGAATCGCCAGATGAACTGGCCGAAGATGGAAACCGGGTTTCGCGCAGTCCGCTGGGTTTGGGCCTAGATACGGGTGCGGGTGCCTCTCACGAATCGTTGCCCTCGCGGCTATCTCGCAGCTCTGTCGCCGGGACACCCAATTCGAATATTCCAGGCAATTTATCTCCCGGGGAGTTACATTCGGCGAGATTTGCGATGCGGGATAGTCCGTCGGATCGCAAGGCCAAGAGCGCTTCCTTGCCGCCGCCCGCCAACCGCGCCGACAAACCTAAGATCCCGGTGAAACCTGCCAACCTGGCGTTCCAGGAGTCAAATACGTTGGCTGCTCCTAGGGCGAAGCGGGCTTCTTCTGATCTTCGTGTGTCGCCGTTTAGTACGCCTCCGAGTAGTCCGGAGAAATCGCCGCCCAAGACTAATCCGCCTCGCCCTCTTCGATCGGAGACGGAATCTCCTGCTCAGCAGTTGTTTGAAGACAGGGCAGGTGTACATTCGCCATTGGCGCAGGATGCGCGGGAGCTTGGGTTTAATCGGAGGCCGCCCCAGCCCCAGCGGGAACCTTCGCGAGACACAAAACCGTTGACGGTGCAGATTCCAGCCGGCCAGCAGAGACAGGTAGAACCGTTGTCTAGCGTACCGCAGTCCGCGCAGAGATTGCAGGCAACAAGTGATATGCCAGGGGATCGTCCGGGGCTGCCCCCTCGTGCATCGGTACAGAGTCGCAGGGTGTCTCCTTCGAGGCAGGTGCCCGCGGATTTCCCGGTGTCGTCTCCTCATCAGCCCCCAGCACAACCTCGACGTCCATCTCCTGGACGTCAGACTGTGCAGAGTCGGTCACCGTCGAGACAAATGTCGAATGCAGAGTACCCGTCACCTGCACAGCAGCAACCCCCGCAACCGCTTCTTCCTCGACGCGCAAACCCGTCTCCATCGCGACAAACGGCTAATGCCGATTTCTCTGTATCGTCTCCTCGACCGCTCGAACCTATTCCCCAGCAACAACCCCTTGCTCCCCAGCAGCCTGCACGCCCACCTGAGCTCCATCGCCAACCCTCCTATTCCCGCGAAAGCAAACCATCCTACGATCGTGGACAACCACCTCCGCCGCCTCAAAACCCGCCGCAACCTCGTCCCCGCCCTGATACGGAAGACGAGGAGGAACATTATCCTAGTCAGCCGACTGTCACCTTAACAGACTATCCCGATGCCTCTAATGCGAATCGGAGACCGCCTGCTATCAAGAATAGTCCGAACGAGATTCTTACGAGATATGACACGCGCCTCATGGATGTGTGTGGGAAATACGTCTGTACGACCGGTTATCTGACACGAGTCTGGGATCTGACGAACGGCGAACAAATAATGAGTCTGAGCCATGGTGAAACCGTCAAGACGCTATCTATGGCGTTCAAGCCTGGCGCAGGCCTTGAAGATGAAGGGAGGCGAGTATGGCTGGGTACGAACAGCGGAGAACTACATGAAGTCGATATCGCAACTCGTGCCGTGGTCGCGTCGAGATCCTACCCGTCCCGTCGCGAGGTGATTAAGATCCTGCGACACAAGAAGGAAATGTGGACGATGGATGATGAGGGCCGGTTGCTCATCTGGCCCGCTGATGAGTCTGGTGTTCCGAATCTTCAATACAGCTACCATAACCCTTATGACCGCGTTGCACGGGGTCAGACATTTTCCATGGTCGTTGGTGATGAACTCTGGCTGGCCACTGGTAAAGACATCCACGTGTATCAACCATATGCGCGCGATGATGCGTCTTTCAAGGTTCTTCGGAAACCACTCGTATCGCAAAGCGCAGGGGAGGTCACGTCTGGCGCATGCACGACCAAGAACGGCGGCCGGGTATACCTCGGACACGCGGATGGAAAGATCAGCGTGTACTCTGTCAAGGACTACGCATGCTTGGCCGTTGTCAACGTGAGCGTCTACAAGATCAACTGTCTAAGCGTCGTCGGGGACTATCTCTGGGCTGGCTACAAGACCGGTATGATCTATGTGTACGACGTCAACTCGAACCCGTGGACGGTGAAGAAAGACTGGAAGGCACATGATAGTCCGGTTTCCAGCTTCATTCTGGACACGAGTAGTGTGTGGACGATGAACCGGTTGCAGGTTACGTCGCTGGGCACGGATAATTGTATTCGGCTTTGGGATGGGACGTTGGAGAGTGATTGGTTGGGTATGTTCTCCTTTTCTCTATCCACCATCTGTTGGAATGGTGCTGACCGTAGTAGAATCTCGAATGCAAAGCAGAGACGTCGAATTCTGCACGTTCCGTGAAATGCGTGCTGTGGTTATGACGTGGAATGCTGGTGCTTCGACACCGGGTAGTGTGCGCACGTCCACGTTCATCCAGGATGCGATTCATCCCGATGATCCACCGGGGATCCTGGTGTTTGGGTTCCAGGAACTTGTTGATCTCGAGGATAAAAAGATCACAGCCAGTACGTCTTTCCAATGCTCTTTACATTATGAGTCGTTGCTAACGAAAGTCCAGAGAGCCTGCTCAAAAGCAGTAAAAAGAAAGAAAAGAAAGAAGCTGGCGAGAAGGAGCACATGAGTCGTCAATACCGGGTGTGGGCTGAGCATTTGACACGGTGCGTTAACGACTGCATGCCGCTTGACGAGTCGTACGTCCTACTTCACACGGCGAACATGGTTGGTCTTTTCACCTGTGTCTTCGTCCGACACAAAGAACGCGAGCGAATCAAGAATGTCCGTGCCGCAGAGGTAAAGCGTGGTATGGGTGGCTTGCACGGCAACAAAGGCGCCCTCATCCTCCGCTTGGTCCTCGACGACAGCTCGCTCTGCTTCGTAAACTGTCACTTAGCAGCTGGCCAAACGCAAACAGCCCACCGCAACAACGACGTGGCCGCCATATTAGAGGCAGAATGCCTCGCCAGCGAAACCAGCCTCACAGCCCGCGCAGACCACTTCGTCAGCGGCGGCGACGGCTCCATGATCATGGACCACGAAATCTGCGTTCTAAACGGCGACCTCAACTACCGCATCGACTCCATCCCCCGCAACGTCATCATCGACGCCGTCCGCCAGAACAACCTCCCCAAACTCCTCGACCGCGATCAACTCCTTGCTTCGCGCCGCAAGAACCCTGGTTTCCGGCTGCGCTCGTTCAACGAAGCACCCATCACTTTTGCCCCGACGTACAAGTACGATGTTGGTACGGACGAGTACGATTCTAGTGAGAAGAAACGGTCCCCTGCGTGGTGTGATCGGGTTCTTTATCGTGGGTTGGGAAGGATAAAGCAGTTGGATTACCGACGGCATGAGGTCCGCGCTTCGGATCATCGGCCTGTCAGTGCGTTTTTCAAGTTACGCATTAAGACTGTTCTGCCGAGTGAGCGCGCTGCCACGTGGGAGTCTTGTCAGGCAGAGTTCCAGAAGGAGAGGAAGAGGTTGACGTCGGAGGCTAGGTAGGTCCCCTTTTGTCACTTCCTTTGAAAATGATCAGTGCTAATATGGTACAGCATCGAATACCTCATCAGCGTCCTCGGGACCGAACCCAACCAAGCACGCGCGTTGATCCTCGGCGGTGCATGATTTGCTTTGCTTTTGTTTATCATCTATCAGCATTAATCTTAGTAGCCGCGAGAAGATGGAGGGGGTATACAATGTACGACTAATGATTCACGATAAATATGTATGTTATTATGAGATGTTGAGTTGTTGCTTGATTTGTTCTATTGCTTGGTTGGTTTTATCTGATTGATTGAAAGATGGTGGTTGCTTGTTGATGCTGTGTCTCTGTTCTAGTAGACGGGTGTGAGATAGATAGGGGCATGCAGGTTAAACAGGTCATTACATAGATGTGCTTGTCCATGTGCCCTCTACAGTTCAACCAGTCCCCCCTCCTTCCAGTAACCTAACTCAATTTCCATACAGCAAGAGGTCTCACTAAATCATCGCCACGCGATCGATCGATCTCCATCTCCGATAAGACTCGCAATGCCCTAACCAGGCCCGATAAATTCAGTACTCCATAAGTGGATGCCAATAGCCCGCTGATAGTTGTGACAGTGTCTGTTTTGGACCACCGGCTAGTTGATGATCACTGGGAGGGTACCTGGTAAGCCGGATTAAAGTTATGTTGAGAGATAGATGGTGATAGTTCCTGAATGATTATCTGACCGACTTTAGTGTCTCGTAGGATTATGGAGCATAGATCTTCGTCATAGCTGAACTGAATATTTGGCCGAGGGATTGCGGTTTAGGGAGAAAGGTATAAAAGAATCGCATTCTTGGTCTGGTTTATTGGTTTTCAATTGCATTGTCAACTTCATTTCTTCTCTTTCTCAACATGCACCTCCACCTTTGGACATCGCTAGTCACCCTCCTAGCCCTAGCTCCCCACGCAACAGCATTCTTCGGCAGCATAAACATCCCCCCCCCAGAGCTTATCCCCGAGAAATGCAGACCCACCCTCCAAAAAGCCCAAGTCGAAGGCGACAACTTCCTCACCTACATGAAAATCTTCTGCGACCAATCCTCCTGCGAAAAGAACCTCACCTTTGACAAAATTACCGAGTCTGATATCGACAGCATCACGAATAAAGTCCTCCACTGGGCGTGGAAGAGAGTTAACCCCCCACTGTCTTTGAAGCACGATATCATGCCTTTCTATAAAGAGGTTAAGGAGGATTGTTTCAAGTCGAACACTGAGTTCCAGGATCTGTTTACCAGCAACACTCGGCATGCGTGTGAGACTGAGAAGAGCGATAAGTTATTTACAGATATTGTGAGCAATTGTGTGATTACGAAGGTTGCGCAGAAGTATTTGCACAGGTTGTTCATAATGTAGTCCTGTGCTGCTTCCAACTCTTCTGCAGTCTGCTTGTAAAGGGGACTGTATCCCACTGCTCCAGCTCGCTCATCATGTCCCTTTGTGCCCACGGGCTTCTTGAGTCGTCGGGTAGGGATTCCAAAGAATTTCGCTAGTTCTTTCGCTCGTTTGGTGTCCATAAAGGGATAACCATTCGCTCTGTGACGGCTCAACGACCAGGCAAACAGTGCCAACATGCCAAAAGATGCCATACAAGCAATATATGGACAAACAAGGGCTCAAGCCGCATCGCACAAAGGTTTATAGAGACTGTACTCGCCAGATAGATTTCCTCTCCTTTTTTCCTCCCCAGATTCGATATTCTCGTTGATGGCTACAATAGTCTAGATAGGAATACAGTTCATCATTATCTACTATTCCGAGCTCGTAACACGCTCCGGTGTTGGCCAGGGTAGTTAGTCATAGGAATACGGATTCCATTGTAAGCTATCTGACTATTCACATTGAATCCTGGCCCCCCCCCCCCCCCCCTTTGTTGACTAAAATCCAATTCACCTAGGTCGACACGTTCTAGTCCCAGGCAGGAGACTTTCTCCTGGGCTAGACTTTTCCCGCATCGTCATTCGCTTCATTTTCCGGCGCTTTCTGCTCAAGCTCCTTCAACTCAGGGCTCGAGACCTTGGCGGGACAGTCCCGAGCAAGGTGGCCATGTTACTGGCAGTGGAAACATCTACCTTCCTTCATCAGTCGCTCGCGGTTGGTTTCTTCTTGACATTCACCTAGCTGGCTCCCTTGGTCGTATCCTTGCTGGTCGAAGAAGAGGTGCCAAAGGTCCGGTTCCGCTGGTTACGGTGGCTGATAACTTCAAGAAGGCTTGCAGTCCGGGATACGGTGCTAGAGAACTCCTGGAAGGGTCCATCCTTGTAGCTCTCTGTAATACACAGCTCTTGGAGTTTGGTCGTCAACTTGATGTAGAGCTCATCCTTCCAGCTATCCTCTGCAACACCTGCTTCCGCAGCAAGGTACAGGAACTCAGACAGGAAGTCATGGAACTTGTCACCATTCTTCATGTACAGTTGTCGGAACTGATGCTTTGCAGTGATGACGCGGTTTGGATCATTATAGATTGTCTTCAGGTGGTTGAGCATGTCCTTTGAATCAGTGTATGGGTTCAGGGCATCATCTCGCATACGTGGGGTGAGGTGCTTGCGTGCTTTGCCTTTACAACGACTAGCCACGTACTCCATGCGGAGCTGGGGCGTGTCAAAGTGATCAGCGTTAGCAGCAAGCTTCTGGGTCATCAGGAGCAGCCAATCTTCAAATCGGGGCTCCTTTCCACCAGTCAACATCGGGGGATCAGAGATCTTGGTTGACTTGCGAACGACAGGGGCAGGTGCTGAAGAGGATTGATGGCCGTTGGTACCACCCATCATCAGTCGTGCAATCTGGCTACCAAATGCATCACGCTCAGCTTTCACCTCAGCGAGCTGCTGCTTGACATTCTCCATCTCCTGACACAGCAGTACAATTTCTCCATCCTTGGTTTGGCCTTGGAGCTCCTTTTCAGCAAGGTGGACTCCACGCTCCTCAAGGCACTCTTCATATCGATGATGGATCAATCGGAGTTTCTCATACAACCACTCAGGCTTCTCAGAGACAAACTGCTGGAACTCCTCCAAAGTCACCATGCGTTGTCCTTCATTCTCATCCCCATCAATGAAGATGGAGGATTGTCGGCTCTCTCGGTCAGTATCGTTATTTGCTTCGTCTCGGTTGGCCCTAGGAGGGGCAACGGTATCGTTCGGTCGAGCCATACTGGCCAGGATCTTCATATCAGTCGGTTATCGGTATCGCTTTGATTCGTTCAGTCGGTTGGTGTGGGGGACGCAATACTATGGCTCCACGATCGCTGGATCGAACCAACAAGGTAGGCGTGTTGAAAAGAAAAGGCGAAATTCGATATTATGTCACGGGCTCGGACCAGTAGATATTAACGAATTGATATTCCTATCTAAACTAGTGCAGCCATCGACGAGAATATTAAATCTGGAGAGGAAAAGAAGAAGACGAAATCTATCTAGAGGAAGAAGGGGTTTTATAGGCGTTTGTTTGGCATCACTAATGTCTTGTCTGGCGTGTTGGTGTCGTTTGTCTGTGTCAGTTGTTGACGCAGCGTTAAGCCGTTGATGCGGCGTTGAGCCGTCACACCCTTAGGGGACTGTTTTGTATCTGGGGACCCGAACTTGCTCCTTTTAGTGTGCACCCTTGTATGGCTCCGTGACGTCGAAACGAGACCAAGGACAAGTTTTCAGCAATCTATGGACTTGCAACACGGATAAATGCCGTAAAAACAGCAATATCACAGAGATACTTTGGTATAATCCTTTCATTTCTCTCCTTTGTGATGAGATGAAATAAGCCAATAGTCTTTAGAGTCCATAGAAAACCCGGAGAATTTCTCCGAGCAGTCACTCGCTCGAAAGTCGATCAGAATTTCGACGATTTGGCTGGAGACTTGATGTCGAACGGTGGACACACACTCATAGCCCGAAAAGGACTTCTCCTCAAGACAAGGCCGGCCGCGACCTTTTACTTTTATCAAGCAAGACAATTGCTCAATGGGGCAGAAGACCCTCGTGAGGTCTCTGGCATTGAGACAGGCCATGCGCTATCCATACAAAATTGAGAAAGATGTCAATAGCAAGTGTGTTGTTGTCGTGTTACTTGATACCTCGGCATCGAAGCTGCATTGAACGTCAGTTGAAATCGTTTGCATCGTTTCTGTGAGATCTTCTCTCAATGAAGGCAGAGGTGCAAGTGATTTCTGTCTGTTGAGACAGCGCCGCAGCGCCTTTGGGACGGTATGCTCTGGTGTGGTCTTCCGATGAACTGACCAAATAAGACGCGAACGGTATGGTTGGTCTTGTGCTATGCTCAGAGCTAGGTACCAACGATTTATTTCCGTGGTCGAGAGTGGGTGGAGCGAGACAGTCGTCCTCGATAAAACGGCAGTCTACATAAACGGGGAGACGGTCCTCCAAGAGCAAGTCGCAGGTCTTGAATCATTTTCTATAAACAGATTCTTTTCATAATAAAATCGTCAGCACACAGTACTTGCCGTGTCGAACGGAACCTAAAAGTTGCAGACGATAACGTCCCCTCAGAAGAACATACGCAGACGCGCCGACGGAGTCCTAGCAATTTAAAGAGGATCGAACGTATTCTGCAAATGCCATAAGCCATTGCTACAACACGCCTTGAAACTCGCACCTTGAGGCTATTATAAAGTTTGGCACCAAACGCAGCGGCTTCCACCATTTTTGTGGAGTGTGCTCCATGTAACAACAAGGGCAGTAGAGCCTGGCTGCATTTCATAAGTGCACCGCAAATCAAATGCAGAAGGCCACAATGCTTACCTTTGCCACGTTATAGTCTGGCTCAGACATGCCACAGACGATGGACAAAGCACAAGCCACAGAAATTAGAGAACTGGATGGAGTTCTATCCAGAGCCGTTACCATGAATACGTCAGCCAGGCGATATCTGCAACCAGAGAATGGTCCTACAATGATTGTCCGGTGCCAGGCGTGCTTCCAGAGCCTTGGATTCATGGCGTAAAAGTACCCCGGGTGTCGTCTATCAAGTGGCAGTCCAATTCAAGGATACTGGAGCATTTGAATAGAACGAGGCTGCCTGGCATGCTGATGCCCTCTATCAGGAATTGGTGCATAACCAAAGTAGGGTTATAGTCCATCACAGCGTATATATGTCTAAACAGCCTACGACAAGATGGTCCAGTGGTCTGCGCTTCCCATAGTGGTAATGGCCATATTAATGTTGTACGGTGGACATTATGGTTGATCCCGCAGGCCGCAGCGGTTCTGGTTCGAAGCCCTGTCTTGTCTTTGTTATTTATTTATTTATTTATTTATTTATTTCCTTCTCTCATCTTTTGTTCCTCTCTTTCTTGTGTACTCCCTCCCTTTGGGAACTTAACATCCCAATCAGAAACCAAGGGCAGAGAGGAAACAACTAGCCAAAACAGGGAGGCGACTAGTGCCGGGCGAATGTTATATATTCAGCTCGCACAGTACTAAATGCTGTTCTTGAGTGTATGGCACAAAAAGTCCAATGTACAAAGTTATGGCAGGTATTGTAGACTTGAATGTCTAATCAACGACTTATTTCACATGAAGTAAAATATGCAGCGAAAGCTATAGGAAATTTTCTTCGATAAATACATGGTTAAGCCCCAACTCCCGAAAATCCGAATTTGAACCCATTTGAAACCGCCATAAATGCGTTAGAACCGTTAAATAGAATACAGAAGTGAAGATCATGCGACATCCGCAGTCGGAATAGGTGTCGGCGTCTTGGTGACCTGTTCACCAGCACGAGTAATGTGTTGGCCGGATTCATCGTGAATGTACTTGTTGCCCTCGGCTTGGTTGCGTTTCCAGACCTCAACCTCACTACCGCCACGAATAACGCCAACACGCATGGTAGACAGCAAGTTGTGAGCCGCATTGGAATGGTAATAGATACCACCATTAAACATGGCCGTTGCATCCTTGCCAATGCCGGAGTTAATCATAGCCTTGCCGCCAGGGTGATCCTTGACAAAGTCGGTGACATCGTGAACAACGCCGGCAATAACCACCAAAGCACGACCGCCGCTCTTGGCCTGCTCCTCGTAGTCGTCCCATTCCATGATGGGCAACTGGTCCAAGGGAATGCCCCAGTCGAGTTGAGCGCGATTCTGATCGACCTTCTTCTGAAGTTGTTGGATGCGGCCCTTTTCGATTTCATTGGCGCGGAACTGCTTCAGGTTGTAGGCCAGGCCAAGCTGCTTCCACACCCAGATGGACCATTTGGTGGGATCATATTGATGCCATTCAATCGCATTGCGGTAGTCCGATGGGAACTCATGATGGAAGTTATGATATCCCTCACCCAGAGTAGCCAGCGCAGTGAAGACATGGTCTCTGGGAGAATTCCGGTCATCAAACGGCTGGTCTCCAAGCCAGTGAGCCAATGAGTTGACACAGAAGGTGGCTTGCTGAACAAAGAAGACACGCAAAATGCCTGCGTAGATGAAACCACCCCACCAGTCACCCCAGCTAAGCCCTGCCACCAGCATGGGGAAGACCAGACCCATTGTAAAGACCACTTTGATGTAGTTTCGGTGCTGCCAGACCACAACCGGATCCTCGTTGAGATCAGAAATGTCCGTACGTCCAATCCGCTTGGGGTTCTGTTTCATGACCATCCAACCGAGATGCGAGTAGAGGAAGCCCTTCCGAACCGAGTAGGGATCCTTTTCCGTGTCCGTGTAACGATGATGAGCCCGGTGGCCACGTGCCCACCAGCGAATTGAGCCTTGAACCGAGCCACCACCGACAGCCGCAAGCCAAATTCGTAGGGGAAGAGTCGCGGAATAGGAACAGTGAGCCCATAGACGGTGATATCCTAGTTGACAGTCAGGGGATTGAATCATCTCTCTTGTGCTCTCAGGGTACATACCAGCTGTGATGCCCAATCCAGTGAAGAAATAGTAGAGAACAGCCCAGATAGCAGTGTTGAGCCTCAGCGGCACCCAGAAGGCCTGGATGCAACCGTACAGGGGAATTCCCAGGATGAAAAAGGTGTTGAGCCAATTGACATGTTTGTGCCAGTTACCGCGAGTGAGGGGGGTGTCTGCGATGTGAACTTTGCCCGTCATGGCGTCTGTAGACGAGAGATCATGGTAGAGAGAAGAGAGAGAAGAGAAAATAGACAGCAGTAAAAGTACTCCAGAGTCATAGACTCATAGTAGGGATCGTTGGGGGCTCAACGCTTAGGGCGGTCTATCTAGCCGCGCTGTGATTGGCCCGGGGCCAAATCTGCTGTTGAGATCACATGACCCTCGTATTTTTGACTATGTTCAATAGTCTGTTTACTTCTTATGATCCTACATAGTACAGTAACGCTGTACTGTACATGCTCGCCCTATGTGGAGTTGGTGGACCCTTACGACGGCCCGATTGACGCTAATCTCGGATCTGTGGGCCTAGCTTGGGCCCTACCAAAGCCCACATCGGGGCCTTTTCAACCTCTCGGGGCTTATTTCGGGGGGCTTTAGACTGAGAAGACCGGCATTCCCGTCTAACATCAGATTGCCCATTTCTACAGTCAATGACTCACCATGTTGTCGATAGTTACCGTCGTTGCATTTACCGTTACCATGGGCCCTCCCGGGTATCCGACGCTGCCAATAATCTACTGGGCGATACCTCCGGTATGGTGCGAGAGGTGTCAACAACGGATGACTTTGTGACATGGAGGAAATCCTCCACTGCGGCGTCACAGTACCCAGTGGCGACCGCGAGGCTATTTAAGGCACCGTCCTTCTTGGCGACCACATCCCCAAGGGGACCATGCTGTTCTTCCTGCACAATGGACCCAACATGCACTCTCCGACCCTGGATATCAACGAGAGTAAGCGAAGCACGCGGTCGCAAGCCAATTCCGTGCCTGGGACGACGAGGACATCGCTTTGTTCAACCCTGGGCGATGACTTGTATGCAACGGAGACGACGTCGCATTTGACAGTCAGGCCGGACCAAATATTCCCTCCGGCCTAGGACTCCGAGCGTGTTTTGGACGTCGATTGGCGTACGTCAAGTTCCGGATTTTGCTGACCACGCTGGTTTGGAATTTCGAGATGCTGCCATGTCCAGAGGAGATATCTGGCTATGGTGGACTTGATGCGGTTGCGCATAAGCCAGCGAAGTGTTATGTCCAGCTCTGGAGGATTGAGTAGTGGCGAGTCATTAGAGCACGTAAATACAAAAATTTCTTTCACCCGACATCTTCATCAAAACTAGACTGAAGCTTGTCGTGCGAGAATATATATTTCGCACATTTGAAGTGCTACTCCAAGGCTCTAGTATTGCCGGCCAGGTGTATAGTCACGAAAGACAGGAGATATTTATGATAATAAGCCAAGAATATAGCTTATCAACGTGATTGTTCAACCATTCATCTACTCTGCTACTCAGACCAGTGTTAGGGCAACCATAATATACCTAACATATTATATACATGCCTGTCACTTTCTACCGATTAGAATAAGTAGTACACTTATTCTAATTAGTATAAGTACACAGCTCACGCGACTTAACCAAACAGTACTCTGCGAGCTCCGAATTACTCATTACGGGCCCTGCTGCTTCTACAGGGATCTCACGTCATTGATCCCTGAGTGGTGGTCAGAGAGCGTTCTTTGACGCTCCAAGACAGGCACCATAAAGCCCCAGCTCGCTTTGGGACGCTCCCAGAGCACTCCCAGAACATTTCAGAGTAGTACAAGAAACAGGTGAAAGTCTCAAGGGGGAACGGAGACAGAGTCTACGACGAGAAACCACCAAGATGTACTTATGTCACATTAGCGTGGCAGCATGCAATGCGAGGCTGCTTACTACCGCTCAAAACGCGTTCAAATGTGATTTGTTTGGCTTCCAACAGATCTGCAGATTACAGAGATTAAGTGGTCTGGAAGCTTACAGACTCCTTAGAGTAGACTTCACGGCCCGGTGGCTTATTATGTGGTTACACCCCCTCTTCCATGGCTCAAGCAAACCGATATTGCCATACCTCCTATTCTCAGGCTACTAAATTCATAGAATGCCAGACCCCAAAGCAACCTCCGACGAGCTCGTGGAGGTCTCCCGCCTCGGCATCGAGCCCTCCGCTCCAGCCGAAGCCATCATTACTGATGTGAAGCACCTGGCTTCCTATAACTGAATTGAAGCATCCACACCCACCATCGCTGTCCCAGGCAGTTCAGCTCAGTGGTCTGCTTCACAACGGCCCAAAAAGGATAGCGGCCTTGTTTATATTGCTCAAAATGCTGCTCGTCATCCCGATAGTCCTCTGGAGCCGTTATTCCGCTCCCTCTACATTGAGCAACCCTCATTCGACATAAACTCAATCAACGTCGTGACCAACCGAAACAACATTGGTAAGCTTCTGTCGTTTATAAATCCCACTTTGACCAGAAAAGGGCTCGATCCATTCACCATCCAGGTGGAAATGACCGCTCAGACCGCAATATTCTGCCGTGAGGAGACCGCCACCTACGAAGTGACTGGGCCAGGCGAATTCCGGGGCTTTGGTCATGAATTCGAGAAAGCATCCACGATCACTCAGGTTAAAGGCAGCACTGGGCACCACCGCATAGTTTCGTACCGACTGGGAGGTCTGAGTTTCCTCGTGCGCCATGGGACAGACGGCTTTTGTGGTAATTTGGAGCCTGTTGTAAAGGATGATGAGTCGACACGGAACAATCTTGCAAACATGTTAGCAACATTGTCCCTCTCGCTGGATACCACCTCCACAGATGAGACCTTCGTTCAGTCTAAGTTGACCACCAAGAGGGAAGGTCGGGTAGTGCCACGGGAATCGACCTTAGAGATCAAAACTCGGGTTTTCCACAAACTTCTGAAGCTGCAAAAAGTTGCGCCTCAGCTCAGGGTTTCGCAGACGCCCAAGCTCATCCGTGCTTATCACCAACGTGGAAAATTCTCGACGCCGAAAGTGGAAGATATGACTGCCGCAGTGAAAGATTGGGAGCAAACCCACCAAGATGATATATCAAGAGACTCGTTACACTCATCAATCCGCATCCTTCTAGTGACCAGAAATTGGGATGGGAGTTCTACCATTTATTACGATCTTCTGAAAGATAAACTGATGATCAAGAAGATCGAGGGAAAGAAGATGCTCCCAGACGATCTTTACTCCCGATGGACCAAAACCATTCCCGTGAGTATCCCACAGAAGGTCTCTGAGTACGGCCCATCTCTTACCCAAAAGAGGTTTGATACTCGGAGGCGTGCTGCAGCAGTTGGCCCCCCTCCAAGTGGTATCAAGGTAGAGCCAACTAAACTTCAACATGGTGAGAATGTTGCCACAACCGCACTTGTGAGCAAATCAGAGTCATAGAGCCTTTCAAGGTTATTGGTTTTGTGGAATTCAAGATACTGAAGTTAAATTTGGTAGCACCAAAAGACCTTGGGAATGGGGGTAAGCTATTTGAATTGGTAAGTTGTGTGTATTCAAGCATGAGACAGCTGAGAAATTCTAAGCTCGTATTCATTTTGTACATACAATATTTCATCCAAGAGGAACGCAGACAAACAGCAGAGCCCTAAATTACCACATAGTAAATATTTCCCTTTGTCTCACTGGATGTCTTTTTCTTCTTCGTATCTTTCCCAGATTTAATATTCTCGTTGAGAAGCTACCTAGTTTAGAAAGGAATTTTATCGATTTTATATACTAGTTACGCTATACAGTTCAATCTTCCACAGCTGCACCACAAACCCAGATCGGACTGGACCGCATCCTGGAACGTTTTGAAGAAAAGCACTCCGGTCCATATAACCAGATCAACCAGCTCAAGTACTAGAATCCAAAATCAGAGTACTCTTTGTTCACGTCAGATGATTACCAGGTGGCTTCTGTTTCTATCAAGGCGGCACAGTTTCAATTTCAAGGTCAAGATCAAGCCCAGTCCCGGTCTGAACCACTGCCACAACCAGTTTCATCATCGGTTTTACAGTCGCAAGTTGCTCCCGAGTCCAACCCCGTACCAGGACCGCTACATCTACCTACACAGTCTTAAACTACTTCCATTCCAGTCCACGTGAAACCAGAGTCTCCTTCACGATCTCAAATGGCTCCGAGCCTTGATCTCAACGAGCACAGAACATTACAACGAGATCCAAATGGGCCACCGCACAACAACATCAACATGCAAGATGCCGATATGCAAGGTACAGGCGAGGAAAACGAAGACGACGACCCAATCCACCTGCAACCACAGTCACACCCACCTTCTCAAGTGGCCCCAAGCCCTAATTCCAACGAGCTCAGAGAATCACCACTAGAGGCCAATACTAGCACCAATATGTAAGAAATCGGTTTGTATGGCGTTGGCGACGAAGAGGAGGACCACGCAAATGGCTCAGACCATTACTCACCCTCTCCTCCGTTTCCATTTTCAACCCCAACACCAGAGTCACCAGAGCTTACCCCCCTCCCCCCCGCCCAGCATCAAAAACAATGGATAGAGCACGAGGAGTGCTGCCTGCAAATCTAAGCAGACACGCAAATCTAACTCGCCAAAATCCACGCAGAAGCACAAATGCATTTCAACAAGACGCAAGCAGAGATTTACAGTATGTTCTGGGAAAGACAGATCGAGAGGGAGAAGAGGCAGTCGGAGAGGGACGCAGATTCTTGTTAGCCAGAATAGGGCTTTTGAGGGTGGATTGGATCTTGAATTGCAGGAGAATGTCTAATGTCCATTTATCATCCATGTATGTATCTATACAGCGTTAATATTATACAGCAGAGTTGCGAGATTGCAAGTCTATGTGCACAGCAGAACAACGACTTTTGCAGGCCACATCAATAGCCCACACAAAAGAAACACCAAAACGCCATAATGCTAACCAACAAACGCCGTCCCATGTATTTCCAACCCACAGCCAACCCGACTTAACTCAAAAGAGTTACTCCTCATCCCCCGGCATCCGCATATAAGCATCAATCGCCGCACTAAACGCCGCAAAACCTGCACACCCCCAAGCCGCCGCCTGCGGCCCAGCCTTCGCACCCAGTATACCACCAGTAACACACCCCGCGCTGACACTGTTCGTAAGATCGTTCTTCGCCCGCAACCCCTCAATACAGCACTCGGTGCCCGAGTACAAGGCTCCCACGATGCCGAAGTTCTTGGCGGACGACCAGGAGCGCGCTCCCATGTCTTTGAAGCCGTGGCGGAGTTGTTGGCGCCAGGGGAGGTCGGCAATTTGGCGGCCTTGGGGGGTTAGGGGGGAGTCGTAGGACATCTACCGCGGGCGTGGATTAGCATTGACTTTAGACTGGGAGGGGAATGAATGGGAAACGTACACTGGCCATGAAGAGACCGAAGACACCACCGAGGGCGAAGCCCATGCCGCCGGACATGACGGTTTTGAATGGGCAGGATTCCATTGCGGCGTGCATCTGCGAACCTCAACATCAGCTATCTTCCTCCACAGTTCGAATGTACAATTGCAACGTACGCCCTTGACCATCATCTGTTCCTGGTCGCTCATTCCTTGCATGTTGGGTCCTCCTCCCATGCCGCCCATCGGCGGGGTCATGTTTGGGAAACTCATGGTGTAGATTTGGGAGGTGGAGGCGAGGTCGAGTGTGTAGGATTTGATGTCGGTTTTGCGATGTCTCGGGGACAGTCGTGTAGACAAAGCGATTCAGGCGCTGTCCGTATGTAAATCACAGACAGAAAGCGTCTGTATAGCAGTTCACAAGATAATGAGACGTGATAAAGCTCTCCGCGGAATCATCGTCGGAAATTTATTTTTTGCGGCGGGCGAGATGTACCATAAGCGTTGGAAGTCATGTGACTTTTCGGGAAATTCCGCCGTCATTCTAGATGGCAAAAGTCCGAACTCTACGATACAACCCTTATAGGAATAGAGTACACTTGTCAAGTATTCATTCAAATAATATACATACAATTCAATGGCTATGCCAAAACATTCCACATCAGAAGAGAAAAGTAGATAGTCTATAATAGACACAAGAGAAGATAAAGTAAAAGAAAGCAGCAGAAGTAAAGACAAACGCTTCGTCGTAAAGGGTATTCGGGTCACAATCATAGCCCTGCGTTATTCGATTCTTGTCTCGTGTTTGTGTCGTGGTCCAGTTATTCAATATACTGGCTCGTCCAAGTTCAGTCCGTGTCCGTGTCTGTTGGCACAATGCTCGTTTAGGTTTGGGAAAGAGAACAAAAGAAAGTAGGAAAAAGAAGAAAAGAAGAAAATGCCCAAACCAAGGGAAAATGACCAGTTAGTCCGCCTTATTCTCCTTCTCGGAAAGAGTAGGACTGGCCGGGGTCCTATCAGGAGAAAGACTTTGTTCCCATTCGGTCATGAGACTTGATGCGGTGCGATTCAGCTTGGACGGTGCCACCTTGGTAATTGCAGGCCACGGAATGCCATCAGAAACACTGGGGTCCGGGACAGAGTCGCCCTGGCTAATTGGACGCCAATCTCCGAAGCTGTGTCACCATCAGTGAGAAATGTAAACCAATCTGGGATGTACGAAACCTACCTAGCACTCGTCCGCGGACTGCTAGCCTGGGACCTCGGAGACTGGTCACGCTTCGATTCCAGCGTGGAACGGCTCGAGGATGGGGTGTGCATCTTGTTCGGCTGCTGGGGACTAGCCTCCCAAGCATCCCAATCATCATCGTAGACCTCGAGGTTGTTGTGGTGCCCGTTTGGCCGGGGGTTTGAGGCTCCGCGAGCGTTCGGGGACTTCTGCCCAGGTGTATCAATGCCGAATTCACTCCAAAACGACGAATCGATGTCGGTCGATTTAGTGTCTTTACCAGAAATCCTCTCAGCTCCCGCCCGCCTGCTCCGCGATGACGACGATGCAGTACGCGATAACATTCCTCCCCCATGCACAGACAACCGATCTCTGCTGCTCCGCGACGTCGAAGTCGAAGTCGAATCTCGTTTGCGGGACATGGCGGCCGGCGACATCCCTCTCACCTCCGTTGCATTAATCCCCTCCTCGCCCACGGTAGCTTGTCGAATATCCTCCAGAAACGTCCACAAACCCTCCCTCAAATCCGAAGCCATCTGCTTCCCAGTATGCACCAGTGAGGCCCGAGACGCAGGCGGCATATTCGTTCGCCACTCCGTGATCATTTCCTCCGTCGGCACAAAGGCCCCATTCACACTCCGCTCAGTAGACGAAGGCAGCGTCGCAGACCGCGGCATCCTCCCCACAAATTCACTCTCCATTGACTTTCCAGACAGCGATATCTTACCACTACTGAACCCGGAATCCGTCGACGCAGAAAGTAACGATAATGTCCTCGCATGTGAACCCTGAAACACCCGTCGTCCATTCGCCGATATCGTAGTCCCCGGAGCAGGAGCGACACGCATACTCCTCCTCCTCTCCAACTCCCTCGTGCGTTGCTGTGACTGCACGATATCCGCGGTCGCAGTCTCCTTGCGATGCTGTTGCAGCAGCGACTCTCGTTCCTCACCACAGACACTTTCAACGGGGGACCGCAGCGATATTAACGGTTCCGCATGGTGGTTGACTTCCGTGCGTTTCTTGGTCTTTTCCGACAACGTCCATTGTTTCTTCAGCGTGGAGAGCTCCGTCTCCGCCCGTTGTAGCTCCTCCCGTAGCTCCAGAACTTTCCGCTCCTGTGATGCAATCGCGGTCAACAGGTTTGTGCCCTCATCTGCCTGCTGCGGCGTATCCAGGGGCAGTGGCGTTCCGAGAGCAGGACTCGTAGTAGACGTCGTCTGCGAGAAGGGGGTCATGGGAGTCTGGATCGGACTGGGTTCGACGGCGGAGGCTGGTGCGGTGACGGTGCCGAGTCCTCCTGGGGGAATATTGATGGGGAAGTTCAGCGTGAGACGTTTTTTGTGTCGAGCTGCGGCGTGCGGTCGGGCAGGGAGAGATTGGCGTTTGAGTTGGCGGATTTTTCGCTGTTCTTCTTGTTGTTGTTGCTCGTGCTGTTGCTGTTGTTGTAGCTGTTGTGGCTGCAGCTGCAGCTGGCGGTGGCGGTCATGGTCGAGGTCGGGGTTGGCCTCGGCCCTTCCCAGACATTCCTCCATGGTGGATGTGGCTGAATGATGTATGATGACGGATGGCAATTGTTCATAACATGAAGAAAACAACAACGAAGATATAGGAGAAGACGGATAAGAATATTCAGCCGTCCAAAGCCTCCATCCTAATTAAAGCCCCCCCGGCGGGTCACCAGCGCGCATCCCTTCCGCCTGCAGCAGCGCCGGCCTCGTTTCAGACATTCAGGGGCTGCTTTTAGCATAACTACCTTGCAATTGAATATAATTCTAGAAGATTGAGGCATCGGTTTACTGTACAGTGTGCTGTGTAGAGAATTGTATACAGAATGCAAATAATGCGGTGAGCCACAGTCATAACCATAGTTCACTCCGTAGTGCATAGTTTAAAGGGGACAACCGCCACAAACTGAATAATTATGCTTACGATTACTTATTCCGATTGCCGTGTTTAATTGAGGTCTTGGACTGGTCTAGGCTTTATTACGACTGACTTGACAGCTATACATAGTCCACTATCGATAGGAGATTAAATCTGCACTCTGCACTCTGCACTCTGTACGGGGTACGGAGGTTTTTATCAGACATAATCAGACATGGTCCTTACTTCAGGATGCAATGAGATCCATCCTTCACTGGGAGATTGATCGTGCATGCAGGAAATTATTTGCAGACTGGTATTATCATATTCACACAATATCAGAACATACCTACAGTCCAGCGGACAAAACACCTATATCACAGGTTGGTGTGCAAAACAGTAATCCAGGAATACACAAATCTATCAACCAGGAAAGGGGAACAATCAAATACACAAAATATAGTACCGCACCGGAAATTAAACACCAGTCCCTTGTCCAGAAAACCGATCAATAAGGTGAAATGAGAGGAAGGGGGAGATTAATCCAGACGTTCATCCATCGAAATGAGAGTGAAGGTCTGTCCTCGATCAAGGGCTGTTGTCCAGCAGCTAACCCAAGAAGCGAGAGTCAAGTAAGAAGTCGGACAAGCCGATTAAACCGAGCCATTAGTCACGGCTCAGCACGAACAAAACATTATCGGGTCGAGAATAAGTAACCAAGATATACCGAATCGAACGCCAGGTGGTTTATACAACGAGTCAAGAACTTCTCGACGTTTTCGAGAAGCAGACCGAGATTATAGGCGTACAAGGAGGGTTAAATGGCAGGCCAACGGTTGCGGAGACCATCCGCCCAGCGAGAGTAGAGCACATCCGATAATTGCTTGGTGTGCTCCATTCCTGAAATCTGCTGACCAGGAAGGCCCGCAAGCTGGGCCGGCTGTAATGGGGATTCCGGCGATGCCGTTCGCCGGCGGTGGCTTTTCAGGTGTGGGTTGTTCTGGGCCAAGACGAGTCGTGGTCTCTGGGGAGATTCGGGTGGTGGAGCTTGTGGGACGAGGCTGGATAATTTCGGGTCGCTGGACGGAGATCTGTCAGCTGTCTGTAATAAAAACCAAATGGCGGTATGCGGATGCCGGCATCAACAAAGTGAACATACCTTCCAAGTCTTTCATTCATACCCCGGATGACATGGTATAGACCCTCAGGGTCAACCATCTCCAGGTCACTCCAAGCCTCTGCGAGTCGCGAAATCGCATCGCGCTTTTCTTGATCCGCAGTTGTCCCCAGAACCTCCTGACATGATAATCCCACGGCCTTGCTATATGCTCGTTGACCCAACCGTGCTTCTTTGCTGTTCGATTCGGAGAATAGCGTCTTGGGACTCATGTTCTCGTCCGTAGCCAAGGGATATTGAGGGCTATATGAGGCATCGCTCGGGATTTTATCGGACACGCGACGGAATTGACGAACGGTAGACGGGGTGTTGCCGAAGCTCAAGTCCACACCAAGCGGTTGTTTGTTACTGGACTTTCGCTTGGCTCGTCGTAACGATGGACTCGGATCTGGGGCCGGCGTTCGTCGTACTGTCGGGCTGGGAGTGTCTTGAAAAGACATTGACGGTGATGTCGAAATATGTAGGTTGTCCATCATCTGTGAGGGTTCGTCTAGCCATTCGTACGGGTCGTCTTCGTCGGGTAGGATCTCCACCGATTGCTTCGGTTTCTTCATCGTGGGTGCCTTGACGGTGTCGAATACCCAGTCGTCATCGTCATCGTCTTGATCTTGTGCGACGTGATGTCTAGAAAAAAGAGAATCGTGTTAGTGACAATGACCGTGAGAAAGGTGATGGGCTCAACGTACAGCGACTCCGCATAATACTTGACGTTCTGTGTCGCTCCTCTCCCAGCATCAAAATCTTGCTTCCGCTGAATCAATTCCTGCAACGCCTCTGTCCTCCCCGCATTGCGAATAAACTTATGCCTCAAAAGGTCTTTCGCACTAGGCCTCCGCTCCGGATCCTTGATCAAACACTGCGCGATAAAGTCCTTGAAAGCACCGCTGTACTGACTCCCCTCCAGTCGCGGAGCAGGCTCCTTCGGAATCAAGAAAAGCACCTTCATAGGATGTGTGCTGGCATGCGGCGGCTCTGCATTGATCATCTCCATGGCGGTAATACCCAACGACCAAATATCCGCCTTGTAGTCGTATCCAGCCTGCTCGATTACCTCGGGCGCCATCCAGAACGGGGTACCGACGAACGTATTTCGTTGAGACTTGATGTTGACGAGTTGTGCTGCGACACCGAAGTCCGCCAATTTCACCTTTCCGACATTCGATAGCAGGACGTTGGCGGCTTTGACGTCCCGGTGGATCTTGCCTTCGCTGTGTAGATATTCCAATCCCTCGAGTAATTGCTGGCAGATAATGGCGACATGTACTTCGTTGAACACGCCTGGTTTTAACTAGACGGGTCAGCTTCACTGAATCAACAGGCGAATCCGCAATATTTACCAAGTCCAGACACGACCCTCCCCCGAGATACTCCATGACAATCCATAACTTGTGTCCTCGAAGAAAGCTCGCCTTGTATTGTGTCACGTAGGGGCTCGCGCATGTCGACAGGACGGAAATTTCTTGTTGGATTTCGTGGATATCGTCTTCGCTCGATTCGAGGTCGATCTATCGCCGTTAGTCCCTGCAAAAAGCCAAACCAATCACTCTAAACCGAATGCCGGAAAACGAACATGTTTAATGGCAACAATCTCCCCGGTAGCTTTATCAATCGCCTTGTATACCGTCCCAAAACTCCCACCTGTTCGAATCCCTTCATGTTAGCCCCTGCGACCACCGCTCACCGCAACAAGGACGGCGGAAAACTCACTTCCCAACTCCTCCAACATCTGATACTGACTTGCCATGTCTGCCATGGTGTGCGCGACGCTGGGTGATCACCCAACGAGATCAAAAGGTGTGGATGAATAGGAATGGTGGACGCGGTCAACAAAGGAATGCAGCCCACTCGCGCGCTCGCAGCCCGCTTGCAGCTTTAGCTCCTGTCCGGTGGAACGGTTCTCGGTACGGCCAGTTGTCAAAAGGTACCCAGTTGGGATAGCACAAGAATAAGAAGTCGGTGTAGCTAATAGCAGCTACCATTAAAGAAAGGAAAGAATAGTGTGTTATTGGATGTAGTACAAGAGAACTCCTCGCAGGCCTTGGATCAGCCGCCGCACTGCCCATGGTTCGGGAGCAACGGCCGTAGCGCATGGCAACCGGGTGCCTGAGGCTGCATTACATCACGGTGTTTCATGCCTGAGGTATGTTTCGGATATTGTTTCATTGCGGTTACAGATGGTCATGCTTTTTGGTTATGAACGAAATTGGTATATACATACAAGGGAAACACGCGATTTTATCTAGATGTACTTGTACGGGTTCATGATGCCGTTCTACACCAGTTAGCCGAGTGCGACCAGACCAAGGGGAAAGGATACTCACCGGATCATACAAGTCCTTCAACTGCTTCATCAGTTTCAGCATAATGTCGTTCTGGCTGTACCCGATGAACTCCTTCTTAGCCAGACCGAGACCGTGCTCAGCGCTGATACTGCCGTTCCGCTTCTGGATCCATTCGTACACCCAAGGCTCAATAGCCTTCTCGACCTCCTTGTTGTATTGCCGGACGGAAACGTTCAGGTGCAGGTTGGAGTCACCCATGTGACCGTATCCGACAACAGCGCGGACGGGCTTAGACTCGTCGTCACCGACGAAGCCCATCTGAGTAAGACGCTCGCGGCAGTCTTCAACGAGCTGGTACAGTTCATTGAGCGGGATCGACACGTCGTACTTGTAGGTACCACCAAGGTGGCTCAGAGCCTCCGTGATACCCTCACGCCAGCGCCAGATGGACTGGAACTGTGTCTCGTCCTGGGCCAAGACTCCGTCGGCCACAATGCCCTCTTCCATGATGTGTTCCAGGAAGGCCTCCAACTTGGCCATGTCGTGCTCTCCGTTCGAGCCGCTGGTCTCAATTAGACAGTAGAAGGGGTAGTCACCCTCCAGTGGGAAATTGTTGCCGGTAGACTGGTTGACCAGGTGCTGGCTGCGACCATCCATCAGCTCAAAGGCGGACAGAATCTCAGAGAGCTGACCCTTGGCTTTCAAGAACGCCCGCTGAACGTGCTCGTAGCTCTCAAGACCAAAGTAGGCCACATTGACAGCCTTGGGGCGAGGCGGGCACTGAATCGACACACCGGTGATGATACCAATGGTTCCCTCTGCGCCAATGAACAGCTGCTTGAGATCGTATCCGGTGTTGTTCTTGCGCAGAGTCGAAAGCGAGTCCACAATCGTACCATCCGCCAGAACAGCCTCGAGACCGAGGACGCTTCCGTGAAGACTTCCGTAGCGAAGCAGACGAAGGCCACCAGCGTTGGTCGCGACGTTGCCTCCAATATGGCACGAACCCTTCGCGCCCAAGTCCAAGGGGAACAGGTAGTCGCGCTCCGCCAAGTACTGGTCCGCAACCTCGAGAATGACACCGGCATCGGCGACCAACACACCCGAGGCAGCATCAAACGAGCGAATTTGGTTCATGCGCGAAGTGTTGATGACAATCTCATCAAAGACCGGCACCGAGCCACCAACCAAACCCGTGTTGCCACCCTGCGGGACAACCGCCAGCTTCTTGTCATTGCAGTATTTCAACACCTTGCTGAGCTCCTCCTTGTTCTGCGGCTTCAGGATCAGCTTCGTCTGACCACGGTACTTGCGCATCCAGTCACCGTTGAAGGGTTCGATATCGTCCGCTGCGTCGGCCGTCACGCCGTCAACCACCGCGGATTCAGCGCCCAGCACTTCCTTGAAGAACTTGACATCTTCCACAGAGACCTCGCCAAAGTTGGGATTCCGCTTGAGGTTGGGGTAGGCGTTGCTGGTGAGTTTGACCTCCTTGGTCGCATTGCGTGCAGCGGGGGTGACGCTAAATGCGCGGGCGGGTGTCACGGAAGGGACGTATAGAAGAGGGCGTGCATAAGAGCGGCATCTGGGCAATCGGGCCCGTCGAACGGCGAGAGAGAGGTTCCTAGCGCTGGACATTGTCTGGAGGTTGAGGAACGAGAGGGACAGGAATCACAATGGGCCAGAGATTTGGATTTGGAGAAGCGTAATCGCTCACCGGAATTTTATCCGGGCTCCGATGGCATTCCGATTGTGCCATTGGTTGTATTGCTCATGTCTTTTCCTCCCAATATACAGAGACCATGGTACTAGCTTAATTGACCATATTATCGTCTTGCTTCTCTATTCTAGTTCTAATATAGTTCTGTATATGCAGAGGTCCTACTCCGTAGTACGCCAAAATATATGTAGTCTGACATGCATCAAGCTGCCCAGAGCTACCAATTGCTGCAATAACCACCGAAATAACAGGATGCTACTAGAATACCAAGTTTTCTAGAATGTTCAGCTGCTGTCTGTCTCTGTCTTTTCCTAATGCATTGAAGCTGGTGTGGACTCGATATGTTACGTCATGCCCCGCCGCCGCCGGAATCAGTCTTCACCCAGTTCCACGTCTTCGGACACTCTTCTCGACCTTTCTTCACCATTGCTACATACTACTCACATCACTAAAAATGTCGCTAAACGTTCTTGTTACTGGTGCCAGTGGTCTCCTTGGCCGTCAGGTCTTCAACACCTTCAAGCACTCTGGCTGCTTGACTGTCGGCCAGGGTTTCACCAGAGCTGCCCCGCCAACCATTCTGAAGGCGGATTTGGAAAAGAGCGAAGATGTAAAGACGATCCTGGACGAGGCTAAGTGAGTCATTATTGACATTGAAAATCAGAAGTTGGAGGCGTGTAGTAAGTCTGTTGCTGATACTGGTTCAAACAACAGGCCTCAGATCGTCATTCATTGTACGTTGAGTTGCTGAGTTGCTTGAGTTGCGCCCCGGCCATCGCGGAATTTCTCTAACACAGATTCAGGTGCCGCAAACCGTTCTCCTGACCTATGCGACAAGAACCCCGAACAAGCTCGCAGAGTCAATGTCGATGCTACACGTCTCCTGGCAGAACAGACCTCGTCGCGTGGCGCCATGCTCATCTACATCTCGACAGACTACGTCTTCCCGGGAACCGAAGGCGACGCACCATACGGAGCAAACGCGGAGACCAAGCCACCGAACTTCTACGGCCAATTGAAGCGCGATGGTGAATTAGCAGTCTTGGAAGCCACCAAGGATACCGGCTTGGGTATTGTTCTGCGTGTCCCCGTACTGTACGGAACTGCCAGCAACAACTCCGAAAGCGCCGTAAACACCCTCATCGACGCAGTGTGGAAGGCACAGGATGAGAAAGCAGGTATCAAGATGGACGACTGGGCTCAGCGGTATCCCACTAACACCGAGGACGTGGCGCGAGTGTGCCGTGACATTGTGATCAAGTATGTCAAGGAGAAGGAGAAGATCAAGGAGTTGCCTAAGATCCTTCAATTTTCGTCGGAGGACCGGATGACCAAGTACGAAATCTGTGAGAAGTTGGCGCAGGTGCTTGGGTTGTCGCTAGCGGGAATGGAGCGGAATAAGCAGGGCAACGACCCGAATGCTTCTGTGCAGAGACCATATGATACCCATCTGTCGACCATGGCTCTGAAGGACCTTGGGATCGATGTTAGCACCATGGACTTTGTTGCGTGGTGGTACGTGCCTTCTCCTTTCAATTGAAGCTAATGCAGAAGCTAATACGGAAGCTAATACGTGATATAGGCGGAAGAGCCTGGGAGCCTACAGGAAATAGATTGGTCTAAAACAGGACTCGTGATACGGAAACTGGAATTCTAAAGAAAAAAACGGATTGACGTGTACCATATTGCATCGTTTGTACGAATTGTTTACTCCAGTGATGAAATAAAAGGGAAGTTCGCAATGCAGAACAAGCCTACAGTAAACTATGCTATAGCCAGACCTAGCAGCACTGCAATTGACACGATGATACGGAGTATACTGAAGTGAGGTCGCGTACTCCGTACACAGAGTATGTACACTGTGCTCCGTACTCCGTATTGCGTTAGTGACCACTGAGTGCGGACCCTGCATGAATGTGTCAGTTAGCGCCGGCAGATCTGGAATACACTTCGATAGCGTGGTGAAAGATCCCCAGTGTGGCGTTTCTTGAATTCGCCACGTTCTTTTGTAGCGACTGTACTATGTAGCTACAGAGGTACCTAGACCGCAGGTGTTCTTTGAAGAAGATAATACGGAGTACGGAGTAGGATGGCAGTAGGCCGGGATCGTCGGAGGAATGTTGCCCTACAGGAATATGGCAGGCGGTAGTCAGTGGCAGAAATAGTACCGAATAGGAAGGTGATCGACGGGTGTGATGGTCTCCGGTTTCAGCCATTCGCAAAAAGAAACACAAAAAGACGCAGAGACAGTCAGATTTGAGATTTGAGAGTGATTCGGCTCTTCTCCTCCTTCTTAGCCTCTCTGCAGCTATTCATTTGCTTACATGTATCTATCTGTACTCTTACAGTGAGTGCGACAGGTTTAATTAGCAGGCCTCCACTTTGGTCCAGACTCCAATCTGCTCTTCCCCAGAGATTCAACGCCCGATCAATCGCTCTGTTCCTTCTTCCAGTACGCATTTATTCGTCCATTCCTTCGTCTCAAGACATACTGACACTGCAATTTCATCGACAGCGTCATCATCTCCCGGAAACAGGATTTCCTCGTTGCTACTCCATAGTACTCCGGACCAATCTCATTGTATCGGCAGCCCGGAAAAGTGCCCCCATCGCCAGACCCAGGATCAAATCCATCTTCTCCACTATCCATCGTTGATTGTCCGTCCGTCTGACTGTGCGCGCTTTCTCTGACTGCGCCATATTTCCTTTTTTCGGCTCGACTGCTCGAGATCACCACTCGTCTGTTGGCCATTGCTCCTCTTTTGATTACGGAGTAGTCCTGCTATTCCTCCGATGACCTGTTAATTATTGATTTGGACTGCAGAGAATGATGTGGTTGATGGCCTGTGGAACTCGGCCTGCATGCGTTTTTTAGGGGGTGGCAAGCCCTGTTGTTGACTAGTATTTTGGTCTTCCCCTCATTTTCCTGTTTCGTTTGTATTTGGTGTGGGCAGGCCCTACTTCCCGAGACGACTTTGCTTCCTTTTATACTGTGCACGACTCAATCCGCCTATTCCTGAAGTCAGTCGATATAGGGCATTCTGGAACAATGGCGGTAGAAGCACAGCCAATGGGTCTAGGACCCGAAAATCAGCCCCCGCCCATGAAGTTCTCCCGCTATCGCTCTGTGAGACGAGCAACCTCTCAGAAACAGGAACCTGTGAAAGCAGCGATTCCTGCGATTCCTGCGATTCCCGTTCCTCCAGTGCCATCTAATCCGACCTCTCCAATTTCTACCAACCAGCAAGGAGTGGTGAGGAGTGTGTCGCGATATCGACGCCAGAGAAACACTGCACCATCGCCCACTGCGCAGCATCCAGTCCCGGTTCCTATCCCTTCGTTCCATGCTCCCGGAAAATCCGATGGACCCTCGTGCACTCCACCGATGGATCTGAAAGCAGTGGAAAGGGCAACCACATCTAGAAATGGAGAGGATAACGTCGCGCGTACAAGACACCGACAAGATGCGATGAGCCGGTTGGTAGGGGGAGACAGTAGACCGACATCTAAACAAACTTTGGAATCGAGAACCGATACTTCTAGTTATCGCAAACATACCGATGAGAACGACCATGTCACTTCGACAAACGGCCAGCAATCTGGTAAAGAGACCAAATTTCGATCATTAAAAGATACCATGAAACTGTTTCGGTCAAAGGGTGAGGTTGAAAAAGAGGGCGCATCAGCAAAACCTTCTGATCCAAGTGGTACTACCTTCCCTGGCGTGGATGTCCCTGTTTCCGCAGCCAACGCGGGGGAGCGACAGGTGCTTGTCCAGTACCGAAAGGCATCCAATTTTCTTCCCATCACGCTTTCGACCACAGCGCAGGATCTGCTACTGTCGGCCCAAAATTGCTTCGATATTGATGCCCAGACTTTTGTTTTGATCGAGCGTTTCGCTCAGTTCGGCCTGGAGCGACCCCTGCGCAAATACGAATATGTTCGCGATGTCATGAATTCTTGGACCAGCGACACGGACAACAAATTGATCATAGTCCCTGCGGCAAGCTTGGATGCTTTGCATCAGCTGGAGGCGCAGAGTGCTCCGGTTGAACAACCCGCGGACACGACATTCCACATTTACCATTCTCAACGTTCTCGGAAATGGGACAAGCGCTACGTGACCTTGCGCGCCGACGGCCAAGTGACAGTGTCCAAGAAGTATCAAGGACAGGACCAGACGAATATCTGTCACTTGTCCGACTTTGATGTCTATTCCCCTACGCTTAGTTCGCTGTCAAACAATGTGAAGCCACCGAAGAAGATTTGCTACGCTGTTAAGAGCCAGCAAAAGGCTAGCATGTTCCTATCGACGGAGAACTATGTTCAGTTCTTCTCTATGAGCGACAAGGGGGTAGCTGAAGGTTGGTACAGAGCCATCCAGGCATGGCGCAGCTGGTACCTGGTTAGCATCCTGGGTAATGGCCAAAACAAGGACGAAGCATCGCTGTCAGAAATCTCCCGGCAACAGAGCGACGAATCCTCAGGATCAAGGACCTATCAGTCTAAACCGCTTAAACCGTTGCTCGAATTCGAGCCTCTGGATCAGCAGTGCGACGAGGAACAACACTCATCTCCTGAGCGTATGAAGTCTTCAAAAGCAAAACAACATCTTTCGCGAAGGAGAAGCACCAAATCTTCTCAGGGAAAGCCACTCACCCTTGATACCACCAATGTCGGTGCCACAGCACAGGGAATTGAACAGTCTCCGTTTTCTCCTACTGGACTTTTGGGCCAGAATTATGTCATGCGCCAGCGTGCGATGCAGGAACGGGAAGAGATTGATAGGAAGGCATACGAAGAAGTGTTCAGTCCTCAGGGTCTTGTTTCTGGATCCGGAGCCGCTGGACGTCGTCAGTATCCTGAGACTCAAAGCCAACCCAGCAGCCGATCAAACACAATGACAAGTACTCAGGGTCCCGATGCCAGTGGACTCGTTAGACGTTCGCAATCCGTGAGCAAAGGAAACCATAAGCCGCTCGTCGATTTGACTCCTGTCTACCAAGAACCACCGCAGCACGCTCGCAAAGGAAGAGGAGTCGCCGTCGAGCCAGGAACGCCCTTGGTCGATGCTGCGACAACACCAGACTTGCCCCGCGGTGCTATTGCGATCCCATCCGCCACGACCTGGAAGCGATCCCCGATCCCAGAAGAACCTATGTTGCCGGCAGCTGATATCACCAACGTAAAGCCCAGTCGCTCCAACACAGTCCGCAGCACCCGAAACAACCGGTCACGCGCATCTTCTACAACTCCTGCCGACGATGCATTTATCCCAAACAGCCTCCTGGCCCGCTCCGCAACACAAAAAGCTGCCAACGGTGCACCGAAACTCGGCCATAGAGTAGCTACAGGTGACCGCAGCGCTACGAAACCCATGCTAGACATGTCCCCGGGAAATCCGTTTGTGGAGGGGAGTTTGCTTCGGGATTTGTAGCCTTTTATGGCAAACTTTGATTGATGATTATGAACTGACCATAATTGCATTTTTGCATGTCATCGAGACTTTCAGGGCATAGATACCGGATTCTGGCGTTTGGTTGAATTGTTACATTATTTTCGGATTATGTTGTTTTTTTGATTAATGCATGTAGGAGCTAGTCTTGGGATGTTTTGATTTCTTGATGTTGGTGGGATACCAAGCTGTTTGTGTTGAATATTAGATTTAGCATTACTCAATTTCTACTTCTGGGTCTTCGATGTCCCTATCACTACCAATTTTTCGGTGCACTAGACGCTATTGGCGAAGAAAAGACCTGGAGAGGTTGCGCTGAGGTAGTAAATGGTCTCGGTGGTGGCCGCGTCGTCAGCAACCTGCCTGCTGGGTTCACAAATATTCCCGAGGGTGTCGAGGTTGTGGGAGGTGAGTGACTATATTATACTCCATTATGTAGATGGACCCCCTCTGGGGGGATACGGCCGCTCTAACAACAAATTTAGTGAACGACACTGCTCATCTACCAAGCAACAAAGAGATTGTCGAAGGCGTTTGGGGCCACTTTGTTCCAGAAGCCCTCAAGAATGGAACTTTGAAGCCTGTCCCTGTCCCATTGGTTACTGGAAAGGGGTTGGAAAAGATCTCCGAGGGTGTTGCTTTGTGCCAACAGGGAAGATCAGCTGGAAAGGTCGTGGTTATTTTGTAGACGATTAGGGCTATGCTTTATCATATGGAACTTTGCGAACGAACTGGTGGTTCGCAAGTGGAACTACTTTTTCAAGTAAACTGTATTCATCATAATCATTTTCCACTTCCAGACTCCAGGGACGATATGGCGGGTATTTTTCTTGGTCGACGCCGGTTAGCCACTGGTGAAGTGAGACTCTCCGGTGCCTATATAGCTAGTAAGCTGATTTCTGCATCGCTTAGTTGACGGAACAAGCACAATGACTTTGTGTATAACCTCTAGGTGGTGGTTTCATGTTAGATACATTCGACCCATAATTTTCCAACGGCAAAGGAGCTATCATCAACGTGTAAGAAATTGATAATCAATGAGATAGTCACTTTCCATGCCAGAAAATCGGCATAATCTAAGACACATTTTGGAAAGTCAAGACAAAATTCATCGCAAGAATTGTTTCCATTTGGAGTGGAACAATGGAAATGTCCGCATCTGAACTGCTGGTCTGCTTTATATGTGTCTTGTAGGTCTTTGTTGTTGAACAATACCATTTGAGACCACAAAAAGGTAATAGCCGCCGAACGCTTCTAGTATGTCTCAGTATGGTCTATATATTTGAACCATATACCAGAACGATCATGTTCTCTCTACCACCCATCTTCCAACCCTCTACATCTATATTGATCTATTACAAAGTCGGTGCATCAAACGCAAGTACAGCAAAGCCAGAGTGCCCTACAACCATGGTAAGTAATACTATCCCCTAAAATCGAAGCTACTGCTAACAACTTACAGGACCACTACAATCCTTCCTTGCAAAAGGCGATCCACAAGGTGCAGCCAAGCGACTCCGTCAACCAGATCTGTCACATCTGGACCGATATCCTGCAGTATTATTTTCCCGAACCCATCAAGCAAACCGCGATGACTGACCTGCCAGAGTTGTTTCCAGAAATGGGTCTCGTATTGGGATTGATCGCTCTAACTATCGACATTTCAAGTGGTCCACTTCATGGCGCGCCGTTCTTCCATGTCCACGTCCGGGACCCACCCCATTCGGACCTGGCGATGTGCTGGGACGAAGCTGAAAAGGAAATCAAATGTGAGTTGAATGGACTAGAGGTCAAGTCTGGAATGAATGTGATTTATGCGGCTGTTGTGATCGGCCCGTATGTGCGTTTCTACACGTATGCAGGCCAGTCTCTCAAGATCATCCACTGGACCGAGAGACAGACCCTGCATGTGGTCCATGATCACAAAGATATTGTCGGTCATTTCGATGTGATGAAATCTATTTTTTTTTTTTTTTTTCCATTGAATTTGACAGATTCCTGGGTATAGCACGGTAGGTTTCTTGTTTAGATTTCATAGCTTTCATAGAGTTAATGCGATTTATCTTCCATATGATTCAGGCATCCTACAAGAAACACAGTTCATCCATCCACGTAATCTGGTATTACGAGTATATTTTTCTTCGACTGAACATATCAACAAAAAGCCTTCATTTGTGCCGTCTAATCATGTCTAGTGTACCCCGATTCCTTCAGAGACGGCGCAAATCCGATAATCATGCGTACGATTGACGACCTCCTCTTCCAGATTGTCTCCGACTTGCCATTACTTAACAAGGCCTGCTTGGCCCTTAGCTCGAGGAGACTATATACAGTCACCTGACAAAGGTCTACGTAATTCCGCATCGCGCGACGCGCCACTTGATATTGTCCATCCTCTTTTCAACCACCTACACCATGCCTCGCGCCCCTTTACGATCTACTAGTTCTAATAGAACTAATAGAAAGGAATTAGAACCTTTCCAACGGGGAATTATAGTTGGTCGATTCCTTGCAGGCCAGAATAAGGCCGATATTTAGCATGAAATGAATTTACTGTATACAACAATTCAAACCACCATTCAAACATATCAGTCCTCCACCGGCACTAGTTCTCCTCGCATTGGACAGCCAGAGATCCTCTCTGATGCTGATAAGCAATATATTCTTTTACAAATTAAGCGGGATCCCTTTATCAAAACTGAAGATATCTGCA